AGAAGAAAAAAAAATGTTTGGAAATGATTGTCTAAAATGTTGGGCGTTCTAACAATAGCGTAATAAAATAAAATGACAAGCATCCCTTGAGGTGTAAGAATGGAGAAAGTCTGGCCAGTTACACCCCCCCCCCTTTTTTTTTTTGTTTCCCCCTCTCTCCTCCGTTCATCGTTGACCAGTTGCCGAGCTATGCCCAGCGCGCTGTTTGCCCAGATTGAGACTTCCGCTTGAGGATCAGCGTGGTCAAACATGTTGATTGGCGGGCCACCACCACCACCAAGGTCGTCGCTAGGGACGCCGCGGCGACGGTGGTGGTCGTGGTGGTGGTGGCCGCTAGCTACAACAAGCCCCTGGTCAAACACGTGTGAGTGGTCGCTACAATGTTTACCGTCGACTTACTAACTGGCGGGGGAACGCCAGCAAATTCGGCTCAGGTGGTCGGGCTTTTGAGAAGTCGTAGAGGGATGGGTCGGGGAGGGGGGGTGACAATACGGGGTCTCGCGTAACTCAAGTACGTTACTCACGTTTAGAAGTGCCGGGTTAGGAGTTGGCTACCCATAACGGTATCAATGCCGGGTAATGTCATTAGTGTTGCTATTTGGGAATGGCTTTCGGTTACCACGAGCCCATAGAAGACGTCAAAATGCCCCTCCGGGTGAAAAAAAATCTGGATCACGTTATTAGACTTGTTAGACAATGTAGTTTGATGAACTCTAATTGGGTAAAAAAGAATCTGAGTCACATTATTTGTATTGGGTTCCAAGTTTTCGTAATACTTTAAGAGAGTTTTTAGAAAATGTGAATATTTTTTAGATATTTTGAGACGAGTCGTCATTTGGTAATATTATAATTGGGAGTGGGTCACTGTTTGGTAATCTTATAATTGGGAGGGGGAAGGGTCACTGTTAGGTACTTTTGACAAAGATATCACTGCTTTGTTTACACATGTTTTGTTATTGTTAATTTATAGGCGGTGTCATTGCTTAACCGTTTTATTGTGACGGGGAGGGGGGGGGGGGGCTGGTATTTTTTTTAAATTGTTACAGTAGAGTTTGCTTAGAGAAGGAACTGTTTGGCCTATTAATATCTCCTACTTAAGTCGGGAATTCTATAGTGCTGGGTGTATCTCAAACTCTATGGCGGACTGGTGAGCTACGTGTTGTATATGCCCCCCCCCCGCCCACACACACACTATTACTGGCCACCCAAGCAGAAGTTATTAGTTTTATAACTGATCACATAGGTGGGTGATTGAACCAGGTGTGAATGACGTATTGTCTTATTTAATGGACCCCGCCAGCTCTGGTCTATCGGGCGACACGTGTCGCGCTTCATGTCAGGTGCCAGATCGCGCGACACGATGTGTGTGCTGATGTGGGGTGGGGCGGGGTGTTGTGTGTTGTTGCCGTGTGGAGGGACGTGGTCGAGGGGTTAGATATGACTAGCGTACGGTAGGGGTGGGGATGTTGTGTGTTGTTGCCGTGTGGAGGGACGTGGTCGAGTGGCTAGATGGGACCACACGATGTGTGTGCTGGGGTGGGGCGGGATTTTGTGTGTTGTTGTCATGTGGAGGGAGGTGGTCGAGTGGCTAGATGGGACCACACGATGTGTGTGCTGGGGTGGGGCGGCATTTTGTGTGTTGTTGTCATGTGGAGGGAGGTGGTTGAGTGGCTAGATATGATGAGCGTGCTGTTAACCCACGGTGTGGGGGATGTTGTGTGTTGTTGCCGTGTGGAGGGAGGTGGTCGAGTGGTTAGATATGACGTTAACTCACGAGGCGGGGTGGGGATGGTGTGTGTTGTCGTGTGGAGGGAGGTGGTCGAGTGGCTAGATATGACGAGCGTGCTGTTAACCCACAGGGTGGGAATGTTGTGTGTTGTTGTCGTGTGGAGGGAGGTGGTCGAGTGGTTAGATATGACGAGGGGGGCGGGGTGGGGATGTGTGTTGTTGTCTTCTGGAGGGAGGTGGTCGAGTGGCTGTGGTGTTACCCAATACACCCGCCGCCCTCGTCACCAGGTGCCGTTGTTAACGTGTGTCGCTAATGGTCGGGCCACGCCCCATTGCTTTTTGGGGTTAATGAGGGTTGGGTGGTTATGACTAGGGTAGGTGGTTAATGAGGATTGGGATTAGGATGTGTGGTTAATGAAGATTGGGATTAGGGTGAGTGGTTGATGAGGGTTGGGATTAAGGTGAGTGGTTGATGAGGATTAGGGTGTGTGATTGAATAGGGTTGGGATTAGGGTGGGTGTTAATGAGAGTTGGGATTAGCGTGGGTGCCTATTGAGGGTTGGGATTAGCGTGGGTGGTTAATGATGGTTGAGATTAGCGTGGGTGCTTAATGAGGGTTGATATTTGAATGGTTGGCTGGTTTCGGTTATGTATAAGCTCTCTTGTTGTTGTTGAATACGGATCGATTGACCGTACACATACTCGTACAGTTTACGGCCGGTATCACCACCTCATCCCCGCACCCTGTCCTGGCACTTACTAAGCCCTCAGCCTATCATTAGCAGCTATACTAGTTATCAGAAGATTGTCATCGGTTGTAAACTAGTGTTGGGGTTGTTCGGGTTGCTCTCTGTTTTGGCTTTAGATAGGTTGGGTTCGGGTTGTCTGTGCGGGCTCGTATGAATTGTGGTTCGGGTTGTTGAGCGCTAAAGTTAACATGCGTCAGGTTCAGGTTTTTTGTGTGCCATGATATTTGGTGGTTGGGTTCGTGTTCGTATGAAATGTGGTTCGAGTTCGAGTTTTAAAATGTACTTTAAGGTAGACTGAAGAATGCAGGTTGTTGTTCTGTTGTAACAAGAAAAAAAACAGAACGTGTAAGAGTTTGTGTACACCATTGTAAGAGTTTGTGTACACCCTTGTAAGAGTTTGTGTACACCCTTGTAAGAGTTTGTGTACACCATTGTAAAAGATTAGGGCCTGTATAACGCAGGCCCAAGTGACAAGATACAAATGAAACATGCCCAAAATAACCGGACCACGGGCGGGGGAGAGGAGGGGAGTGTCGCCTCATCAAGTACTTTATCCTACAACGTGTGTACATATCGAGATTGCGATGGGGGAGGGGGGGGGGCAGTTTCCATTTTTGGTAACTGATTGGTTACATAGATGATACTACAGAGACTGGTATGTGTGATGTTTTTCTAATCCACCCATCGGTCCCTGTAGTTCTACAGTACATCGAGATTTATGGTGTGCTTCACATTCAGATGTTGTCTTCTTCCAACTCTTGACGACTCTGATCTGTAATGTTGTCCCCATAACTATGACACTAAAGCGGCTCACAGATACTCCAGACCAGTGGTTCTTAACCTTTTTGGTGGTACCGAAATCCACTAGTTTCTTACGCCGATTCACCTAACCCTTCTTAGAAGTTCTATAGTCTGCACTGATAAAATCCCATCGTGAATCATATAAGTTGTGTGTGTGTGTGTGTCTTGACCTTTGTCGAACCCCTGAGACTTACTCACCGAACCCCTGGGGTTTAATCGAACCCAGGTTAAGAACCACTGCTCTAGACCGTATTTTGCTAATAGCATTGTGTTGTTTGTTTTGTGCTAAAGGGTTTTGCGAATAATGTGTCGGCTAATTGATCATATCGTCATCTTTTCCTGTTCATGCCAAAAACACATGAGGCAGATGAAGTAGAGTTCATCTGTTTCAATGACCTCGGCATATGAGAAATGTTGTTCTCGGCACTATGCTCAGCTGTCTTTGTTTCCCAAACATGAATTAGGTACCCATAAGAGTTGGGTGGGCTCAAGGACGTCCCACAGACTAGAGCCCGGGATCCGAACTCAAGACTTTTGAGTTAGCAGTTGTAAGCTTTACCATCCGACCACGTCGTCCCCAATGTTGTTTATAAGATACACTTAATTGTCCAGTGAATAAAATAGTCTAAATGCTAAATGAGAGTGTATCACAAATAAGATGGAGTTTTCTTCTGCTATACTTCAGTCTTGTTGCTGGAACTGTGTAGTCCTTAAGCTGTGTTCAACTTCCTCCTTTATATGATTCTAGTGTTGTCCCTGTTACTAACATTTTCTTTTAAATAAGGTCATGTTGTTTCTGTAAGTAATTAAAATATCTAGCTTCTTTTTCTTCTTCGTTCTTAATTTTTAGTGTTGGGAGGGATTGAGCCTTATCTGCCAGAGGGTTTGAACTCGAGACTTTTTTCGAATTTTTCAACCATGACCTTTTTGCCGACTCGACCACGCCTCCAACACAATTAAGGATTACGTGTCAACTGGTTATGCGCCATTGAGGCCATTGACTCCGATTTCAGCCTGCTTTTCTTTTTGGATTTGCTTCCATAGCCTTTGTCCATCCAAGAACAAACTACAAGGCAGCAGTTGTTTGATTTTGGAGTTGTCTCTCCTAGAAGAGTGGAAACGAGCCTCATCTGCCTGAGGGTTTGAACTCGAGAATTTTTCGGTTTAGCAGCCATGAGCTTTACCGACTCGACCACGCCAACCCCTAAATATCTAGCAAATATGAACATATTCACGTGGTACAATTGGTACTAAAATGTTTAGATAATGCCCCTTCTCTGATACTTAAGTACCTTGCGCCAGGTCTATGTCTATTACTAAAGTACCTAGCGCAGTTGTCTCTGTCTATTACTAAAGTACCTAGCGCCGTTGTCTTTGTCTATTACTAAAGTACCTAGCGCCATTGTCTATGTCTATTACTAAAGTACCTAGCGCAGTTGTCTCTGTCTATTACTAAAGTACCTAGCGCCGTTGTCTTTGTCTATTACTAAAGTACCTAGCGCAGTTGTCTCTGTCTATTACTAAAGTACCTAGCGCCGTTGTCTTTGTCTATTACTAAAGTACCTAGCGCCATTGTCTATGTCTATTACTAAAGTACCTAGCGCAGTTGTCTCTGTCTATTACTAAAGTACCTAGCGCCGTTGTCTTTGTCTATTACTAAAGTACCTAGCGCAGTTGTCTCTGTCTATTACTAAAGTACCTAGCGGTTCTCTCTGTCCCCAGGCTGTCCAGGCTCTGGGTACCAGCATCTTTGAAGCTCTGGACTACGGCATCGACCCAGCAGATGAGAGGCAGCTGAGCCACGAGCTGGAGTCCCTGATTGCCACCATGACCAATGCTGACACGTCACTCGAGTCTCAGAACGCTGACGATGAGGGGATAGAGAAGGATGCTGATCTGGACCATAGGTGCTCCATACAGGACGTACTACAGGTAGCTGCGTAGTCTCTGAATAGAATAGATAACTATTGAACATTTAATTTCCTGCTTGCAGTCTATAGATCTATTAGTCAGTTATTAGCCTGCTTGTAGTGAATGTACTTATTGGATTCTCATTCACCTATTTATAAATAGGTACCAGATAGCAATACTAGTTCTAATGTTAGATAGTAACTCTAGTAGTTGCTTTAGCTTCAGAACAGGACTACCATCTATCATAGATCTTAAGTCTCTGTTAATTTGATACTCTAAGCATTTTTCATTCATTAGACCAGTCCATCATCTCCAGGTTTCCATTCATTGGGTTGTGATTTTGCGCAGGGTCTGTCTCCTGAGACCACGTAAATAGCCAGCTGTTTTAAAAGCTTTTAAATGCCGAGCCAATCAATGTGCAGATGGCAGTCCCCCGAGTTATTTGACACTTGAGTTTTAACGATGTTGATTTAAAAAATAGATAGCGTGCAATCAATAAATATTAGCAGTCAGCCGCTAATATAATACACACACACTCTCACTGAACCACACACTCACGCACACACCGATCAATAAGCTGCTTGGTGTAGGCAGACAGGTGAACCTCCATCTATAGCGGGGGGGGGGGGGGGGAGGTTTTATTGACTGACATGACATGTCTTGGCGAGACTCGTCAGAATGTAGAGAAAATGGAAAATCTTAAAAGCTTCTTTAGACATTGTAGGCTTCTATTTTAGAGAATTGTTTTGTTGTTTTTTTTTAGAGATTTGGGCTTCTATTTTAGAGAATTCTTCTTTAGAGATGTAGGCTTCTGTTTTAGAGAATTTTTCTTTAGACATTGTAGGCTTCTATTTTAGAGAATAATTCTATCTTAGCACATCATTCTTCAGACCAGTGGCGTAGCGAGGTCGGGTGTCACCCGGTGCGGTACTTAATGGTGTCACCCCCAGAGGCGTAGCGACCTTCCCGTGGAAAAATTTTCGATTTGCACCGCCCCCTCAAACTTTTGATTTGCACACCCCCCCCCCCCCTTTAAGTTTTTCTCTATATATTTTGCTATTTTTTGCCTTGGTGTCACCCCCCTAAATGGTGTCACCCGGTGCGGTCCGCACCCACCCCCCCTCTCTACGCCTCTGCTTCAGACATGTGGGCTTCTATTTTAGAGAATTATTCTTAAAACATAAGGGCTTCTACCATATCACACCATTCTTTAGACATTGTAGGCTTTGGTCTAAGTTTTCAGTTTTTTACACGTTGAAGGTTTTTATTTTAGCTCATTACCTAATTCTCTTCATATACGACTTATTTCACATAAGCTATAATTTTATGCAAAGCCAAAAATTAGCATTTTTAGAACGCAAGTTATTCAAAAACAACTGCCCTATTGGCATACGCAAAATCTATATGCATAACTTTATAAAGGCAGTTACAAACAGCTCTATTGATATCTGAATTTAAAAACTGTGTAATGATCAGATCTGCAAGCGCCACCTATCCAGCAAACAGGATGCGCAGCACCATTACAAAGCTGTGTGTCGTGCGCTGGCCACTGAAGCTGGGGAGCTCTTCACTTTCCTGGAGAAGATTTCCACCCACAAAGAGGTCAGTCACATGGTCTCAATTCATGTTTCTACATTGTACTCTCTAGTATAGGGAATTAAAAAAGTATTGAAATATAGATTTAAATCCTATCATAAACAAATTTTACTATTTCTTTTCTCATTTTGTGCATGCTTTTTTTTTCATTACATGTATTTTAAAAAGAGTTTCACCATTTAAATGTTAAATAAATTGAACACATTTTTACTTATATAAAAGTAAAGCACATTTTACAAAAAAACACACCACTTAAGCAAAGATATAATTTGGTTTTGACTTGATTTTCATAAAAAAAAACATAATTTACTGTATTTAGATTAGATTATTTTATTACTTTGACCTTAATTAGGTGAGAATATACCATCAGAAATGTTTTTACTTACTTCAGAGACTCACAGAAGATCAAAATGAAGATACCATGAGGCTAGATGAGTTACAGCGAGCTGATTGGGTAAGTGTTTGTTGTGTGGGGAGATTGGGTAAGTGCTTGTTGTGTGGGGAGATTGTGTAAGTGCTTGTTGTGTGGGGAGATTGTGTAAGTGCTTGGTGTGTGGGGGACATTGGGTAAGTGCTTGTGTGGGCAGAGAGGTTGACCGCTTGAAGTGTTGTTTATTATCCAGGCACAGTGTGAGGTCTACAGCCAAATTAGCAAAATTTCAAAGTAATGGAACCAAGAACCTATCCAATATGTTTATTTACTAGACACCATGTGTATAAGGTTTATTGTCTGATTTCAAATGTAAACGACCCAGTCCTTTAATCTTGGCTATTTATATGGAGGGATTGTGTGGCCAGCACAATGGCAGACTGGGATTATTTCCCCTTGGACCTCATCAATTGCCCATCAAGATCGTTGAAGAGAGGCCCCAACTATTCAATGATAGACCTAAAGAATTACATGAATGGGGAGTGTGGGGGAGGGAGAACCTGAATATTTTATTGGAAAAGTTTTAATTTGAAAAGCAAACAAACAAAGAAGGAATAAAAATACTGTACAAAGTTGAAAAACAAAATAAAATTGTTTCTATGTGTTGATGTAAGGTCTGTAACATAAATTCATTTAACTTCAAGTCTATAGCACATCACTTATTAGTTGAAATGTAAAGGTCAATATTGAACTCTACAGCGCAATGGTAATTAAAGTTTAAAGCATAAATCCCAGTTGCTTGTAAGTCTAAAGCAAGTGGCGTATCTGTCTAGAATGTAGCTAATTACTTGTGTCTTTTCTCAGTCACTAACTGCAGCATGTAGCTAGCTAGTTGTGTCTTCAGCACATGGCTAGTTTGTCTACATCTACAGCACTTGGCTATCCTTCCTGCCGTATCTAAAGAATGAAATTTTTCCCTCTCCCTTAGGCTTGCCTGTGGGTACAGGTCACCAGATCCCTGCGGCAGGGGGTGCGCCTGAAGAAGGTGGAGCACGTCAATCTACAGCCCCTGGAGTACGAGCTCACCCCATTTGAGATGTTGCTTGAGGACATACGGTCTCGCAGATACACCCTCAATAAAATTACGGTGAGCTGGCGTACGACTTTCACCTGTATGTTCTAGGGCAGATTTAGGGCATTTAAAAAAAAATGATTTTGTTGCCTGATCTAAAAAAAAAAGAGTTATAAATATTTTGGTTCCATGGTCCAGTTTAACTTACATTCATTTAAAGCTTTATCTAGTTATAATAGGCTTAAAGGGTGTCATTGCATCCTAGTAAAACAAAAGTGGAGTTACTCTTTCAAACCTGGTGGTACATAAGGCAGATGCAGTAGAATTCACGTGTTTCTGTGACCACAGCATATGAAGGGATAGTGTGGTCAGCTGCCTTTCCTAATGTGGGTCAGGTACCTGGACACCCTACGATCTCAAACCCAGGCAGGACCTAAACTCTGAAAGGCTGTTGTTATCATGTCACAGCTCAATGTGAAAGTTTTTTCGAGTCATAATGATCCTACAGTTTATATTTTTCTAGATGTACTACTTAGTAGTACAACATGAAATTTCTAGTTTGTCCTATTCATCCTCTATTAAGGCTGTGTCTAGTTCAGTTAGTCTCAGGTTAAAAACTGTAACAATGAATTGAACTCTAACCCCACAGACAAACAATGGTGAGCTGCATCTAGTTCAGTTAGTCTCAGGTTAAAAACTGTAACAATGAATTGAACTCTAACCCCACAGACAAACAATGGTGAGCTGCATCTAGTTCAGTTAGTCTCAGGTTAAAAACTGTAACAATGAATTGAACTCTAACCCCACAGACAAACAATGGTGAGCTGCCACACAAGGTGAAGAATGATGCTCATGCCTTCATACTGGACTTCATCAGGTCAAGGCCACCTTTGAAAAAGGTCAGTTTGGCTGTGTGGGTGGTTGGCTGGTCAATTTGACCATGTCATTAGACTGGTCAGTTTGACCATGTCATTAGACTTGTCAGTTTGACCATGTCATTAGACTTGTCAGTTTGACCATGTCATTAGACTGGTCAGTTTGACAATGTCATTAGACTGGTCAGTTTGACCATGTCATTAGACTGGTCAGTTTGACCATGTCATTAGACTGGTCAGTTTGACTGTGCTTGTCAGTTATACATTCCACAACGTGTTTTTTTCCCCCATGCTATTTTCTCTTGGTCAACCATTTGTATTAGCTGACTTAATAGGGCCATAGTGTAAGTGGTCAGTGTGTGCCAGCTAGTCCAGTTGGACCAATGACCTCTACCACAGTTCTCTTTACTTGTGTTGGTAACATTCCTGATGCATGCAGTCAGTGAAATACCATCCAGTGTAGAAGTGAAATAGAATCAATTTTTTTTTACTGCTAACTTGATATATTGGAGGCACGACATTGTGTCAAGATTAATGTGTTATTTTCTTAGTTGTAAAGGAATATTTAGATTCATTGGTGTACAGAATTCTCATTTATTTTCTATTTGGAGTGTAAATTAACTGGGTGATTGTCAGCCATTGAAGACAAGTGATCATTAGCATTTATATGTGAATTTGTGGGGTGTGTTGATTGTTTACTAGATATCTATTAGGAGTGTCAGTATAAGTCTCTTTATAGGTAGGGTTTTTTTAATTAGTGTGTGGTGTTTGGTTTGTTTGAAGTGTTGGGTTTTTAAGTTTTATGCAATTTGTTGTGGAAAGTTTAGGTTAAGTTGTTAAAGAATAGTGTTAAGCTTTTATGGCTTGGTTATGGTTTAGTGTTATGTTTAAAATTAGATAACACTGTTACGAGTTGGGCTTAGGTGTAGTGGCAGGCTTAAGATTTGTTAGGCAAAAATCAGGTGCCTGATTTGTGATACCCATTGTAGACATATTGTTTTCAATGTTGGCATGTCAGCTGATAGATTTTAGAGCACACTCAATGAACCTGTGTTTTAGAGCACTCTGTACACATCTGTTGTTTATGGCACACTTAAAACAAACATGTTTTAGAGCACATATAACACATCTGTGTTTTAGAGCACACCCATGTTTTAGAGCACACATAACACATTTGTGTTTTAGAGCACACTTAACACACCTGTGTTTTAGATCATAGGTATGACTTTAGCCCATGAGGTGTGTCTTTAGTCCATGAAGTGTGTCTTTAGCCCATGAAGTGTGTCTTTAGCCCATGAAGTGTGTCTTTAGCCCATGAGGTGTTTCTTTAGCCCATGAGGTGTGTCCTTTAGCCCATGATTTGTGTCTTTAGCTCTTATGGTTTAAGCTGAGTGAGTTGCTTACATACTACATAGGTTCTCTGGTTAAAAACTTGATATTAATCACCGAATCTGACACACATGATTTATAATAACGACGTTGGCCTTGCCATGAAACCATGATTTATTTGCTCCTTGTTTTAGGTTTGTTGTTGTTGTCGTTTATCTCCTCGTTTGTTAAAATTAACATTCCCAACAAGCTAATACATTTCTTATCCTATTCATCACAAATGTAAATCCAAATGTTCACTGCTAGGAGCTATTTCAACTAATGATGCTAGTGTTATATTGCTGTCGATACCATCACTTACATTGTTGTAGTCAATAACGACCTAATGAACTTGCTCAATAACAATTGTTTTTGTTTTTTATTATTTGAAAAACGGTAGTGTAAATTATTCATTTAACCAGCACAATATTAGGTATTTTGATCAGCAGTATGTCCAGTAGCCCAATGGAATCAGTACATTAAAGTCGTGAGCCGACTTAAAAAATCCAGTTTCTTATCGATTATTTTTTTTTACCCGTTACCCTTTGGCTGTCAGTAAGAGGATTAAGGTCATGTTAAATAATTATTTCAGCAATAACAGTTACAAAAACATAGTCGTTACTTCCCGACTTAGTTATTTGAAATATTAACTCCGAGGTTTATTTCTTTGATTTTTATTGTTGTTTCCCCCTAGATTGTCCCCACCACTAATGCAAAAAGTGCACGGTAGAAAAGTTAAGCCCCGCCACTTTTTGCCAGCTCCAATTTAATACACGCACGCAACCTTGACTATTTCTGATGTCTAGACGCACGCCATAAAAATTAACTCCTCTGGGGTTAGGGTTGGGTTTTAAAAAAAAGTACGTTTCATGTTGTCCTTATTTTTATTCTTTTTATTATTTATTTTTTTGGTGGCGGGAGGGTAGGGGGGGGGATAGCTTTATTTTGGCGGGGCTTATCCGGAAAATATCTGTCTTAACCTTGCGGCAGCAAATATTGTCTAGTTATCTACAAACATCTAGAATAAAACATCTATATGTAAAAATGTTCCAGTTGTATTAAGCATCTGGAGTTCTAGACGGATGTTGAAAAAAAAAGGTTTCCTGTTTATGCAAATGAAGTTTGGCTGCCGTCTGCTTTATATGCGGAGTAGCGTATCCTGTGTTAGATGCGGAGTTGCGTACCTTGGCTGTGAAATCCCAGACTGCTGTGTCGTCATTTGTTACACAGTTCCCCCAGTTTTCTGTTTCTTTGGGTGTGTATGGGGGATGAGGCTTTTGCACAATATAGTCTCATGTCTATTAACTTAACGAGCAATAATATACAAACGTCATTGACTTAGGCATGCATTTGTCATGCGCCGCGGACCCCAAATATTTTTATTAAAACAAGTGTTTGGAGATGGACGTACGGGATTATATCGTTGAGTGTTTGGTACAAAATTTAGCGCAAAGTGAAAATAGATGCAGCTTTTTTCCCAGACTTTTTTTTCTACGAGGTGGTTGGAGGGGTGGGGCAGATTATATTTATTTTCTGTATTTTTTTATTCGGGTGGGGGAGGGGGGGGGGGCGGCTGATAGAAACGCTGATTCTGTAGTAATGTCTGAATGTGTGAAAATATTGGGTGGGAATGTCTGAATGTGTGAAAATATTGGGTGGGAATGTCTGAATGTGTGAAATTATTGGGTGGAATTGTCTAAATGTGTGAAAATATTGGGTGGGAATGTCTGAATGTGTGAAAATATTGGGTGGGAATGTCTGAATGTGTGAAATTATTGGGTGGAATTGTCTAAATGTTTGAAAATATTGGGTGGAATTGTCTGAATGTGTGAAAATATTGGGTGGGATTGTCTGAATGTGAAATTACTGGGTGGGATTGTCTAAAAGTGTGAAAATACTGGGTGGGGTTACCCCTTGCTATACTACACACACTAATAGCACATTCCGTAGTGCTTCATCACCCTTGTGACGTCATCTGCGATTTTCGGGGTAGAAGTGGAGTAATTACCGTTGGGTATTAATTAGCGCCAAGCAATTAATTACTCAGTGTGTAGCGCGTGCCCAAGCCGTCGTGTGGGCCGTGTTGTTCTCTTGTCTGGTCTGTTGACCACAACATGGCGGACCCCAGCACGCCCACCATCTTTGTGGCCCAGGTCATTCTCGGCTTGGAGAGGAAAGGACTTTTGCGCCGGGATGCGGGCGTTTTCCTTGTGGTAGGTCGTGTGTTAGGTCATGTGAAGGTTGTAGGTCAAGTGGTTTTTTTTGTGTGTTTTACGTCATGTGTAGGTTAGTTTGTTAGCTCGTGTGTAGGGTCTATGTAGGTTGTGTGTTATATCATATTTAGGTTGCGTTAGGTCATGTGTATGTTGTGTGTTAGGTCATGTGTAGGTTTTGTTAGGTCATGTGTAGGTCGCGTGTGTTATTTCATGTGTAGGTTGTGTGTGTTAGGTAATATGTTGGTTATGTGTGTTAGGTCATGTGTTAGGTCATGTGTATGTCGCGTGTGAGGTCCTGTTAGGTCAGTGTGAAAACTTGGGGTGAGCCAGGTAGAATACCGAGCCGATTAATTACATTGCGCAAGACAGTAGGAGCAGAAATCATTCAGACACCTTTGGTGGAGGGGGTGGAAGGGCGTGTTCTAAATGTCACACGCCATAAAGTGACGAAAATAATTTCAGGTCACCCCAGGTTTTTGTTTTATCCCGTTTTTCATCAATCCTTTCATCAACCTTGTCTTTTATCAATTCTTTCATCAACCTTGTCTTTTATCAATCCTGTCTATCATCCACACTTCCATCAACCCTGTCAACCATCCACACTTTCATCAACCCTGTCTATCATCCACACTTTCATCAGTCCTGTCTATCATCCACACTTTCATCAATGCTATCATCAATCCCGTGCGTATATTTTTGTAACCATTTTGTCGACCACTGACAATAATTGGTGTATCCAAACATTTCTTTAGACCAGGGTAGTGTTATAAAACCTTGACCAGGGTGGTAAAGTCAGGCTTATTTTTGGAAAGGTGAAGGAGACCCCCCCCCCTCCCTCTTACTTCTTATTCTCCCAACCCAATTAGATTTGTCACTAATTATATTGGGGTGGGGGGATAAAAATATGGGAGTGAGGGATTTTTTTAAAAAAAAGATTTGTCACGTGGAGGGGGGGGGGTATTATTTTTTTGCCGCATACTAAAGCCTCCATTATTTCAAAACGAGTTACTGGTTGGACTATGGTCGCAGAAGCCGACAGTGAAATCTAATTCTGGCAGCTTTTTTTTTGTGAAGAATCCAAGCTCTTTAGCTTTAACATTCTAATATGTTCTGTCATTCGTTATAGCATAATCATAAGGCGAAATTTTTGTTTTGCACTCCATTACCAAACTGAGTATAATTTTTTTTTAATTATTATTATTATATGCGCCATTTTGTTTTGACCCTATAACTAGCACCGGTCCTAATGAGAGTTTATTTTCGTCAACAATCAGCTATTATTGTACTTTGATCATTATTACAAGCGCCATCTTTGGAATCTGTTGTTGTGGCGCTATAATTAGCATCAGTAGACGGCAGTCAGTTCTAAATATAGGACAGCCGTATCGATTTGTCTTAGGCCAGACTTAAGGAAGGGCTCGGTGCGTCGTCTGCTTCCAGAAGAGTTATGTCCCTGCACATCTTTATTTTTCCCGTAGGAGGCTGGTCGGGTCTTGGCCTCAGAATTTTGGGTGGCTCCAAAAATTTCTTACGATATTATTTTTTTTTTTCTGTTCCCATCTTAAGTCTTACTGCTTTATTTGAGGAATTATTATCTTATTAATAACGTGAGTTATTGGCGGTGAGAATCGTGATTTGTGTTGTATTTTTAGGCAGTGAATTTTAAGTTTGACACTGCTGGTTGTGATGTTGTAGAAATACGTTGTTGTCGGAGTGCTTTGTGTGTGTACAAAGGAAGTGTTAGAAATCTGTGGTGGTGATAGCAGGTACAGGCAGCCTGCAGTGATAGTGTTAGGAAACACAATGTGGATATGACAGTAGATCTAGTACTTTGTGCAACCATGGACATCAAATTTAAGTTCGAACTCTGCACTGTGTTAATTAAAAGGATAGTTGTCTCAGTTAATGTCTGGTTATACTGTGTGCTAAGAAAGACAAATTATATTTCGTTTAGTATAAGGTCAAGGAAAAAAATCAGATGTTGTTACCAGCTAGATCTAGAGTCTAGTATTTTTATTGTCAAATGTGCTATGTAGATTAGTGTTCTCTAGTGCGAGACTTGACAAATTAAATGTTTGTGAATGAATGAATATATATATATATATATATATATATATATATATATATATATATATATATATATATATATATATATATATATATATATATAAACATAAGCATTTTCAGAAGTAGTCAAACCCAGTGTTTACTTTTCTGTAATAAAAATGTCATTGAGTTTTGATATGGTAGGTGAGGGGGTAGACTTATTACATCAAATTTTTTTCATAGTGACAGTTCTCATATTTAAGTATGTGGTATTGGCAGTGTTATCACTGATAGTTTTATGGTTGGCAAAGTCAGGTGTTGTTTTGTATATGGCATCCAACTTAATTTAGCCTAATAACCGAGACTTTGATACTTGCCTCTTTAAATATAAGTGCACTGTGCAAGCTTATGAAATTTTTTTTAAATGTTGTCAATGATAGAAAGATATATAGTTCCAACATAATCATGAACGAAACGTCAATGTGGGGTATCATGTTATGTATATGATAAATGTTGAAATATCATGTTTTGTGTATGATAAATATCGAAATAACTTTCTTTCTCAGGTTGATGAGCGCAAGTTGAACCCTAAACCCCCATCTCCACCTGACCCCTATGAAAACCTGCTCAAGGAGATTAGGGCAAGGCCTAAGCTAAAGCCTGTCAAAGGTGGAAAGTTGTTAGGTGAGTTGTGATAGTCACTTTTGTATGTGGGGTCATTTTCATGATGTCTTTTATCAACCCTGTCTATCATCCACATTTTCATTTATTATGATATTGTGCCAGTTTCATTGGTTACTTTTGTATGTAAAGGTCATTCTCATTGGGCAGTATATTAAGCCAGTTTCATTGGTTACTTTTGTATGTAAAGGTCATTCTCATTGGGCAGTATATTGTGCCAGTTTCATTGGTTACTTTTTGTATTTAAGGTCATTTTCATTGGGCAGTATATTAAGCCAGTTTCATTGGTTACTTTTGTATGTGGGGCTACTGCTATTGGTCATTAGACTGAACCAGTTTCAATGGATACTTTAATTTACTGGATCATTCTTATTGGCTCCCTTAGTTTATATATTATTGGTCATTTTAACTACACATTCATCATTTTAGTTTATATATTTAACTGCACAGTCTAGAACATAAATTGTCTTAATTATGAGGTGTATTATAGAACTAGGCCTAATTACTCCTCTTGCATGTGCCACAGTTGAAACCAGTGGCTCCATTCTCAACGATGACCTGGAACACCCAGTCAAGCGTGTCATCAAACCAGATCTAAACCTCTTGAAGGATAACAGTTTTGAGGTATGGGGGAACGTTTGGGCTTTTGATACTTCATGAGGCATGTCTTATATAAGGGGGGCCGTTTGGGCTTTTGATAGCTCATGAGGCATGTCTTATATAAGGGGGGCCGTTCGGGCTTTTGATATTTCATGAGGCATGTCTTATATAAGGGGGGCCGTTTGGGCTTTTGATATTTCATGAGGCATGTCTTATATAAGGGGGGCCGTTTGGGCTTTTGATACTTCATGAGGCATGTCTTATATAAGGGGGGCCGTTTGGGCTTTTGATATTTCATGAGGCATGTCTTATATAAGGGGGGCCGTTTGGGCTTTTGATACTTCATGAGGCATGTCTTATATAAGGGGGGCCGTTTGGGCTTTTGATAGCTCATGAGGCATGTCTTATATAAGGGGGGCCGTTTGGGCTTTTGATACTTCATGAGGCATGTCTTATATAAGGGGGGCCGTTTGGGCTTTTGATATTTCATGAGGCATGTCTTATATAAGGGGGGCCGTTTGGGCTTTTGATACTTCATGAGGCATGTCTTATATAAGGGGGGCCGTTTGGGCTTTTGATAGCTCATGAGGCATGTCTTATATAAGGGGGGCCGTTTGGGCTTTTGATACTTCATGAGGCATGTCTTATATAAGGGGGGCCGTTTGGGCTTTTGATAGCTCATGAGGCATGTCTTATACAAGGGCTGTAAAGATATCTTTTATTGCGACATGGTGATTCGTTGAAGGGGGGGAGGGGGGGTCCTAGAGACCCTTAGAGATAGTTGTTAAGACAGGTGGCATTTAAATGTCTAACACATTGTTGTTGTTTTTTTATGAAGATAGGGGTGGGGTTGGAGGGGATGGCATTTATGACCAGTGATATAAAACTATACCATTTGCACTGTTTATGTTCAGCTGAGTTTATGGGGGGGGGGGGGGGGGGGGGGGTGGAATAATAAATAGATAGAATAAATAAAGCTTACAATAAATAAGCTTACAGGACAGAACACATTGATGGTTGTTTTGACTGACAGCTTATGGAGGGTTTTTAAATTATTATTATCACTTTAGTGGTTGGGGGGGGGGGGGGGGGCGCAAGCTAATCGGCTTTAATCAGAGTTAATTGGACTCACTGACCCAGTGATATTGTACAGGTTGTAAACATGATTTATTTACTGGGCTTTATCAAACAGCCTAATTACTTAGCTCAGCCTAATTACTTAGCTCAGCCTAATTACTTAGCTCAGCCTAATTACTTAGTTCAGCCTAACTACTTAGCATTAACTTGTAAAAGAAATTGTTTACAATTTTTTTAATTGGGCTATTTCTAACAGCCTAAAAACTTAGCATTAACGTTTATAAGAAATTGGTTACAATTTTTTTATATGGCTTTATCAAACAGCCTAAAAGCTTAGCATTAACTTATAGAAGAAATTGCTTACAATTTTGACACTGAATGCAAACACTTTCAGGAATCTTCCGATGATGATGAGAGCAGCCGTTGTTCATTGACTGGATCCCTGCCCCAGCTGTCACCCACCATGACACCTCCCATCTCTTGGCAAAGAGCAGGTAACTATCATGTGACGTCAACTTTGGTGTGTGACAGAGTGGCCTAGCTGTAGAGAGATCGACTTCTAACCCGAAAGCAGTGTTCCCTCTAAGCTGCGCGGCTGCGCGGCCGCGCAGTACTTTCAAATGTGCCGCGCAGACATTTTCTGACCCCGCGCACAGATTATCAAAACGTCGGGCGAGCCTGATTCACTAAAAAAATGTGGCCAGTGGTTTGAATTAAGCGACAATTTTAGTACCTGTTTTGTTAAACGAACAGTCTTTGTGTTTTGGGGCATAAACCACAGCTATCATTGACTGGGGGGGGGGGGGAGTGACCTCGGTTGTCATACCACAGGTCTAGTTAATGACTTCACTCTAAATTGAGTGGGGCGGGTTCCGATGTGATGTCTGGGTGACCCTCCCTATGCTTGATTTAATGGTTTACTGACCGTAGCGGAAAGGTAGCGGCTACTAGCTGACCATGCAAGGTTTTATTTTCTATTGTCACTGCCCTCCCCCATCTCCCAACCCCACCCACCTCCTTGATACTATGACGGTTTGCCCAAGTCAGATGCAAAATCTACTTTACTAAAGGTGGATGTGTTTTTACACTGTTTGGTTTAAGGATTTATATACTGTATATCCAATTCTTGGGATTATTACGTGCACCTGGATCGAACTGTTTCAGTGATAACAAACTGGTTTGGTAAATAAGGAATAAAAGTTTACTACCCTGTGCTATTTGAAAATGTTGAATAGAAAATGTGTGTAACAAGCAGTACAACAATGTGGCACAAAAAAAAGCGATAGATTCGTTTAAACTGGAATGGCTCAAAGTTAAAGTAACAACCGATACGCCAGATCAAAGAATGTTTCGGTTGAATTAGAAAGCATCTATGAATATTCAGATGAGATTGGACTGAAGTGTAAGTTCTGTGCTGCTACTACTTGTAACAAAACCAACAAGAGCAACGAATTGGTCACAGGGAAGCTCTGGGAATCATGGGCGCTTGACTACTGAAAACGTCATCTATTGTCTCGTGTTTACGTAGGAAATGTTGCGATTTCGTACAACCGCTCACATGGAACTGACCTTAAACGTCTGCTGGTTGAAACTTACACAGAGTGAGGAAAACTAATTGAGCAAAACGAGCGCCAGCGGTCAAGCGAGAATCAAGTTCGAATCCTAACGGATAATGTTCTTCTTACCATAAGGATGAACGCCTCCATGCTGTCGGTACAACTGATTCATAACCACATGGGGAAGTATGTTTCTATACCAGACAGTTGGCGTAGTAAGAAATACGCCTTTGAGTTTGTTCAAGTAATCAACGATGTTGTAAAGAACACACTGACAGAACTTCGAGCAGCATCATTCCACACGCTTATAGTTGATGAAAGTACTGGCATAACAGAACATAAAATGCTAATCCTTTATTTTAAATTTCGTCCAGTCAATTCTGTATTCTACTAAACCGTTTTTAGTGGAATAACTCAGCATACTGTAAGTGATGCCTTAGCTCTGGAGACAGCCGTAACACAGCACTACACTGAACATTAAAACCAAGAAAAGTGTGAGTTAAACGAAAGAATCGACACAAGGCAAACCACACAGTACATACAATCAGTCTGCGACCATTTAAATGTTAGGTTTCCAGGAGATGAACTGCAGTTTTGGTCATCTTTTTTTATTCTACAGGTTTAAAAAAATGTGCATTTGAGTTTGGCGTCAAAGATATCAAAGAACTATGCGTAAAGTACAAAGACGGGTTATGTACAACAAATGATCAGTTAATTACCACCCAATACAACGACTTCAAATTTCGATAAAGTGAAAAACTCAAATCTGTTTCTGTAAATTATATAACTGAATATGCAAGATTTGTCAAAACAAAGAACAAAATTTAGCTCACTGGCAAAGTTAAGTGACATTATTGTACCAAGCATGCAGTGCTGATTACGAACAAGGTTTTAGGCTTATTAACATAATAAAAGTGCAAGTACGAAATAGACTTGAAGCCACACATTTGGAGAATCTAATGCAAATTAAATTATATCTAAATGCTGGAGAGGATGTAGATTTAAACAAAGCATATAAGGTGTGGAAGCAATGCAAGGTTAGAAGCGAGAAATTGCAATAAATGCCCCTGAATGGTTAGCTAATATTTGTTTTTAAGTCAGCTTTATTAAATGTTGCATATGTTAAACTATTGTGTTTGTATTACCGTTATGGTATTAGCATTATTACCATATGACTGTCTTACTTTAACATAGTAAGTCGACCATATAACTTGTTGTCTGAGTATAACTCTGAAAGTTTTTATTAGTTTTTTATTTTTATTTTGATGGTATTCGTATCTCCATTTAATTGCACACGTTTCATTAGTCACACACATTATACTATTAATTTATCAAAATGCATGCCTTCATTATTATGCTTAATTGCAAGACTAAAAATACATATTAACTTGCCCAAGTCATTTTTAGCACCGCGCACACAACATATTTTTTGCACACACACTCTTGGTCCTTAGAGGGAACATTGCCCGAAAGTCTCGAGTTCGAATCCGGGTTCAAGTCAGTAGAGCTTCCTCGAGTCCACCTAGTTCTGATGGGTACCTAACTCATGTTAGGGAAAGTGAAGTTGGCTGGAAATAGTGCAAACCATAGTATCCCTTCATATGCTGAGGTATCAGAAACAGGTGAACTCTACTTCACTTACCTCATAGACCATCAGGTTTGAAAGGGAACTTGATTTACTTTACTACTTTGATCTATGAAATAGTTGTCTTTTTTCACTTTCTCTCGAGTGCTTCTTACTCTGCTTGCTATGTTATTATTAAGCAGTGGATTGGTTTTTTGTTTGGTTTTTTTTGTTTAATTTTTTTTTTTTTAAAAGCTAGTATTAAATGTTATATGACTATTTTTTAATTTGGCAGTTACCAAGGATGTGCTGCTGAGGGACTCAAGCAATGCTCGCCCCAACAGACTTCAGAGGAGGCACACAATCATGGTGTGCGAGTCGGCCCTGGAAGGAAAGGTATCCCTGCAAGAGCTACCTCCCCTCGAGGAGGAGGAGGAGCCGTCGCCAGTCCGAGAGAGCCATTTCTCTCACGATTTTTCTTTGCATGGCCAACTAACTAGAACTTGTGTGTCAGAGCATGACCTGACCTCCCAGCGGAATTCCCGTAAGTCTTCCTTAGAGCACAGGCGGTCGTTGACCTCTCTGCCCACTGGACTCAGCGTCATACCTGAGGATGTCGGGCCAGAGTCCCCGCCTAAACAACTCCCCTCCAGGAAGAAGTCTTGGAGTCAAGAGCATGCTCCTCCCCCAAACCCATCGCCCCCTTGTAAAGGACGTGCGCGCTCCGCCATGGGCAGACAAATCTCTCACTCTCCGCTTATTTCTAGTGCATGTTTGACATCAACGAGCATGTCCGTGCCTGTTTTTAACCCTCACCCTATCCGACAAGACAAGTCGCAGTCTGCGTTGGACGTGGGCGCGTCCAGCCAGTCGCCGCACTACAGCCCTATGGCCAACCAATCAAAAGTAAGCCAAGCAGCCAGGTGGAGACAACCCCGGGCCAGGGAAGATCGACTGGCTAGTAAAAAACAGGTTAACCCTATCCCGGATGAAATAGCCCAGCCGATCCCTGAAACGGAGGAGGATGTTTTATACCGTCGGCTTTCCCTGGATAGCCAAGCCAGTATCTACACAACGCCTAAAGGTGTGCTGACTCGACCAACCAGATCCTCGTTGGACGAAGAAAGGATATCCAGGTGGAGGACGCTGCAAGAGGAGGAACTGTCCTCCAGGAAAAGCAACTCCACACAGAAACAATCCACAGACTCGGAAGACGCGCTGCAGCTCAGGCTGAAGGCGGAGGAAGCCAGGCTTGACAGGTGGCGCACCCTGGAACAACCCGGTTGGAGCCGGGAAAAGACAAAACTCAGAATGGATGTAGGTGAGCCCGAGCCGGCAAATAAGAAAGAAACTCCGAGCACGCAATCTCTGAAAAAAATACCAGTCCTTCACGATCCAAAGAAACACAGCAACATCACCCTCCCTGTAAGTAGAGATTTTTCTTTTTGTCTGAACTGACTGTTCAAAACTTTGTCTTGACAGTATTTATTGGCTACAGCTCTCTTATCTTGTCACTTAATAGATTGTAGTCTTGAAGACCAGAATCAATAGAAACCTTTCTTATCAGCAAAGTCATACAAAGCTGAGAATTTTTTATCTCTTTTAATCTGACTTTCATTACAAAGCAATAGTATTGAACCATTAGTCATCAAGTTTTAGAAAAATAGAAGGCAAAAATGTTTACATTTTTTAAAATTAACTATTTACATTACATAGATGTACAACCCTACTGTGTCCTCTTCTTTCTCTCCACCATTTGTTTTAATTGACTAAAACAGCTGTTGCATATCTTTTTATTTCTGTTTTTTTTTTACATGTTTTATTTACATATCGATTTTTACTAGAAATCCTAAGTGGTACCACCAATTATCTCTTCTTTTTTTTTTTTTTAAATTTGGAAATTCATTGGTTTACATTGTTTATGACAGCTATTGGAATACAAGTTCCTTTTTTCTTTTAATGCCTGATGATTGCGCATAGTGTTGTGAATAATTTTTAAATTTGGTCATTCAATACTGTTTTTTGTTTTTTTCTAATGACTAATGTTTGTGCATGGTTTTGATCTCACACCTTAGTTCTTATGGTTGTCTTACTTTCTAGTGGACTTCTAACAGGCTTTTTATAAAAATCGAGTTCAGTTTTTAAAAAAACATACAAGTTTGCATTCTATTGGTCTAAAACTAGATAAAATTAAATTGGTTTATTGTTGGTTAATAGTTAAAAGATCTCATGAGCAACTTTAAATGTGATACAATGCTGATTAAAACCTAATTCTATCTCATAAAATGGTTTTAGGTATATAAAAGATTTGTACCCTACTTAATCGAATGTAAAATTGTAAGAAACATCACTTTCCAACCATCCTCTCCCCCTTCTTGTGTAGGTTATATGAAATCTGTGTCATCATGGAAGTAAATTGTTTTTTTAAAGATATTCTTGTACCAGCATATATAGAAACTATTTATGGCCGACGAAGTATGTATTCGCTACTACTTGTGATGACATTTTTAGGTTCCCTTACACTTTACCCAATACATAAATAACTAAATATTTATTCCTTACAATTCCTTGCTGTAGAAAACTGTTTACCCTCTGTATTATTTGTTTTTAGTTGTGTTTTCACCTTTTAGCTTATATTCATCTTTTAGACTAGCCTACTTCATCAAATAGGTGTGCAGCGTATTTGTTTTTTTTCTCCTATTCTGAGAATTTTTTTTTAAAATTACAATTTCACATTGAAAGTGTGTTGGCAACTGCTGATTATTTTACATTTAAACAGTTGTGTTATGGATGTTGGGTAATCCCAGTGTAGTTCACTTGATCATGAGTTAATTTTCCTTGGTTTCCAGAAAGATTGGCAGAACCCTGTAGAGTGCTTGAGTCTGACTTTGGAAGAAGTGACCCATATAAGGGAGGTTTTAACAAAAGCAGAACTGGAATCTCTCATCTCTCATCCAGAATTGTACCAACAAGTCTCTAAAAATAAAGTAGGTCAAGGTTGCTGGAGTTACAAAAATTGTCAGTGGAGTCAATAAAAAACTGTGATCAGGATGCTAAGGAAAAAAAATTTAAATTATCCTCACTAGTTATATATTACTAGTTTGTTACAGACTTGAGGAAGAAATAATGTGAAGAGATTTACTTGAACTGTTAAAAAAAACTGCAATTTAGTAATTAGTAAATTTAGTAAATGAACAATCAGTATTAATAGTAAAGTTTAGAATTATTGAGAATTAAACTGGCCAGTTACTTGTCTTGTTGATTGTTTTTTTTTTAAATTGAGGAGTGCATTTATAAAGTTTTCTTTTTCCTTCCAGTTGTGTTTTACGTGCAAGACAAGTCGGTTTACATTGTTTGGTGAATGGGGGACGAAATGTAAACTTTGTAAAAGGACTGTCTGTTCCAAGTGTGTGAGAAAGGTAGCCGGATGTTTTTTTTCTCTTTCTTTTGTCTTGCCAAGTCCAAGCTAACACTCAGCATGTTTGAGAGACACCTCCTGTACTTATGTGACAATGTTGGCCCAGTTAAGCTTGTGACTAGACTTAAAACCTTTCTCTTTGCTTAACTCCCACACATACTTCCCACCTGTTTCAACCTGCTGTTTACATCACACTGTGCACACAGTGAATTGTTGTGTTTATTTGTATATCTACACACAAAAAACCCATTCACATATACCACCTGCTTCAAACATATACTGTACACAAAGTGAATTGTTTTATTTATTTGTATTTTGTATAACTATAACAACTACCATCCACATTTACAATATTTTTCAATGGTGTGACAACATGTACATCACATTGTTAAGAAAATGAATAGTTTATACATCTTAATAAATATTTATCTTTGATTGTTTTGTGCAGATGAATATTCCAACAGATCACTTCAGAAACATACCTGTATATACACTAAGCCCAGCTCCACTTTCTCTAGAAACTGAAGAGTTTATTCAGAACATGATCAGGTAGGTCATGACCATGTTGATGTTTCCTAGCTCAGAACAGGCATGAGAATCTTCACTTCATCCAATTGCACAGATGTGATTGTTTCTCAAAGTTATTGTAATCCTTTTAGCATATTTGTATTGATACCATTGGTTTTTTTACTATAGAGAAGTAAGTGGTGGAAAATAGTGAAAATAAACTGGGAAAACCTTTTTTTTTGAGTGCTTAAACCAACACATTAACCTTTAGGGTTAGCTATAGGGTTGAAGTAGCTATATGAATAAATGAGTACGGCTAACTGATGAGTACCTAAAAAACTATTTGTTTTACGAAAGATTTGTTTTTCCCATCAACCACTTATTGGTTTAATAATTACATTTAACAAAAAAAAATGTATTTTTTTAAAAAAAGGAAAAAAATTGGTTGACAAAATATTTTTACTTGTATAAAAACTATATATGTAGTTCCAAAATAAATGTAAAAAATAAAAATTTTCAAATGTAGTTCAATAAACATTTACAATTGTTAATTGGCTCGTTATTCTTGTGTTCCAGAAATCCTCCACCCTGCTCAGTTCCGCCAACAAGGGATACCAGCCCAAGCAGAAAACACATCATTCCCTCCTTGGACGACCATCACAGCCAGGATCCCAAATCTGAAACCTGCCTAGCCCAGTTTGATGTGACAAACATTCGAACAATTGAAAGGTCCCAGTCTGTGCTCGTACCTGGCCACAAATCGACCAAAACCACAATGAAAGGCCCCCTGATGGCCATCTGCTGTGACTGTAAGGGTATGGTGACAGAGATCATCAGGGCGTCGAGATCGTCTCTGGCCAAGTTGTCTGCATCACATACCTCTGCGGGAAACTGCAAGCCCAAGTCAGGCCTCTAAACCACATTCCATACCTGGAACACATCACACATACAACCAGCATACATACTAGTAGTACTTCTCGCCTATGCTGGTTTGTTTTCAATGGATTTGTCTCCAGTAATCAATTTAACTAATGGTAAATACATGGTTACACCTGAACTATGAGCAACTAAATTGTTTGTGAAACGACCTGTCATCTAAATTTCATCAAGTGGACTCCACACAGTGGCGACGCATCTCATACTTCCCGCATTGTGTCTGATCCTCAAAACAACGCACTATATAAGTATATAAACCATTCCTTCACATCTGAAATGACATACAAAGTCTGAACATTCCTTCTCCACGTCTGAACCTCACAATGACAAACAATAAACGTACCTCCCCACAAGGGAGTATAAATTCCACGTACACATCCTAAGTACATCACAGAAATCATGTTGTAAATGTTCCATTCTTTCAATTATTTTAATCAAGGGAGACAACTGTCTTTTACAGTGTAGTTTATTTTTAACTAGCTCAACTGTAAAGTGTAATGGGATGTGAGCAACTCCTGTTTGAAGGTTTTAATCATCGATTCCAATTTAACACTGCATCATTTGTGCATAATTGAGTGATTGCCTCGAGCAATTATATGTGAAATGAAAAAGTAGAATACTCGAAGGTATTAATGTTAGTATTATGCCATCAGGACCAATATTTTAATGTTTTCGTATTTTATCTCATTAGTATCAGCAATAATTTGTTCCGATTTTTATTTCTACTTCCAGATTTCTATTCCTATATAACTTATTTTGAGCACGGGTGATATGCATTTATCTAGAGAAACTGAAATTATTTTTAACATTTATCATGTTGTGAATAATTTATACATGACCAGCTAGTGAATAATGAGTGAAAAAAGGAATGAATGTTTGACATTCCAACTACAAGCATTCTTTTACATCAGACCATCTGTATATTTTAAATGAGGTATGATCAATTCATTTTGATGTTACCTTTTCCTTAACTGAGATTTGTATTGATATATGCCATCTAATTCTAATGTGCTACATTACAGTGAAAATGTGCTACCTCCCTGTGGTATTACTACGTAATGTACTATGTAAAGTAATTTATAAACTCCTAGTGTTACTACACAAAGTATAAGTAATTTAATAGGATATACAGATGGTCACCTTGATATTTTACCTTCCCCCCCCCCTTTCCTAGTTAAGTATTGTACAGATGTTTCATACTGTTGTTTCCATTCCAATATGTAGTCTTTGTGGCTGTTAACTAACAGGGCTGTTGAGTTCAATCTGTTGCATGTGTAAGTCTTTAGTACTTGTGTGCTGTTTCGTGTAGGTTTTGGTATTTAAATAAGCAAGTAAATTTATTTTAATTTTTTTAGAAATGAAGAATTAAATGTCTAATTTTGCATGGATATATATCTATAAGTATGTGTGGATTGTATATCATTCACATGCAGCCATGTTTTTTTTTAATTTGAAGTAATTTGGTAAATGTTAGATGAAACATCTCTTACTAGATTTAACTTGGTTTTAATTTGCTTGCTACTCTCCAGCTGTGTGTGGGTGCCATGTGTACAAGTTGTCCATGAAAATATTTTGTTGAGCATTGTTTGTACCAGTTGGTTGTGTCCTGTGCCTTGATGGGCACCAACCTATCGCTATCTACCTGGCTGTACTTCAGTGAAGTAGATGGTTAGAATTTGTTGTGTAATTAGTTGTTGACTAATTGTAATAAAGATCATGTAGCCCAAACTGGTGTTTGACTTGTTTTATGGTTTATATAACTGGCATGGTGGAAAATAAATATGTGGACGGCTTTCTCTGCAACCAAAGAATGACAAAACCTGAGAATTGCTAAAGTCTGACTTGATTGATAGCAGTCCCATTAATAGATGATTGCGCCTTGGAAAACCAAGCACAAGGCTCTTTTTTGAATAATGGATTATTTCTTTAATTTATTAATGTACTATTTGGACAACACAATAATAAAGCCAACAAAGACTTGGGCTGAAAAGATCGAACAATTTTATTTTTCTTATCTCCTCCTCCTTTTGTTGTTACCTAGATTAAAAAAATAAGACAGAATATATTTTATTTAGTCTTTCAATGTATGTCTTATTTTTTTAAAATTAAGAAAAACTAGACTGAAATAGTAGTTACCTTTCTTTCCTTTGTGTTTCTGTAAATAGAAAGAGAAGGTAAATTAAAGCAATACTTTTTAAAATCATCATTACCAAACTTTATATTAAAACTAAGAGAAAATTGATAAATATATATTATCTGATAACAGAATTGTAAAATAATAGTATCACACACTTATTTAATTCAGAATGTGCACAAACAATAAAACATTAAAAAACATTTTACCTTCTGAGATATCTTTCGCTTTTTCTTAGATGAACCATCCTAGATAAATAAAGCAATACTTTTAGCACTGGTAAACATTTTAAAATAAAGTAAATAATGAGAAATAAATACTTTCAATCCCTAAAATACAAATTAATGTACATGTGTGGCATTTTAGTGCCATCATTAGCATACCATAGTTTCTCCCTCTCCAAAGTCATCAAAGTCAGCCAACGCTCCGAGTGCAGACATGGTACCCAACTTTCTTCTTCCAGCCTGGAATTAATAGAATACGTTACTCACAATAGAAAATTTTAAAAGACAATGTTCTTGATATTAGTTCAACAGACATAAAACCTTCACTTAGCATAAATACAAGTTTTAAAGATATTTACTTTGTATAGTATGTATGCACCAAAAAAAAAAATTTGGCCTACCATTTCTTTCTTCGACACTGTAAGCCTGACAAAATTATCTTCTTCATATCTGTAAACAAAAGATAACATAAATGAGCCCTCTGTATCGGTGTCGATCTTATAATAATTCGTATGGTTAAGAAACCCATTTTGTTTCTTATACAACTGATGATACTTACTCTGTTTTTTCTTTCATTTTACGATTCTCCAAAATTCTGTGAAGATCATGCGATTCCTAAAAGATATGAAATTGTGTAACAAGGGTGTTAGTATTATTTATTATTTTTTTAATTATCACTGGGAGTTTTTCTTAAATATGGCTAGAGAAGTGGTCCTCTATAACAGATACACTTCCAGTATTTTTCCTACTATTTTGCTGTTAATAAATTTAGCAACTAGATCTATATAAAGATATGACATGCATTATCTATCGAGTTTGATCATATAATTATTACTGTGCTATCAGTTGTTTCTGAAGTAAAATCATGGATGCTTATGGTGTTAACAACTTACAACAATCTCTATGGGTGCATCTGTGTACTGTTCCCTCATCTCACGAATCATGGCCGAGCTCAAAGCTCGCTTTGTTTTTTTCTCAACCATTTTCTTCTCCCTCTCCTCCATTGTTTCATCATCAGCTGATTAAAAGAAAAATGTTTAATTCTTTAAGGTAATAAAATAAGTAAAAAAATAAGCAACAACAATTAACCAACAGCATGAAATATTTTTTTAATTGTAATTAAAAAAGAAAGAAAAAACTACTATGATAACCAAAAGTATAAACAATTGTCAAATAAAAGGACACATTAGCTATAAGAATAATAAACAGAAATAAAAAAGCAATAGTAAAACCAGTATGAGACAAAACATAATGAAAAATATGCAACTTTAGCTGTCAGCACAATAAACAGACATAAAAAAAACAGTGAAACCAGTAAGTGATCGCATAATGAAGTATGGACAACAGTGAGATAAAATGACATTATTTACAGAAATAACAATGACATATGGACAACAGTGAGATAAAATGACATTACTTACAGAAATAACAATGACATATGGACAACAGTGAGATAAAAGGACATTACTTACAGTAATGAACAGGTGCCATTTTGGGTGCAACATAAAGCTTTGGCTTCTCTACCTTTTCCTGCTCCTCGGCTGCATCACTGTCAGCCTCCTCCGGCTAACACAAAATAAAAGGTACACATGTGAAAAGCATTGAAAAAACATTTTAAAGTAGATTTTCAACGCTGTCAATACAGCAAATAACTTAAAGAAAAATTAAATTTATAAATATTTAAAACACATCCCCTTCCCCAATCCTGATGTGGATACATACAAAAATATAATAGTTATCTCAAACTTATTTACAATATGGTAATTAAATTTATGTTTTGTTTTGTATAAATATAAATATCATGACTTAATTTATCATTGAGCTGCTTTTCTTTCAAAAAAAAAAAAGCACTAGTAGTTGAATTAAAATATTTTGCATGTATTAAAATGTATTGATGTTAAACTTAAAGTGGATCTGTATGACCCCCAAACAAATTACAATACAAAGTTTGCTTTGTACCTGATGCTCACTGTGCTACTGTGTTTATTTTTCTCTGCTTAATTTATTAAAATGTGTTCAATAAAATCCTTACCATGTTAGTAAATGCTCCAAAATTAGGCCTGAACTTCCTAGGGTCTGATGGATCTATAAGATTTTTAAAAAAATGAATAATCCTACAATAAAATTTGACCACAGATAATATCTTTGGGTGCAATAGCAAAATAAAATCCCAACATTATCAGTGAGGCATAATTTTACTTTAAGACACCTGGGTTGTGTTGATAACATGGAGCTTTACTGTACTCTTAAAATGAGTGATAAAACACAAATCTACAAAACTTTTGTACAATCAATATTACCCAATTTACACTCTTTGTATGCTGTGATAACTTTATTGATTTGGTATTTTAATTTATGTTCAATTGGACGCATTTTCTCCAACACCTGAAAACAAAACAAAAATTTGTTTAACTGCTATATCAATGAAAACAAAATAAATAAGTTTGTGACACAACTTCAATTTGCACTAGTTACTTAAACATTTATTTTAAATTCCTTTAAAAATTGTGTTAATAACCCATATATATATGTTACACTACAAATGGACATAGTACAGCCACTAACTCTTTGGGTTACAGCTGCTTAGACTTTTAGTGAGACAAATTGCAGTGGACTTACAGTTCTGATCTCAATAAGCCTGTCTATGCTTGGGTCATGCTGCACACTTTTTCCACTTGTCTTTTTGTCCATAAGCAAACCAAGGTTGGCCATGTAACTGGCCATTAGTTGGTTTTTAAGGTCCAGAAAACTTATACCCTGAAAAGAGCACAGGAAATTATCCAAAAATAATAAAACCTGATTTCACAAATAAATTTTACCATAATCGCCCACAACATCAAAGTAACTTCCCCTTATATTATATATACTAGATAAATGGCCCGTTGAGGGAGAAATACAACGGGGACTAGGTTGATACCTCTTTCCTCTAAACCGAAACCAAAATCACTACCTCAACTTCAAATTCAACAGGAAACGAAAAATGTCATTGAAAACAGATTTTTATCCAGAATCTGCATTTTAAATGCCAGAGCCCCCCCCCCCCCCCCCCCCCCTCCCCACTTTGGAGTACGTCTACCGTCGCATTCAACAAAATATAATTTTTATAGTAAATATATACTTTTACCAGTGTCCGCCCCCTCCCCAGAAAATTTAGTCCACCCCCACCCCCGAAAACACTGGTCAATAGATCATACAGACTAATGGTAGATGCTACTTCTATATTAATATAGACCTGTTTCCTACTTTTTGGCTGCTAAACCTCAATTATAAAGATAGTGTTTCTTTCAAACATTTTTTTCTTAGGGGGCACTATACATTTGGGCGGGGGGGGGGGCTCACACTGGTAAAATTATATATTTTCTATAGTATAGTATATAAATTGTATTTTGTTTGTGGGGGGGGGGGGGGGGGGGGGGGTAGATGTTCTGATGTTCTTTGGCAAAAGGGAGTGGGCTCTGCCCCTTTTAAGATTAGACAAATAAATGAGGTGGTAATGTTAGTCTCATTATCACGTATCGATGACATCAAAATTCAAAATCATTATTATTATGAAAAATTATTATTCTGAAAAATCAGATCTAAGTTGAAATATTGGCGATAATTCATGTAGGCCTACAAATAGGCTAATTGAAATAATAAAATTACTCATTATCCTATTCAAATAGTTTTTATTTTGTTTACTCAAGTTTACTGAGAGTGTATTCTCTATTGAATTTAATATTTTGAATGACGGCTATCTTAAATTTTTACATATTAGGCCTAATTAAATATATAGAATAGGCTTTTTGATGAGAATTACAGAATGATTTTTTTTATTAAAAATGTATCAATAATAGCTAGAACACTAGTAAACTAAGCTAATTTAGCATATTTTAACTTTCTGTGCAAAGTCATTATTACTGAAAAAAATTCCAAAGTCAGGTCAACCTGTGGCACCCTCCACTGAACTTGACTGAAAAAAAAAAAACTTGACCCGTGACCTTCATTAAAACAGAATTTGCTTTTGTTTGTTTTTTATTTTTAGTAAACATGTGCTTAATCTTACCCAATAAGTGATAAAAATTTGAAAATTAATTTTAATTACTGTTGTAAAGTGAGATAAACAGCTTAATAAACACATGCTTTCTTGAGGGGGTGTGGCACATCACAATTATAACTTTATATTTCTGTGTTTTATGACTATATTTGTTCACAATCAGCATGCTATGTTTTTAAAATTGATAAAGGGTAAGTATACCAAGTTACAAAATATAGTTTCAATTTAAAAAATAATAAAAACGATCATCAACGAAGAAAGCGTAAACATTCTATTTTTAGGTGTGACATAAAAAACAGTCATAAATCTAGCCAAATGATTGGATTCTTGCGCGGCACACATTTTCCCGCGCCTCGTTTTCACCAAACAAGAATATAATAAAATGGCATAATTACTTACACCCTCAAAAGCATTGTTTTCACCCTAATTATATTAAACAATTCTATTTTTATTTGATAGTAAAGATGTTATACAAATTGTATCTTATAATAAAGTTATTGTAGAATGCACCTGCTTTAGTTAATTCGACTTGAAATGCAAACTACGTAAGCGTGACTTTCTCTCGATGGCCTCGTTAAAGACAAATATAGAAATTAGGTCAAGCTGCCATTATTAAAATGTTAATTATTCGCCCCGTAAATACATGGGCAGTTTCGAGTAAAAATCTATCCGATTACGATACAATCCTTAGTTTTAACTATCATGTACTTCATGAGAAAGAAATGATTCGATATTTTATATGGCCGCCCAAAACACGGTAGCCACGAAACCGCGAGAACTAGACTTGACCAATCGAAAAGCCTATATAGATCTAGATAGTAGATATAGAATCTAGATCTAGATCTAGTAATATTGAAATTATTTAAGAATTTTATGATTCAATTCATCAACTGACGGCTACTTCTCTCTTTACTCTCTGTACTGAGATGTCATGTACTGTACTGAAGACTACTACAGATCTAGCCTTATGAAGTTACAAGTTAATGAAGTTATGTATAGAGTAGATGAGTGTTTTATTGAAATTGAAATATGTCATGTTGAATGTTGTTATGCCCAGGTACTGCCCCGGTAGACTCCTCAGTCAGTGAGTCTGTGATGACAACTGACGGTAATCTATCGTTTTAGGTACGTAAAATCGGCCGCGACTAGTAATGTGAAAAACAGGTGACTCCTTACATTTTAATAATTATTTCACATTTTGAGGAGGATTTATGTTTTGAAAAATACAAAAATGTTTCCTTGTACATTTATGTAACTGTTTTTAAACAATTGAATTAAAACTTTTCAGTAATAAATGAACACCAGCGATATTTCCAACAGATGCAACCACGCTCATTTACTATAGCAGCCATCTTGTTAAAGTTTTTTTTTATAGACATAGCGCAAGATTCAGGCGGAAGTCACTCTATATTACAAATGGCTGCTGTTTATATAGCAAATCTTGCTTGCAGACACAGCTGTTTAAAGTTAATTTCTGGCCTATATTGATATATTGGTAATCTATCGTTTTGGGTACGTAAAATCGCCCGCGATTTGTAATGTGAAAAACAGGTGACTCCTTAAATTTTAATAATTATTTCACATTTTGAGGAGGATTTATGTTTTAAAAAATTCAAAAATGTTTCCTTGATTCATTTATGTACCTGTTTTTAAACAATTGAATTAAAACTTTTCCGTAATAAATGAATACTAGCGATGTTTCTAACAGATGCAACCATGCTCATTTACGATAGCAGCCATCTTGTCTAAGTTTTATTTTTATAAGCCTTTAGCGCCAGATTCAGGGGGAAGCCACTCTATTTTACAAATGGCTGCTGTTTATATAGCAAATCTTGCTCTCAGACACTGCTGTTTAAAGTTAATTTCTGGCCTATATCGATATATTTAGTCATTGATTTAGGTTTATTATTCATTTATCTATAATATTTGACACAAAAGTATGACAATATACCTCTATTAAAGCCTTGACAATGAGGTAACGTTTTCGTACATAAATAGCCGCGGGCGATTTTACGTACCCAAAACGATAGATTACCGATATATTTAGCCATTGATTTAGGTTTATTATTCATTTATCTATAATATTTGACACAAACATATCACAATATACTTCTATTACAGCCTTGACAATGAGGTAACGTTTTCGTACATTAATAGCCGCGGGCGATTTTACGTACCCAAAACGATAGATTACCCAACTGACTGACTGGAGTGGAGTAGCCTACCTGCAGGTGAGATGAGCCATCCGAAATGCCATTGGATTTAATCTTTCCTATTAGTCCACGCACAAGTAGGAGGCATTCTCCGCTACTTTTCTTTATTTCCCTCAACACAGAAAAAGCTTCTGGGAGATCTTTATCGATATTTTCATTCATGTTTAAATGTTTCATTTGTTTGGAAAGCATGCGATCGTAAACCGTATGTATAGGCTATTTATAGAATCTTGACACCTATAGTGTGTGTAGTTCTAGCAGTAAAAATATCGACAAAAAAATGTCTCGGTTCATAGTAAACTACTTGAGTGGGGTAGGCTAAAGCCAAAGGGTCAGTAGGTTGTAAAAAGACCGTCTTATTCATTAGGCACAATAGGTGTTTCTTTTTTTTTCTACGGGGGCAGAGTAGAAAGTCTACCGAAGAAAGTCTATCGTCCCCTCCCCCCAACGAGATGGAATTTATAAAGTAAACATACACTTTTACTAATGTCCACCCCCTCCCCGAAAATTGTAGAACCCCCCCCCCCCCCCGAAAATATCAAGTACCCCTACCACCGGAGAAAAAAGTCAAGAAGAAACACTGTACGGGGGGCTGGACACTGGAAAAAGTATATATTAAATATTTCCTATATAAATTCTACTTCGTTTGGGGGGACGGGACAGTAGACGTGCTTCGGGGGTGGGGGGGGGGGAAGAAGAGATGCCTGAAAGAAACACTTTATAACTGCGTCTAGGGCCAACGAATGTCAGAAAACGAAATAATGAAAAGATAAATTTAGGGTCTGCAAAAGTCCCTACATTAGATACTGAATAAAATTAAAAGTATTATGACCTACGACTAAGAAATTAAATCAATTAATGACGTTACGCTCTTAGTTGGTGTGTGATTAGGGGCGGGGGTCAGATAGTGTGGACGTCCCACTTTTGCATTATAAAAAAGCAATGCTAGAAAACTAATTTTAGCCGTTATTTCGCGTTTTAAAAAACTGTTTTAATAGATTGTAATAGAAATTTATTTCAATACTTTATGTTGACAGAGTTCAGATTTTGGAGAAACGTCGATGTTTTAAGAAAAATTCAACTGCAATTTTGAGGGGGGGGGGGGTTGTAGGTTGAGGCGTGATGTCATTTTAGGGGGCGGGTCAGGCTTTTTGTAACGAAGTGTGATGGAGGGGAGGGGGAGGTAAAATCGTCAAAAAAATAGCTTGACGTCATTTATGGATGACCCCTTAATGTATTATTTAACTTTAAAGTTGAAACAAAAATTCAAATATAAATTTTATAAGTTTGTATTATATTTATATGTACAAATTTAGGCCGGTGATGGACAAAAATGGCAAATTTCTAAAGTCAATTGAAGAACGATTGGGAACGATTGAGAGCACTTCCAGAATGTACTAACAGTGTTACTGGTCATCTGGAAGTTAGAATAGTCTATGAAGTGGATTGTAATGACTGACGAGAAGCCGCGTTGGTTGTTAACAATCTTTATTATGTACAGACGCCATGTTGGTAAGAGAGGGAGAGAGGGAAGTGGCGAGAGACTTATATACATAACAACATGCAAGGGACATCACTCAAGATAACAATATAAATATAATACTAATACAGAAGAGTGAGTTCCCTTGACCTCACAATTATTTCAATCTATTACATCCCTTTACCCTTAGAACACAATAACACATCTCTCAATAGAACAATTGATAGTATCCTGAAATCACCAATTATATTGTAACATGAACACTATGGTAGATTACATCCTTACAAACAATGCACAATATGCCACAACATAATCAAAATACAAAACAATAATGTCAAAGTCCTTTTGACCTTTAGAATCATAGGTCTAACTTATTTGGGACTTTGATTGTCCTGCTTGACCTTCTCAGTGGCTTTTGATTTGGTGACTCAATATTCTGACCATCTGGATTCTCTATCTCAGGAGGTCTAGGATTTAAATCATTAACTCCAGAATTTACATTTTCTGACTCCAGACAACTTGGTTCACTCATATCAACAGAACTTGGTTGTGAAACAAACTGAGTTGGTGTGAACTGATCAGATTTGGTGGGATTGACAGATTCACACTTATTATCTGCACAAGTTATTTTTAACTTTATAAGACACAGGTCCTGTACATTGAACAATTTGACCTGGTATCCATTTTTCCTTTCTCCCATAATTTCTTAGATACACATTCTCATTAACACCAAATTCTCTTTCAATGAATGTTTGTCATGATTTAATTTTTTAATTGGCATCTGAAAGTATTATGCTATTATTCAGATCCTTAACTGGCATAGATTTCTTTGATTGATCAATTTCCTCAGGTAATCTGATAGTGCTTTTTCGTAACCAAACATACTGTTTAAAAGTAATATCCTGGACAATATCACTTTGCAACTGTGATCCAGTATTTGAAGTGGGTGTATTCAATGGCAAAAATCTTTGCTCTTTTCTTTTGATGTTACCCTTTTAGTTTCTGTAAGTGCTAATGATGTTAGCAAAGTTGTTTGATGATCACATTCCTTCTTACTAATGTATTCTCTTTAAAACATTTGAAATTGCCATATCACCATAATCATTTATCAAGTTACAAGTACCTTGTTTAGGCAACTCTGACTGGTAATGGACTGCATCTTCTCCATCTTTTATATTATCTTCACAAAGGGTTTTATTTCTTATTTTATATGGCCTTAAGTCATCATTCACAGACTCTTCAGGCCAACCATTCATACAGTGCTCATATACTTTTATTAAGCACTCATCTTTTGTGTTTCTCTCTTAATATCATTCACATTTATATTGGAGTTATCCATGATAGTGAAGAGAACAAATACATCTTCTGGTACATAGCTCAGGCTTTGGTTTTTTAAAGGTAATCTACTAAGACTATCTGCACTATTCTCAGATCCAGGTTTGTATTTCAATTCATAATTGTATGCAGTTAGTGTGATAGCCCATCTTTGAATTCTTGGTGAGGCATGCTCAGGTAGGGTTTTGTTTTCTCCAAATAAACCTAGCAATGGTTTATGATCTGTAAAGATGGTGAACTTCCTACCAAACAGAAACTTATGAAATTTCTTAACACCAAAAATGATGCCTAAGCCTTCCCTATCTAACTGAGAATAATTTTTCTCAGCCTGGTTCAAAGATCTACTGGCAAAAGCAATGGGTCTGTCACCCTTCTCATCCATGTGGGACAAGACTGCTCCTACACCATCTGGTGAAGCATCACATGTTAATATAAGTCTTTTCCCTGGGTCATAGTGAGTTAGTAAGGTGTCAGTAGACAAAGCCTCTTTTGCTGTATTAAAAGCAGCTTCTTGTTGTTTACCCCAGTGCCAAGTTGCATTTTTCTGTAGCAGCTTGTACAGTGGTGATAGTTTACCAGACAGATTCCCTATGAACTTTGCATAGTAATTTATCAAGCCCAAAAAAGCTCTTAGTTGTTGGGTATTTTCAGGTTTGGGTGCTTCTTTAATGGCTTTTGTTTTCTCAGGTTGAGGTCTGATACCTTGCTTGCTTAATATATAACCAAGAAAACTACTTTCTGTCAACATGAATTGACATTTATCTTTGTTTATCTTTAAACCTTTTTCACCAACAATTTTCAAGACTTTATCAAGTGTTTTAAGATGTTCAGTGTCATTCTTACCAGTTATGTACACATTGTCAAAGTACACACAAACATTTGGAATATCCTTAAAAATACTGTCCATGACAGCTTGGAAAATTCCAGGGCTAGATGATATGCCAAAACATAGTCTTTCATATTGGTAGAGTCCTTTATGTGTGTTTATTGTCGTATAGACTTTTGAATCTGGATGCAGTTCTAGTTGAGTGTAAGCATGACTAAAGTCTAATTCAGTGAATTTGTCTCCTCCTGCCAAATTCAAAGAAATTTCCTCAATGTTAGGTATAGGGTACCTATTTAGCTCTATTTGCTTATTCAGTGTAGTTTTATAATCTCCACAAATTCTTATAGAACCATCCTTCTTTAACACTGGCACAATGGGTGTCGCCCAATCGGAATAGTCTACCTTCTTTATAATGCCATTAGATTCCAATCTACTTAGCTCATTTTCAATTTTATTCCTCATTGCATAAGGTGGAACTCTAGCTTTGCAGTATCTTGGATTTGTATCTTTAATGCTTAACTTCACTGTTCTATCATTTAGTAATCCTGGATTACTAAAAACACATTTATTTTCAGATATAACTTTATCTAGTGAAGTAAGACTAGATTCTTTTACATTCTTCAATGAACAAATACTCTCCCAATTTAACTTAAGATCACTTAACCAGTTCCTACCTAGTAATGGCGGTCCATTTCCTTCAACCACAAGAAGAGGAAGTTTAACACTTTGACCATTATAACTTACATGAACCATACACTCTCCTATTACCGGAACATTGTCACCAGTGTATGTTGTTAGACACTTGTGACACGGCTGTAGAGGCACTGATCCTCCTGTGACAGCGTCAAACTCTTTCTTTGTTATGACTGTTAGAGATGCTCCAGTGTCAAGTTGGAAGCTGATGCTCTTACCGTTGATATTAACTAGTACATTGATGGGAGCATGACTTATTGATTTCACAGAGAATAGGTTGAAATCCGGCTGCGAATCAGTTTGAGCATTTTCACAGGTAGAGTGGTTCATTGGTTGGGTTAGGTAGTCTTGGTGAGAGTTAACATAGTGCTGCTTTTGGTTGCGGTACTGTCTTGACTGGCTAGATTTAGCAACAGACGAAGACTTTGCGAAGCAGGCCTTGGCAATGTGACCTTGCTTACCGCACTTATAACAAGTTGCAGACTTGAACTTGCACCGATGAGATGCATGGGGACCTTTGCATCGATGACATTTTTGATAATTATTACTAGATTTAGATCTAGGATTTGAACGAGCAGGCTGTTTAGCATAAGTTGGAATGCTCTGATGGGGTTGATGTTTATTGACTAACCTGCTGTTTACTGCATGGATCCCTGAAGGCGTTAGAGATTTCGCCGCATCTGATGACTGCTGGATTGAAGTTGCAAGTTGTATTGCTTTTTCTAATTTTAGATCTGACTCGAGCAGCAACTTTCTTTGAATATCAGGGCTGTTTACACCTGTCACAAACTTTTCACATAGTCTATCAGACAGCGTGTCGCCGAATTCACAAAATCTACTTAGATGACATAAAGCAGCAACATATTCTGATATTGACTCGTTTGGTTGACGAGTCCTACTGTCAAATCTAGCTCGACATAGAAACTTTGATGGGGTAGGCGCATGGTGGTCTGTTAGCAATTTGCTCAGCTCGTTAAAGCTCTTGGTATCTGGACTAGCTGGTGCGCATAAGTCCTTTAGTAGCCTGAATTGTTGAGGCCCTATGACTGTTAACAAAACAGCTCTCTTTTTGGCTTCTATCGTCACGTCGTTAGCTTCTAGGTAAAAGCTTAACCTCTCTAGGTAATCTTGAATGATTTCATCATTCGCATCAAATTCTTTTATTTGGCCATACAGCGCCATAATTCTAGAAATAATTAGCTAATAAGCTCTAGCAAACCTCTTTTTTGCGTAAGTAGGTGCTCTTTCTAGTAGATGTTTATCCTTCGTCGCCAAATGAAGTGGATTGTAATGACTGACGAGAAGCCGCGTTGGTTGTTAACAATCTTTATTATGTACAGACGCCATGTTGGTAAGAGAGGGAGAGAGGGAAGTGGCGAGAGACTTATATACATAACAACATGCAAGGGACATCACTCAAGATAACAATATAAATATAATACTAATACAGAAGAGTGAGTTCCCTTGACCTCACAATTATTTCAATCTATTACAGTCTAGAACTTAGGAGAGTGTGCGCGAGTTGAGTTAACCTCGGGGTGTGTTATGTTTTGTTTCCCCAAGGTCGAGCTCTGTGTGTGCGTGGATTAAGGGGAGTGAACGAATTCAGTGTTTCTTCCAGACTTTTTTCTCCGGGGGGGGGGGGGGGCACTTGAAATTTTCGGGGGGGGGGGGGCGGTAGACTTTCTTCGGGGGGGGGGGGGATGACACTGTTAAAAGTATATATTTTCTATATAAATTATATAAATTCAATTCCGTTCGGGGGGGGGGGCGGTAAAAAAATTTCGGGGGGGGGCTTTGCCCCCCCCCCCCCCCCGAAGAGATGCCTGGAAGAAACTTTGTGAACGATTGTGAGGGGGCGGTATGTGGTTAGTTCAGGGGTCGGCAACCTTTTGAAATGCAAGAGCCAAAAGTTACAATTTACAAACTTTACCCAGTTTTTAAAGAGCCGCAACATTTTTAGTTCAATATTCGGTATTTGATTAGGATTAGGTAGGCTAAATAAAGTGGATTTGTTATTTTAAATGAATAGCTTCAAATATGAAATAATATTAGTTTAAATAACTTGCATCGTTCGCTTCTATTCTTTGGTTCTCACCAGGCTTATCTTCCATCCCACTGAACGCAGGGTAACGTCGTACCCCACCATCCAGTAAAAATGAATTATATAGATCTAGATCTAGATCTAACCGTTACTATTTGTGCAAGGAGCTGGAGAGCCGCATCTGGACGTCAAAAGAGCCGCATGCGGCTCGCGAGCCGCAGGTTGCCGACCCCTGAGTTAGTTGGTTGGTGGAGATTATGTACAGCTGATAGGACGACGGGGTGTACGGTTGATTGCAAGAATGTAAAGGAGACGAATAAACACGCTAGAAACTATGGAGTGTTGTGTTTTGGTACACTTTCGCCAGTAAGCAGTGAATGAAAGCCGACTTCAAAAAATAGCGGCCAGTCAGTAGCGTAGCGAGGGGGGGGGGGGACATATGTCCCCGGGCGCCGACCTTAGGGGGCGCCAAAATGGGTTGGAAAAATAAATTGAAAGGTTGAGGGGGGTGCAAATCGAAAGTTTGAGGGGGGGGGGGGTGCAAATCGAAATCTCGAGGGGGGTGCAAATCGAAAAGTTTGTCCCCGGGCGCCGGGAAGTGTCGCTACGCCTCTGCGGCCAGTATAAACAAGTAGAAGACCAACTCGAACGAAAGTCGACCTCAACACCCAACACCACAAGACCCACCAGACCTGGAGCAAACGTCTTACCCTCTAACAGTAATACTGAGGGAATCACCAGGCAGTTAATTCTCAAGGCCTTAAAAATTTTAAGAATGGCATTCATAGGGGACAGTCAACGTCTAAGAAAAGGCATTCAAGTAATGTGGAGAAGTAACAAAGCAACAATAAATTACTCAACTCGGAGAAGTTGCCAAAGAGCTGTGATTTACATCAGTGTGGAAAATGTAGGGGTATTACCTTGTTGTCCATCCCATGTAAAGTCATTACCATAGTCATCTAAGACAGAATGAAGGAAGCAGTTGGCCTTTTGCTAAGAGATAAAAAAGCAGGGTTTAGGAAGGAAAGATATTGTATAGACCAGAGGGCCATCCTTTAGCATCATTGTACAACAGAATAGCAAGCCCCAGTTTATTTCTGCTACCCCCCCCCCCCCTCCCCCCGAAGAGATGCCTGGAAGAAATGCTGAATGTGTTAGACAAGAATGTCTATTGTCGCCCCTTCTGTTCCCTGTGGTGACGCCCACAGCCTATGCCAGTTTTGGTAAAGGTATACATAAGACACTCACTGAGAAACTAGAGGATCTGGAGTTCGCGGATGATCTTGCCCTACTCTCACAGCGGCTGCAACTGCAAGAAAAGGTCAACAAAGAAAAGACAGAAGTAATAGACTAGTATGAAACCAAATTAAATAAGTTTAATGTTTTCATTGGGTTTTTTTAAAAAGTGTTGTAATACCAATAATTTCAATCTTTCTTTTGGAGAGAGCTACAAATTGATAACGCTAATCAGGGGAAGCTTGTACGTTTGAAAAACTTAGATAATTTAAGCCAAACACATAGGCAGAGGCGTCGCGAGGCGGGCGCGGGTGGTGCAGACAGCACCAGGCGACACTAATTAAGGGGGTGACACAATGGCGAAAAATAGCAAAATATATAGAAGAAATATTCGTTTGGCAGTTCAAATAATGATTAATAAGAGTTAATCCACATGTATTAATAACTGAATATAGAAATACATAACCGTGCACATTTTAAAATTATCACCGGGGAGGGGTTGGTGTGACACTAACTGCAAAATGAACATAAGAAAAAAATGTGTTGAGTATTTTGAATAGGCCTACCTAATAAGTCAATCAGTGACCGGGGATGGGGTGACATCAAAATATAATAACTTGCATTGAAAACGTTGCTTTTTCCCCATGAATTAATAAGCAATCACAGCTATATATATATATATATATATATATATATATATATATATATATATATATATATATATATATATATATATATATATATATATATATATATATACTTTTCTGGGGATGGGGGGGGGGGGGTTACACCATGAGTTGTCGCACCGGGTGACACCCAACCTAGCGACGCCACTGCACATAGGCACATTACTAAGAACATGCTTTCTAGGAAAAATGATTTGTTGTAAATTTTCAAGTATTATATTACTAGTAGGAAGTCAACACAGCTTTTTGATCGAACGATATTTTTGTTTTGATATAGTGCAATATTTATATAGGGCCCATCGTTTCCAAAGATTCTGTTCGTACTGCTTCACTAAGACAATCTAAGCGACCAGCTAAGTTTAATCGTCGTTTTTCACAGCACATTATGCCCTTACTCATTTCTCTCTGCTTGCGTCAATATTGGCCTTCAACTTTTGTCTTGATTTTGTAAAAGATTAATTCTTTGTTCTTCTATATTAAGCTCATTAATCACATTAATGATTTTGATTAAGAGTCTCACTAGTGATTAATTGTACTTTATTTTAATCTGCTCTGTTGGGTGCTTATCTTTTATCATAAAAAGTGAAGCTCCCCTTTTAGACATAATGACCTATAGGCAGAGGTGCCACAATGGGGGGTGCGGGCCGACACGAACTGCACCGAGTGACATCGCTTTGGGGTGGGGGGAGTGATATAATAGCAAAAATGGAAAATAAAATAAAAAATATTCCAGTTTAATTAACAGCTAGAGTTAAATGGACTTTTAAATACAAGTTTACACCACCGGTTGGATTGGGGGGGGGGGGGGGGGCGTGACACCGAGACGAAAATTTGTATACTACTAATAAAAATATCCTTGATAGATTTGGATTAATTATTCATGATAAATTACTATTACTTCTGCTCATTTAACACTAACTTGTAGATCTAGATCTGTCTTATATAACATATATTTAAATTTTAATGCACTTGAATAAAGATATTCATTTCTGCATGTTGCAGATAGATTTTAAAGTTTTCGATAAATAGTATGGCCGTTTTTAATTTAAAACAATCTAGCCTAGTGATATTGTTGTTATAGTTAAGATTTTGCTGGGCTACAAATTACTAGTCTACTACTAATAATAATTTAGTAGTAGTAGATCTAGAGGATAATTAATTATTTTCATTGTGTATTCCTGTGGTGGGGTAAGTGTTATAGTATATATTAGTTATAGTTTTCGGCCGGCTTTTGTCATTTGATTCTTGAAGTTTGAAGCCTGCCGTCCATGTTCATGGGGCACAAAAAAGGTAATCTATCGTTTTAGGTACGTAAAATCGGCCGCGACTAGTAATGTGAAAAACAGGTGACTCCTTACATTTTAATAATTATTTCACATTTTGAGGAGGATTTATGTTTTGAAAAATACAAAAATGTTTCCTTGTTTCATTTGTGTACCTGTTTTTAAAAACAATTGAATTAAAACTTTTCAGTAATAAATGAACACCAGCGATATTTCCAACAGATGCAACCACGCTCATTTACTATAGCAGCCATCTTGTTAAAGTTTTATTTTTATAGACTTATAGCGCAAGATTCAGGCGGAAGTCACTCTATTTTACAAATGGCTGCTGTTTATATAGCAAATCTTGCTTGCAGACACTGCTGTTTAAAGTTAATTTCGGGCCTATATTGATATATTTAGCCATTGATTTAGGTTTATTATTCATTTATCTATAATATTTGACACAAACATATCACAATATACTTCTATTACAGCCTTGACAATGAGGTAACGTTTTCGTACATTAATAGCCGCGGGCGATTTTACGTACCCAAAACGATAGATTACCCAAAAAACATGAAGTTCAGAAGACAGAAGAAGTTTTGGTACGTACAATCGCCCGCGGCTAGTTAGATCTAGTGATATACGAAGAAGTTACCTCATTGTTTAGGCTTAAAATTTTAGTAGATATTATTATACTTATAGGCCTAGTAGTAGATAATAATAATAAAGGGTAATCTATCGTTTTAGGTACGTAAAATCGGCCGCGACTAGTAATGTGAAAAACAGGTGACTCCTTACATTTTAATAATTATTTCACATTTTGAGGAGGATTTATGTTTTGAAAAATACAAAAATGTTTCCTTGTTTCATTTATGTACCTGTTTTTAAACAATTGAATTAAAACTTTTCAGTAATAAATGAACACCAGCGATATTTCCAACAGATGCAACCACGCTCATTTACTATAGCAGCCATCTTGTTAAAGTTTTATTTTTATAGACATATAGCGCAAGATTCAGGCGGAAGTCACTCTATTTTACAAATGGCTGCTGTTTATATAGCAAATCTTGCTTGCAGACACAGCTGTTTAAAGTTAATTTCTGGCCTATATTGATATATTTAGCCATTGATTTAGGTTTATTATTCATTTATCTATAATATTTGACACAAACATATCACAATATACTTCTATTACAGCCTTGACAATGAGGTAACGTTTTCGTACATTAATAGCCGCGGGCGATTTTACGTACCCAAAACGATAGATTACCTAATAAAGATATATATGAATAATAATAATTTAATAAACCTAACGAAGTGACTACTCGGAAGAAGATTTTTCTCCCCAACGTCTCCACTTAGTCTGCAAAAGATAGCTCTGCGCATGCGCAGTGACCTATGGCTAGGGTTTGATGCGCAGTGACCTAGGGTTAGGGATAGGATTAGGGTTGGTGTTAGGGTTCTGCTGTTGTAAACACACGCATGCACAGTACCATCAAAAACATCTCCGCGATGGCAAGTAGTAGTTTCTCTCCATTGCGCATGCGCATCTTTTTCCGGCTAGCATTGCCCTAAACCTAAATCAATGGCTAAATATAATTATAATAATAATATATCAATATAGGCAAGAAATTAACTTTAAACAGCAGTGTTTGCGAGCAGGATTTGCTATATAAAAAGCGGCCATCTGTAAGTTAGAGTGGCTTCCCCTGAATCTCGCGCTATAAGTTTATAAAAAAAACTTCAACAAGATGGCTATTATAGTTATAGTAAATAGGCAATGTTGCATCTGTTGTAAACATCGCTAGTTTTCATTTATTATTGAAAAGTTTTAATTCAATTGTTTAAAAACAGGTACATAGGCTAAATGAAACAGGGAAACATTTTTGTATTTTTCAAAACATAAAATCCTCCTCAAAACGTGAAATAATTATTAAAATTTAAGGAGTCGCCTGTTTTTCACATTACTAGTCGCGGGCGATTTTATGTACCTAAAACGATAGATTACCCTTTAATTAAATCATTATTAGGGTCTACATTTATAATTCATTACATAAGTCATTAATTAGTGACTCATTCACCCATTACTCTTAGTTACATTTACTAAGCCTACATCATCATCATCATTCCTTTGTGGCCCCTGGGGAGCAAAAGGCTGCAACTACACATTTCCAGCTGACTTGGTTTTGGGCTGCTCCCTTTAGAGAGGAACCTCCTCGACCAAGTTGGTGTTGGGTTTGTGTACTTGCAGTTTCTGTAGCGGTATATTTTTTACGATATAAGGTTGCTAGCCTTATGTTTCAACCCCCAACCTGGAGGACCAGGGTGTTAGCTTTGGTCTGATCCCTACCCATGCAGATCTTCCCTTCTTGGTTGAACCTACAAGGTTTACACTCCGCTGTTTAGTTTACTGTTTAACTTTAGGCTTTAGACTTAGAACTTAAGTTTAAGTTAAGTAAGATAACAAGAAAGATAATTTGGCCTATAGTTTTAAGTTTATATTTATTTTTAATATTTTAAGGTTATTTTAAAATATTGACAAAATCAGTCACAGTGATTGACAGGGGTTGGTGTGGTTGGGTTGGTAAAGCTCTTGGTTGTTAAACCCAAAAGTACAGAGTTTGAGCCCCCAGGCAGATGAGGTTCATTAGCTGCCTCTGGGGGCACAACGCATCTAGGAGAGAAAAACTCCAAAATCAAACAACTGCTGCCTTGTAGTTTGTTCTTGGTTGGAAGCAAATCCAGAAAGAAAAGCAGTCTGAAATCAGACTGTGCTCATATGGCACATAACAAGTTAACACATAATCCTTAATTGTATTGGAGGAAATCCCTTCCAACATTACAATTAAGAACGAAGAAGAAGAAAGTCAAATTGACTATGGTTCCTTCAGTAAATAAATAAGCATTTATAAATTATATATTATAAGCCTATTCTGTTAATCTTGTTAGACTTAGCTTTTTCTTCTTTAATGAAATACTGCTTTCATTTAAATATAAAAATTTAGTTCAGATATAAAAAATTACATTTTTTTTACTGCAACCTTTTTATAACTTTTTTAAATTCTAGAATCCTAAGTTGTACCACAGTTTATAATGGATGCCCAAATTCCAAAAGGGAGTCAATCAATGACTCCAACATCATTACCAAATATAGCTTGGTTTGAATTTATTTTGAATGAGAAACTGCTAAAGGAGCATTTGAGTCAAGAAAACCCAGGTAATTATTTTGCTAAATCATTCTTAAAAACAAATATTACATCTCATCTATCATAGAAAAATTGTATCTTTCCACCACACTTTTAGGGTGTGGGATGAGGCAGTGATAAGAACAAAAAACCTTAAATGTATATACATAGAAATTCCTTTGAAATTAATAGTAATTTTAATATAACAATTAACAAGGTATGAGATACTTCAGCTACAATAGAATTTATGATAAATGTAATTCCAGACCCAACTCCGTGTCAGCTGATAATTCAATTCTTGCAACAAGCTGAAATAGAAATGGCTGCAGTTGTTCAGGCATCCAACAACATTTCTCCTTTATCTGTAAACAAAAATGAAGGCAAGTCTTTTTTCCATACTTGTTTAAGTTTTGGTTTTTATATTTTGAAAATAACATGATTGAATATTAAAAAGTTTTTTTTTTTTTCAAATTAAATGTAAGTTTCTAAAAACTATTGTGTTCAATTGTAGAATCAAAAGTAATTGAGCCTACAAAAAAGGTTAGAGCACTTCGTCTCCTTGCGCTGAAAGTAGGCTGCCATCTAAAATGGAATCTTATTAATATGGAGAAAAGGTATGTCAATATGTAACTTATTTGAATAAGTTAAATGACATTTAATATAGCCATTTTAATAAATTAATTTTAAAAGTTATAATATAAAATATGATGTTATTATTAAAATAACAATATAGATTTTGTTAAACTAATATTCATAGTTATGCTGTACACAGTAGCCTATCATGAATTTATTTTAATTAATGGAATACCACAGTGGACATTTGGAGAGAAGGCTCAGGATTGAATTTAACAGATTTTTTGTAGAAACTTTGATTTAGAGTTATGCTGTGAAGTAAAAACAAATAGTCATTCAGCACCATTTGTCTAGTATCGCTTTTTATATTTCCATTGGCTAAAACAACTACTACTATTTTAACTGAACTATATATATTGCACAATAACGTTGTTTCACTAAAACTGTTGCTCATGTATTTTAACTCCAGCATCCCAACGCCAATCCTCCAGGCTCTGCTGATACTACTGCTACAAACTTGTGTCCCTAGCGTGATTGATAATATCCACAACCCTGACCTTGATGTGAGCACCTTGTCTCCACTGGGGTTGTTTGTTGTCCATTTGTTTCACCGATGGTAAGACTCAAACCTTATTTTATTGGCTCAATGCATCTTACAAATAACTTAGCTGTATAAGTGTTGAAACCAGAACATCATAGATACCTGTTTAGACCTGACTGTTAATATAAGAGGTGAAGTAGAGTTCATCTCTTTTAATTCGACATAAAGCGATAGCATTGTCAACGCAAGCCAATCCACTTTCACTTTCCCTAACATGAGTCAGATACCCACCAGAGCTGGCTAAACTTAGGGACATCCTACAGAATTGACCATTTGAACATTATAGGGCACTTATAAATCAGCATATTTGATTTTTCAAGTCTATAAATTAATTTGAATATCATATACTGTGATTAGTAAGAAAGATGCAATTCAATGTTGGCTAAGAAACATAATGTACAACTTTTGAGTTTATAGTTGATGTGTGACTGAGCCCAATTCACTATAAAGGACCATAGCTTTAACTAATTGTTTCAATAACACTGACATTCTCTTGACAATTTGTATCACAGGTGTGTGAGGAGTGTTGTAAGAGACAGTTTCCCCAGCAAACCCACCAAACAGAGCTACATGGCCTTGTAAGTGTACATCCTGTTATTGGTTACATTACAGCATTGATCCAACAGTTATTTTATAATTTAGCTTCCTGTATTGCAGTTTCCTAAATCATTCTTGTTCTTATTTTTTTCCTTTAAACTAAAAACAATTTTTAGATTTTATATTCCCACCTCAGAATGAACTTTTAATGCCAAATATGTTTTTGGTTTATTTTATACCTTGAAGTATTTTCTGAGTTTTATACCTTGAAGTATTTTCCGTACTAATTTTATTAACTTCTACAGACCTGGTCAAATAGATCCAAATATTGTAATGGCGCAAGCTACCGATACAATTATTAGAAAGGTAATATTTCCTTTAGAATATTATGCACTTGTAATACCGTTTAAAAATACATAATTTTTTACAATGTTGTAAAAACAAAATTTATTTTTAAAATATACTGATTAGGCCTATATAATTAAATTTTTTTTTTTTTGCAATTTGATACGGTACTACTGAAAAGCAATTTTCTTTCAATTGTAGAAATTTAAGTTTCTATGGACTTAAATCTAACAATTATTTTCCATATGTTTTTATTGATATTTGTCTTAATACCAATTGTATATAGACCAGAAGCTACTGCCATATTCTGCAACACAATTTTTTATTCAGTTTAAAGAGGAGCTGGAGGCATCCATCATCTTGTTAGAAAATTGCCTGAATGTCTTGGACTCAACCAGAGCCCAGATGCCCACATCAGATTGTTTTCAGTTGCCACAAGAGGACAGAGATGAACAGCTGAACTGGGGGAACACTAAACAGGTGGTAGCTGAGGAGATGATATGCCAGGTACTAGTAGAGACTTGCTGTTAAAAAAATTTCTTGTTAGGCCTTCTTTCTCTCCTGTTACATTGTCATTTTTTTAATTTTTGTATGTTAACTCATCATATTGTAATCATAAATTCATTTGTAAGCATTGATTTATTGCTTTTTTTCAAATTATTATCTTTCTGGTTATAAATATATTTCTTTGACTTGTTCAACTGTATACCTTTAGTTTTTAAAAAATTAGATCTCTGTTTATTCATCTCTATCTATATTAGCATAATTAAGTGACCCACATAATGTAGATAAATGTAAAAGAACTGAAATGACTTGATCCACAGATCTGCTTTGATATTGGAGCGGTGTATTTCTACAAGTCTGATTACAGGAAATCTTATGAGAAGTTCAGACTGTCCAACATTCTGTACAACCAGGTCAGTGGGATCAAATAATCTTTCAGAATGCTCTTCACTGATTTGACTGTATAGTTCCCTTTTCGAACCACATAGTCCATGGGAAAAGTGAAGTAGAGGTCACCTGTTTCTGTGAACACTTTTACTTTCCCTAACGTGAGTTAGGTATCCATTAGAGCTGGGTAGAGTCAGGTAGACTCTACTGACTTGAACTTAGATTTGAACTCAAGACTTTCGGGTTAGCAGTCTTAACACTTTACTTCTAGGCCATGCCGTCCCTTTGATTTGACTATATAAGCATATGGAAATATGTTTACCAGTAGAAAGAATTTTTTACAGTTTGTGGCAAGATGTTTTTTTTTTTTACAAACATCCAAATAAATATTATCTGTGAAAAAGAAATTGTCTAACATTAAATGAAATTCAATAAATTTTCTGTCCAAGGTAATATTGATTACAAAACAGAACCTTGTGCTGCCTCTACAATGTCCTTTTGTCTTTACTTTCTCCTAAAGTCAGGTTCTATCAAGGCTGGTTAAACACCTTGAGATTATTTGCAGCAGTAGCTACTGTCCTTATTGATATATTTTGACTTAACATCCACACTAAGCTAATGAAACTCTTAACATCCATGCTAATCTTATGAAACTTTTAACATCCACACTAATCTAATGAAACTTTAACATCCATCCATGCTAATCTAATGAAACTTTTAACATCCACGCTAATCTAATGAAACTTTTAACATCCATCCATGCTAATCTAATGAAACTTTTAACGTCATCACTAAGCTAATGAAACTCTTTAACATCCACCCTAATCTAATGCAATTTGCAGCTTACAGATCCAGTCTACTGTTACATTGATCTGAAGAGGCTCCACGGCTACATGACCAGCTGCAGCAGTCTGCTAGGTGTCACAGCCGACCTGAAAACTACGTCCTTGTTTGACAGGGCTGAGCTGGCTAGGAGGAGAAATTTCCAAGTCAGTTGTTTGTGTGTTTCAGTAATATCAACATGAGACACGTAACCTGGGTCTGGGCTGTTATGTTGTATCACATATAAGATTGTATTGGTCTTAGTGATTTGCTGTTTGTGCATGATTTTGAAGGCTTTTTTGTCCTGTGTGCATTTCTGTTGTTTAACACCATACCTTTTTTTTAAGGGAATTGTTGAGATCCTGAATGAAGACAATCTTAAACAAGAATTGGACATGGCGTACCGTGGGAATCTGCAGGATGAGATTTTTAAAAAAGGGTGAGAATACTTGTTGTTTCTCTACTTGTACAGTTTGCCCTGCCTCTACAGTTAACTTAGCCCTGCCTGTACATTTGTACTTAGCGCTGCCTGTAGATAAGAATATAATTTTGTCAGTCAACAGCTTTGTGTATCATATTATACCGCTTGTCAAGACAGGACGCTAGTCAAAATATTAAAATTGATTTAAAAAAAAATATATTTAATGTTCTTTTATTAGGTTGTCTGACCTCCACATCAGAGTTTACCTGTCTAATGTGATCAGGTCAGCTTTACAAGGTAAAGCTCTCGTCTCACCTATCTTGGAAACACTGAAAAATGCTCAGCAAGATGTTTTGGCTTTCACTATTCAGGTGATTATACACTGTACTACATGATACAAATACAAGCATTAAATATTATGTTTGTTTTATTGCATCATATTGTATCTCAGATGACAGAAGATTTAGTCAAATATCTTATATTCTTTATACAATATCAGGAAAGTCTATTGTTACACATTGTTTCATATTCATGGAACTGTACAAAATATTTTTTTAGCTTCTAAAAGATGTGCTTAGAGGATCAACTGCTAACCAAAAGTCAAACTTAAAGTGTTTTGTTTGGTAAGTTCAGCTTACATTTGTAGTTTTTCTATGCACTTATTTAAGTAGTACATTGATTAGATAAGTATCCTGTCTTGATGCAGTCACCTTCTTCCGAGCCAATTCCTAAGTTGTATAGGAAGGCTAACTGGTACTAAAATAATATTGTAACTCTGATGAGTTATGTTTTCTTGTTCTCTGTGGCACATCAAGATTTTCAATACCCAGAGACTAAAACTTATAAAAGATGATAAAAATTATTTTGATTTGTTTCCAGTTTTTCAACATCTTTTGTATTAGTATTTAATGCAAGTAGTCTTCCATTTATAGTTTCCAAAATTTATACTAATTCAGTAATATGTATTGAGTATGTGTACCTTGTGATGCTAATTATTGATATAGTGATTTATTCTTTTGTAATATCTGTTGTTAAATATTAATTTTAGAATAAAAGACCTTTCTTCTTCTTCGTTCTTAAATTTTGAATATGGTGGAGGATTCAGACGACAAGTCCAACTTCGTGGACAAACCGGACTGTGGTTTCCAGTTTGTCAGGTGTCCCATATAATTTTTCCCTGAGTGGGGTGGGCTGGGGCCAGTGTCTGACTCTTGCCTGGCCATACAGAGTACATTCCTGGAGTACATTCATAGGATATCTAATAAAAAACATCTCATAAATCCAAGGAAATGACTTCAACGGCGAGCATGGGGCGCTATAACTCCAAACCCGGGCAGATGGGGCTCGTTAGCTGGGGACAGCAACCCATCTAGGAGAGACAACTCCAAAATCAAACAGCTACTGCCTTGTAGTTTGTTCTTGGGTGATCAAAGGCTATGGAAGCAAATCCAGAAAGAAAAGCAGGCTGAAGTCGGAGTCAACGGGCCATCTAGTATGGCGCATAACATGCTGGCACGCACTGCTTAATTTTATGATGGACGAAAGAAATAATAAAAGACCAATAAAATAAATTAAAATAATATAAATAAATTAAAAAAATAAAGTAAAATGTGTCAGCTGAAAATATAGGATGAGTAGTTGATTTATATTAAGTAATTCTCTTTGTATCAACCAAAATCAGTGTATTTAGCATTTATGCCTTGTATGATAAGATATATTTTAAAAGTAAACAAAGGCATCATTACAATAAGGCCACCTCAGGTTCATGGCCCTCCCATTTTCTATTTTACAGATTTAGATAATATAAGTGACTCATCGGCTGGGCTGTTTTTATACACACTCACTACCTTTCAATTATATGTTTTTGTATGCAGACTACATTTAGTGCTGTTGTAGCATTTAAACATTATGATGTTAAATGCAACATATGGGGAGGACAGGACCCCCACCCCCCTTCCTGTCCACTTGAGTTTAACAGTGCACTCTTTCACTCAAACATACAGTCTTCCTATTTAGCACAACTTATTTAAATGATCAAACAACAGTTTATTGAATCACAGTGTCAGAAAGAAAAACTTATTTTATCAACAGGAATGTCATAGAACTTCTACCTCCAGATAGCAGATTCTCCCGCCAAGTCTTGACCTCCGAGCTGGTCAGTTATTTTGATGCAGCTGAGGTGGCAGAGCTGTCAGTTGATGAAGATGTCAGGAACAATTCCTACTTGTTAGAGATAGCCATGGATGACCCAGCATCTATGACCAGCATCAATCCGAATACTCGAGGTGGGATACATAATTGGTGTTTTTTTTGTTTTGTTTTTACATGTATAAGAAAATATTATGGTCCATTTAAGGACAGCGGGGCTGTTTTTTTTTTTGTTGACATTGGGTTCATAGTACATTAAATAAAAAATCAATAAACAACTGGTTCAGTAAAACACTAATGATTTTTTTACAATTTAGATGGTTTATTTATATGCAACACAATTTAATTTTGTTCAGTAATGTTATATTAGCAAAATAAATAAATAGTGTAATTTTTCAAAAATCTGCCAGATTTGGCTATCAATAAATAATGACTTTTTAAAAAAGTTTAGTTACATGGTACAGCATTTTAAACATTAGTCACTAATATTGCTTTATTAACAACATAAGTAAAAGTAAAGTTCCCTTTTGAACCTGATGGTCCATGGGGCAAATTATTGGAGTTTGTATGGAGGGATAAAGTGACAGCACTATGACCTTCCTTCCTTATACGAAACCGGCTCAGAAGGTTGACTTCCATTAGCCAGGCAGGCCTCAGTGTAGCAAACTCCGACCAGAAGATTTTCCCACACATCGGTCACTACTTCCGTCGGCTCTCACCGGGCTTTCCTTCCCCACCCACCAGACGCGGGACGTCGTCCTACCGCCTGGTACCCAGCTTGATCGTGGGGGGCGTTCGGCCATTCTTTGAACCTAGCGCATACAGCTGCCTTTACTTTCCCTAACATGAGTCAGTAACCATCAGACCTGAGTGAACTCAAGGACGTTTTATGGATTTGAACTCAGAATCAAAATCAAGACTTTAGGGCTAGCTGTTGGATGCTCTACCATTCAACTACGCCATCCCATTAACAACATTATGGTTAATTTTTTTCGATCAAGTAAAATGTTATTTTTATTTACAACATAGAGTCATCATACAACATGAGTGACGTTGAAGGCCAGCTGCTCTCTGTGTATGACCCCAGGGTAATCAAAGACATTCTCACTGAGCTCTATGAACACAGGCGACTCAATGCTGCTCAAATTCTTTCTCTCAATGACAAGGTAGGCTGTCAGAATTTTTCTAACCACATTTGTCTTCCTCGATAAAACTAGCACTGCTAACTACACTATTGTTATTATTTTTTTAGAATAACACCTTGAGACAGAACAAATAATTATCTTGAATAGCATTAGTATGTCATGCTGTTATATTTTTTAACTATTTAATACAACAATATCCCTCTTTTTGCCACAAAGGGAATAAATGAATTATGTACCATAATCTCTTGGAGAGTTTTAACCAGCTCAATGAAATGTGCTTGTGTTGCTCCTAAATACAAATACATGCAATTTATTCTGTTGTAAATCTGTTATATTTTTTCCACTCAAATGAGTAAAAAAATAAGTAAAGTTCCCCTTTCAGACCTAAAAATCCATAGGAAAGATGTTATATAAATGCAAATAATTTAATATACTATTGTTTTCATGTCCTAAATGTGCTTGTCTATTCCACAGTGGAAAGTACCCAAAGAGTTAAAACAAGTCCTGGATCTAGCTTGTTCAGATAAGCTGAAAGAATTTGATCAAATCTATGTTTATCTTCTGATTGCCAAAGCCAAACACTGCATTGAACTGAAGGTAATACTAAGTTTTTTAATCACTTTTTAATTAAGATGCTCTTTTTAAGTCAACAAGGGGTGTGCAGTGTTTAATAGAGTGTGCTTTTAAAACAGAAATTTTTAAATTTTTTTTAAGGGTTTAACTATAAAAGATTAACTGTTTTAAAATTATTTTCTAATCCTTGGATGTTTAATTGTATTTGAGAACATATGACAAGGTTATGTTTTGTTTTGTAAAGTCCAAGGGTTGGCTACTTGAAAGACTTTTACTCATTTAGTAGAGCTAATATATAATTATATAATAATTTTTTGAAAAAAGATCAAAGGTTGGCGACTTTCATATTTAGTAGAGTTAATTTATAATTATACGATAATTTAAAATTATATTACCAAACAGCATGAACTCATCCCAACATAAAAGTTTTTTTTAATGTAATGAACCACAGATTTATGACAGAGCTCTGCAGCTCCTGCCAGTGGCTGAGTCCATCCTGGCCAATACATCCATAATGGCCGCCAAGCATGTCAGGTGGCAAATGTTGTTTACCCAGCTGCATCAGTACAAGCTGAATGACAGGCCACAGATGAATGTGCAGGAGCTGGTGGTGCAGTGTAAGCAGTGTCTCACAGCCATCAGGCTGGGTCAAGGTGGGTCAAAGTTCATGTGATCTTTTTGTATTGGTAGGTGGCTAGGTCAAGGGTTATGGGAGTCATCAGTGTGTAGTATTTCATGTGGTTGGGTTAAGGGATTGTATTATAAATGTATATTTGCTGGGTGTAGGTTGGGACTATGTTGTCATGTTATTAAAGATTTAGAATGTTTTCTAACATAAGGGAGAAATTTTAGCTTGTTTAAAAAAAATTCCTGCAGTATAAAGTAATTTCTTTTTTTAATATGTGTACAATCCATTAAACTGATATACCTGAATTCTGCATATGTGCAGACTGAAGTTCTAAGGGGACTCATATGTTTATATTGTTTTTCAAAATAAATTTCATGTGTGATTGTGAATGGGCATTGTTTATAAATTATTCTCCAGATCTTCAGCCAAGTAGAGAAATAATAGAAGAGTGTACAGCTTTTTTATGTAACTCTGGAGAATGGCAGTATCTATCTGACTGTAGCAACACAGGAAATGGTTTTGTTGAGGTAAATAACTTTGTCCAGCAATGCTGTTAGTAACTATTAATAGTCTTTTTTTATAATACAAAAAACTCTTACATATAAAAAAATTAAAGTTCCATTGAAGTAGAGTTAATCTCACCTGTTTTCTGACCTTGGCACATGAAGGGATAATGTGGTCAGCACTATGCCCTGCTGGCTTTACTTTCCCTAATGTGATTCAGGTACCCATCATAGCTGGGTGGACTCAAAGATGTTATATGAATCCAGATTTGAATTTGAGACTTTTGTGCTAGCAGTTATTTGCTCTACCACCCGAGAATGCGTCCCATCACTCTAACGTATCTATCTTATATAATTTTAAAATTTAAGTATTTCTTGCAAGAGCAATTATTTTAATAAACCGCCTCTTCAGTAAATATTGTAAATTACCCTGTTTTTTTTTTGGGGTTGGGTAGTAAGCAACATACCCAGCCCCTATTACTTTCACCCACTTAGCTCAAGTACCTATCACAACTTAACACTCAAGGCCATGAATCAAACTTGGAAGTCTTGGCATAGTAATCTTGTGCTTTAGACATCACCATGCAGTTTCATAACACCCTGATTACAACTTATCATTTGTCTTTCAACAATGATATTTCAACAGCATTTATGTTATTTTATTAAGTCAAATTTTAGTTCAGCCCTGATAGATTTTAGCTAATTGTTCTAAACTATTTCTACCCAGTTTTCACATCTGCTGGGTCTTTTGATTCGAGATATCCAAGAAAAGAAAAATGTCAGAAAACAAGCCAGGGACTTATGGGATGCTGTTTTAGTCATTTATCAAGCAGGTTAGTGAGACATCTTAGAAGAAAACCTGGCTAATGTTAGCAGTCACGAGTCATTAAAACACTTCCCTTTTAGATCTAAAAGGCAGAATAATTAATAGCTCTTTGACCACAGCCTTTGAAGAGATTGTCATGTTAGCTATAATACTCTCAACTAGTATGTTGTAATGATTTTAAGGATGTAAAAGCATTTTTTCATTTTTATCACAGAACAAAAACATGGAAGATACTTTATTATTATTACTGATGTAATTATTGTAATCATATTCTTGTTATGTATGCACCAAATAAACCATTCTATACACTTAAAATCTAATTTAAAGCTTCAATTATCAAACTGTGGCCATTATCTCAGAAAGATTTCCTCACTCTATGTTCTTATCTTGTGTCAGGAAATGGGAAGCGGCAACATGATTCCAGACAACAGTGGGGAATCCTCTCAAAAAATGAACTCAACAACTTCATGCATAAAATGAAAGACCAGTGTGCTCTTTCCGTTCTGATTTCCTTGTTCTGTAAGCTGTACACGCTCCTGTCATCCAGCGAACTGGTCACTGATTACATTTACCTCTGGCCAGCCGCTATACAGTCATCTCTAACAGCAGGAGTGGTGGAGGAAAGTTTAAAGATCCTGCTCTCTTACAGTTTGCTGGTGGATCCCACACAGCCCTCCTGGTTGCGCATAAAAGCAGATCTACATTTCATCCAGGACCAGTTTTCTATGGCTTTGAAATTCTATCTGGAGGCGGGGGTTGTTGCGACAGACTTTTTCACCTGCCCCGTTCCCCGTTCAATATACGATGATGTCGTGTTCCGCCGGATGATAAAGTGCTGTTCGTACCTGCAGTGCCACACACAGGTAGCTGTTCTGTGCCAGTTCCTCGAGGAAGTAGACTACAACACCGCCTTCAAGGCCTTGCATGAGAGAAATGTCTACGATGCAATGGACGCTTACTACTGCTGTATATGGGATGTGAGTATTCTAGAGTTTCTTGTCCACCTGCACACAAGGAAGGGTGAGGTGGAAAAGCGCCAGACAGCTATGCAGGCGCTCACGCAAATGGACCTCAATTCTAATAACCCTGATCAGATACAAAGGCGAGCTGTGCATATTAGAAAAACTAAATTTTTACGAGCTTTGGCCAAACAGTATTTAGGATAATCAATTCAAAGGGCTATAAAAAAAATCTTAAATTTTATTGTAAAAATATTTCCACACCTGAGGAGTATTTTACACCTAGCATTTGTTTATAATTGAGAAATGTATTGTGTTCTTAGACACAGCCATCAATGATTGTTAATTTCACCTTGTTTTTTTTGTATTATTGTTTTAAAATGAAAATAAAATTTGTAATTATTAACACTTGGTTTTACACTTTTTTGCAACACCTTTTTTCTAATATTTTGATTGCTGCATCTGAATAATTTGAGAACTGAGAGGTGAAGATAATTTTGATCCTTGGAGTAAGATAGGATACAACGTCCTTGCAAAATATCTCCATGATTGAAAAAAAGCATGTCATCTATGCAAGTCCATGCCAAATACAAGGTATGCTTGATTTGGAATTGTACTCTAGTACATTTGAGTTATTTGCTGGCAAGGACTTCAATTTGTGTCATGATGATGGACAAGAGTTTGCTGTAGTCCAGCATCTAATGGACCAGTCAAAGCACTATATTAAAATGACCATATTTACTAATTTAGTTATTTACCCAAACTTCATGACTGCATTTGGTACCACATGGGCTAAACAAAAGTAAATATTTTCCTCTTCAGCTTTGTCTTCACTTAATTGCTGGCTTAAAGTTTTTATATGAGCAGACATATTTTTTAGATCAGCATCTTATAATAAGAACTCAATGCTTAATCAGAAAAAAAAGGAGATGTAAATTTAATAATATTTTGATCAACAAGCGTTCATTTTATCAATAATTTATTTTATGTTCTGGTTATTTCTTTAAAAATTGTATGCAAAGATGGAAGAAAATAGTTTACGTGTAAAGCAAAACCTACTCACTTTTATGGACATAGTGCATAAACAATATTATCTTTTCAAAAAGAAATTGTTCGGAAGAATAAAACATTAATTTTTTTACTCTGTCTAACAATATGCAATATAATTAGTTCAGCTTCTGGTCCCCACGTTATTAAGTTAGTTTAAGCAATAAAATCACAAAAAAAGATGTTGACACATTTTATTTGCATTCAAGAAATATTTTGTTTTTAAAAGTTTTTAAAATAGCTTTACACGTATGGTGCCATGTTTTAATTAATTTAATAAATCACATGTTAAATCAGTCCCCATTTTAAAACAATACTCCCTATTTCGAATTTTTCAAATAGGAACAATAACTTAAACACTGTTTGGGTCTATTGGAAAGGCCATGACGTAGTCATGCATTGCAAATTTCCACGTACAGAGCCTGGCCATTCTGTCAAACTGGTTTCTGTTGTGTTTGAAAAGCCTCCCTATGGCTGGTTCCATGCAGATATTGCAATACGGGTCTGTGAGAAGTGACTGAATGCTGATTAACACTTTGGAGATGGTCAGAGCTAGGCTCCAGTTGTGATGGATGGAGTCTAGGCCCACATCTCCGTGACGAGAAATGTTTGGGTGGAAAATTTTGGTGATGAACCTGACTTTGGGTGGTCTCATGGGATAGCTGAGGGAGAATGATATAAAAGAATGAAAATCAACACACCAAGAGTTTATTCTTTCAGATTACACAGTTCAGGGATGTGACTTTTCCGAATTTTAGCAGAAATCCGATTTTTCCGCTTCAGCTGCAATTTTCCTCCGCTGATTTCATTTTTGACGAATTTTCCTGCTGATCTTCGATTTTTGCCGAAGTTTTAAAAATTAGGAAAAAAAACACAAATGACCTCTACGGAAACGACCAACTTGCGCATTCCATATATTTGTATTTGAATGAAGAATTTTTTTTAAAAGTTGTTTTAAGGTAAACATTAAATTGCAAATAGACATGACTTTCAAAGTTATTTTAGAGTAACATAAACTACTTTTATTTATAATATTAGCTATATTAAATGATTAATTAGAACAGTAATGGCGTGAGACTGTTTTAACTGCGATAAAAAATAGATAAAACATATTGAGTTCTTGTCCGAAGAAAATTTCCTAATTTTTTTCCTGGTCTGGTCACATCCCTGACAGTTGCTTCCCTTAATAAAAACCATTGGAAGTTCCTTCCCTTTTAAAAAAAAACAACACAGCAAGTTGTTTTCCTTTATTAAGGGCCAATATTCTTGAGTCACAATCTGTTTTACAGGAACTTATGATAAATTTTACCCCTTCAATTTAAATTATATCATATTTAAACAAATGAGTAAAATACCAACCTTTGTGGAATTTGAAGATACAAAAGAAACAATCCTCCTTCATAGGGACTACCCTGAGGACCTGTTATAGAGGCTTGCCAGTGACAACAATGACGATCTAAAGGCGTAGCTTGAATGCCCTCAGGCGGATCAGTTTTTAAAGTCTTTAACTCACTGCGTAGTCTACGATGCCTCCAGGAGTTTTCTTCTATGGGTGGAGTGCTCTATAAACAAAGACGAAAGATAAAACTACATCAGAAATGTAAGCATAGAAATGCCAACATGTAACAGAGCTGGACAAAAAGACTTTTAAAAACTGTAGTGTTAGTTGTCTATTTACCTGCAGCATCATACTCTCTAAACAATATCGACATGGGGAGCTCAGCAGCCTGGACAAAAGAAAGATAAGCAACTTAAACATACTTTGTTTTTAACCCAAATAATAAAAATAACATGCTGAAGAAAAAGAGTAGTACAAAAGTCATTAATAAAACACTGAGAAAAATTATGTAATCACAAACGATGAGATTAAATATCAAATATGATTGTGTTAAACACTGAATAGAATGAGGAAATCTAGACCAGGAAAGGGGGTAAATGAGGCTACACAAACCAGTGAGTAGAAAGCACAAAATTATAATACTTACAACTGGCTGTAAATTGTTTTCCAGCAGCGAACTTTGTACTGGAGTTGAAACAATGGCCAGCGGAGCTGAATGAAGTGTTTCCATTTTGACTGGGAAATTTCCCCGTCCAGTATCTGTCTCCACCTGGTGCAGACATTGCCAGCCACCCAGAGCGATATGTCATCCAGATTTTTAAACACAAGCAACAAAACTGAAAAGAGATTTCATCCAGATTTTTAAACACAAGTAACAAAACTGAAAAGAGATTTCATCCAGATTTTAAACACAAGCAACAAAACTGAAAAGAGATTTCTTCCAGATTTTTAAACACAAGCAACAAAACTGAAAAGAGATTTCATCCAGATTTTATATCTGCATAAATTACTTAAAATATCTTTTTAAAGTAATCCTTTAATAAGCAGATTTTATTTTAGATTTTTTTGGTTTATTCTAGAATTGTGTTTTTAGGCTTATCAAAAAAGCTATAACAAGATAACTATTTTTCAGTTTTTCAAAATATATTTCAACAATTAAATCCACATTAATAACGCTTTAAGAATGAAGAACTCAAAATAACCAAAAAGGGGCAAAATGACTACAAGTAAATCTAGATTTTACCTTCAGGTGGTAGTGAGTCAATCAACCCAGCAGGGATGCGGTCAATTTCTCGGGGTGAAGTCAAAGCATTTATTCTTTCAGTTAATTTATCAGGTTTATGTCGGGCTGGCCTCTTAGCTTGGTGATAAACCTGAATATTAAGTAATAAATGAATGTAAACAAATAATTTCATTTCATAATGTCATTAATTTAAAAAAAAAATTTACAACAAAGAATCGTAGTTGACAAATGGAACCAGTTTCTTTAACTATACTAAACTACTAAAACAAAACATAAAATTTAAAACTGAAAAAAAAAGACAATAATAAACTATAACTATAATACATTTTTAGAAGATTTTTTGCTGTCTCACCAACTAAAACTACAAGAATTTTTATGATTAAAAAAATGTAATGAGTCAAACCTCTCTCTCCTGAATATCTCGACTAGCATAAAAATCTGTCTCCACTCCTGGCTCTTCTGTTCCAGAGTCATCAGAATCAACTTTCTACATGAAATATTGTATCTGTTTACTAACTATATGAACAAGATGCTTACATCTTTAGCCCTCATGTTTTATATACATTAATTTTTTTATACATATATAAAGTTCCATTTTTAAATTAATTAAAAGTTAATTAGCTGCGATATTCATTATTCTTTTACTAACAATTTCAATTGTATTCGGTTTTTTTTTCAAAAGAAAGCTAAGAATGTGAACATAAAAAGTTTATTATAATTAAAAAACAATATCCATTTAAAAAGTTTATTTGAAACAAATGCAATATGATGTAAACACTAAATAGCCCATGCCCCGCTTGTGTTTACCTGATTATAGACTCTGTCTCCATCATCCCCCTCCTCTTTCAGCTGAGACGAAAACAAAAAGAGATGACATGTACTGCAAACTGGCTGTCCAAAGTTGCCACCATAAAATCCAGTACACATCATACAATTTTCATACTGAAAATGAAAAACAACAATTTTTTAGTTTACTATGAAAAAAGCCACACATTTTTAGTTAATATAAGAAGAAAAATCCCTAATGAAATTTGATACAATGAATTGGTATTAATCAGCAACTGACAATGAGTTTAATTTACTTGTGATCTTCAGTAATGCTCTGAATAATTGTTTTGCTGCATTAATTAAACATTTGAATTTTGAAAAATGCAAACACTATTTTTTGTACATTTTGTATTCAATGAGAGATAAGTAAATAGTGTTTGGTAAAAAGTAAAACAATTAGGATCTTTTTGTTGCTATATTATAACCAAAACAAAATAAAGACATTTTTAAAATGTTTTTAAGTATCATTAAGATGAGACTGATTAGATAAAGTGTCAAAACAAATTAGTAATTAGGTCAATTTATAACTTCTGTTGTGAAAAAATTCCCTTTAAATGTTAAGCCAAGTGCTGTTAATATTAAACATTTTACTATAAGTGTCTTTTACACTGTATATTAAAAAAGTTTCAATAAATCCCTGTAATCTGGGTTTGAAGAGACTTAAATAGTAAATAATCTCATTAAAGCAGAGCTTCTGACAACACAGTCCTCTACCATTAATATCATTACTACCTTATTATTTCAAGGGAAAGCATGCAGCAACAATATCTTTCATGGTCAATTACATCTGTGATTTATTTTTATTGCTACATTTCAATAAGTATATAAGGTTTTTTAAATAGCAGTATCTACTTATTAAAAGATAAATGTAATTTTTTTTAAATGCTGCAACAGAGTCATATAATATATGAAATGTATAATCTCATACATTAGGCCTACTAATTAGTAATTTATTAAAAGATAAATGTAATTTTTAAAATATAACTTTTTACTGCTGCAATACATAATACAATCATATAAGCCTATGAAATTAAAATGTATAATCTCATAATTAACTAATTGACCTATTAATTAGGGGTCATCCAATTCATACATCTATGAGATCACGATTCCTATGACTTTTTAGCGCAATTTCCATTCTGGAGAATTGCGTTTATTAACTTGTCATTTCTGGGAATGTCCGCAGCTTTAAGTCGTATCTCCTCCTCAACGAAGCAATATCGAGGACTAGTTCCAAAAGCAAATATGTTAAGCAAGTTCCAAGGATGATTGTGGGCCAAAAAAAATTCCCGGAATTCCTTCCTGGATTTCCCGGAAAAGCCAAAAAACCTCAAAAAAATTCCGATTTTCTGCCCATATCTCGGCAACCAGACCACTTAGCGACTTGAAACATTTACCAATCGATTCCTGCCATAATTTAGAACAATATTGCCAAAGAAAGTTTTCAAAAATATCCTTTTCGGTCACAAAATTTTTTTTTAAAAATTACATTATACATAATACATTACAGTACTATATAGCAAAATCGGCAGTGGAAGGCGAAGGAGAATGAGGGTAAATCATGTGACCTGGATATGTGACCTGGCTAGCAGCGAACTGCGCGGGCTGGCTTAGCAGCGAACTGCGCGAAACGCAGGCGAAGGAGGAGGATTCATGTGACCTGGCTTTGTTCCCGTGTGTGCTTTACGCTACGACAGAGCTATTTTTAGATAACATAAGGAAATTGCGCTTAAATTGTCACTAGACTTTTTAATAACTTGTTTACTACCCCACTCCCCTCCGTCACACATAGTAACAAAAGGCCAGACCCACCCCCCCCCCCTACCCATCTAAAATGACATCACAACTCAGCCTACAGCCTCCTAAAACTGCTGTTTAATTTTTGTTTAAGCAACTATTTCTTCCTATGTAATTGACTGAACTCAGTCAGCATTAAGTATATTAATCAATTTCAATTTACAAAAATACACAACATGCAATAATTCAGTTTCTAACATAACTTTTTAGGAATGCAAAAGTCATCATTAGTGTAACGCCATTCAATCTGGACTAACTCTGAACTGTCTGAATTCTCTCCCCCATCAAAATTATACCCCCCCCCCCCCCCCCCATCTCCAATTGGTGTAGGATGTTATTTAATATTTATAGATGACCCGACAAATTAAAATGACTGTTGATTCGAGTGTTGAGGCTAGCCATATTTTTACCACTACCAAATATTTTAAAAATTTCAACTCTTTGGTGGTACCCACTACTACACTAGTCGAAGCCTAGCCGAGCCCTAGCCTAGGCCGAGCTAGACAAATCTCAGGGCCTATCAAGTTTTAATTGTTTTATTATTTATTTATTAATAATATTAATCTGTCAATAATATTATTTTTATTAATTAGGCCCTAATATTAATAATTAATATATTAGGCCTAATTATTAATTTTTTATTAATCAGTCTGACTGAACTCAGACTCTCAGAGTCTACTGTCACTACTGATGACTACTGACTGAGTACTTGCAACTTCAACTTGACTTGGTTTTATTATTATTTATTACATAATTTCATTCGTATCAAGCGGGCATACAATTAAGCATGACAAAAGTGATTGACATACATCAGACTTCAGAAACTGTGCCAAAGCATGCTCTACTTCTTTATCACTTTCTTCATTTGCTTTTCTTGCTTCAGTGATACAGTTGTTTACGTTCGCCATATTTTTTTACCAAGCCTACTACCAACTTCCGACTTTACAGCGATGTGCATACACTTTGCGCTTTCTACGCGCTCAATCAGGCTTTAAAATTAAAAGCTGTTTTGCTTAGGCTTAAAACAATGTTTTGATTAAAGTTATTAACCGTTTATATACAATTATTATCTGATAATTTGGTCTAATGTAGTCCAATCCATATTTAAAAGTCTTACAAATTTACAAAACTCTATCTTATTACCCTTATTTCCTGCAGCTGCTTCATATGAATTGCGCTTTATTAATGCAGGAAACACGTCCAACAAATTTGTTATCCGCTGTAAGCAGTCGCTTATGGCAATGACTGAAACTTAAAGTAATTTTACTAACACCTATGTCTCCACGTCAAACATATGGACATAATGCTAACAGATTATAGATCTATATTTCCTTTACATAAATAAAATCTCCAAGTGCAATGATTTTAAGTTAAGTTTCATTTAAAAAGTATGTCACCAAAATTTACAAATGAATAATAAAAAAGTAGCCTAGATTTCTAGATCTAGAGACTCACTCTACTCTTAGTCTAACTCTACCTACTTCTGAACTTCTTCTAAGGTCTAGCCAGACCTAAGACTAGACCCTAGTCCTAGTCTAGAGAGTCTAGATCTAGTTCTACATTTCACTATTTAGATCTAGCACTATCTACTAGTACTACACTATCTAGCAGATCTAGTCTTAAAAGTCTAGTTCTAGATCTCTGATCTAATTTACTATTAGATTCTAAATCTCTACTCTTGAGTCTAGCTCTAGCTAGTTAGTAGCTAGACTAGACACTCTCTAGACTCAGGCGCTAGGCAGTGCTAGTCAGGACCTAGATTTACTACTAGTCTGGCTAAAATTAGGCCTAAAAAATTAAAGATAAGATCTTCTACATCTCTAAAAGAGGAATCTATTATTAGTATTAAAGAAAATAATCGAATGAGTAGGATTGTCTCACTGTCCTCATTCTCAAACATAATTATTTCCCCCAGGATTGGAATTATTTTTAAATCTACCTAATAATTTCTAATTGATTTATATCATCCTTGTTAGAAATATTATTTGCTTCCTTCTGTGAGATGATGAGTTGAAACAAGATCATGAGGGGGAGGGGGGGGGGTAGTATTTTTTATATAGGCCTAACAATTACAAAATAATAATTGGGACATCTTGTGTATTGTGTCAGCTATAATTAATATAAGAGTAGACCTATGCTATAAAAATACACTAAACTTTAAAAAAAAAACCTCCCTAGATAGCTTTTAACGCTCAAATCATCAAGTAGGCAAATGCACTATTATGTGGTGATGTGATTATTCACCAACATTTCTTTCTCTCTTTCAAAGGGGTTGTCCATAAATGGCATCACATTTCTAGGGGAAAAGTGGGGGTTCTGACTTTTGTGATTTTGGGGGGGGGGGGGGGGGGGGTGGAGAGGGTTGATCAAAAAGTTTGTTGCCACTCTTTTGCCATTAAAAAAAAAAAAATTCCTGACATCAAATTTTTGTTAAACTTTTTGTAAACTATAATAACAATTCATCAATGTAAAGAATATATCTGATTTTGACACAGTTAAATTAATATTGTTAAAAAATACCATTACATTGGGGGTATTATGTCATTTTTGAGAAGTTGGGTACAAATAATCAAAAACGTGATGTTATTTATCTACGACCCCAGTATGTTGTTATAATATGTTTAATAAAGTTCAGCTTGGCTTGACTAACCCAGTGTATATATGCTTACCATTTTAACATTTCTGTTTTCATTATAAATGTTTTTAATCTTTTATAAATGGCCATTCCTCTATGTATTATTTAGTGCCTAGGCCTGTATCAAAATTTTATTAAGCTTTATTATTAAAATCTCTATAACAACATTGCTATTGTTTTAATCAGAGCAATATGATAATTTTAAAATAATCCTTATTTATTAATTCATGTCTTTTTCTACTGTAATTTAGGAATGGCCATTATATAAAAATCAAGCTTCCTACCATTTTAGTTTTTTTTAACACAATGCTTTATCTTCCATTATTGTCATATTTCTTAACAGAGCTGCAGAGCAATGCATAATTGCATTTTTTAAAGACAAGAACTGAATTAAAGAACTGACATGACGCTAATTACCATAACAGTATATATATATATATATATATATATATATATATATATATATATATATATATATATATATATATATATAATTCTCTTCTGGGAGACGCTAGAAAACAAGCTGTAAACGCGCTCCCTACCATCGGGTTTAGTGACGGCTATTAGGGGCAGATAATTTAGTTTGAAACGATTTTAAACTGGGGGGGGGGGGGGGATGGGGGGGGGTTATGTCCTTAACGAGCTACTTATAGTGTTTTAAAGAAATATTTTCAGTGTCAGCGTTGGTACTGTCGAATTCACAAATTATGAATTACTGACAGTAGAAAATAAAACAACTAAAAAGTGGCGTATGCTATGTCACGGGTCGGCTCGTAAGAAATATACAGCTACATTTTTACAACATCAGATTAGCTTTTAAACAATTTTAAAATAAGAAATAGATTTCATATGACCCTCTATGATTTTTTTATGATAATGGAAACACAAATTATTAAAGTGTATAAAAAATCCACATAACTAGTAAGTAAATACATATTTCAGCTTTTCCAATTTTTGGAAACTATACATTGGTTCAAAGCAAATAGCTGTACAATAATGTATGCACACATGTTGTTTTTGACTCAACATTCCATGAACCTTTAATAGTCTCCAACAAAATCCATTGATTAGTTGAGGTACATTGATCTATTCTCTATATCTCCTACACATTTAGACCGTTTAAGCTATCTCTGACTCTCAGACTGAGAATCTGCAGCTCTGATTCTGGTGCAAAAAAAATTTAATGCAAACTTTCTATTTCAGCTTTTTCCATCTGTAGGCTATAATGTCAGCTGGCAAAAAGTCATGGAGACAATTTTATAACAGGAAAAATGTTCAAAGTATTTTGAGCAAAAAATTGTGGAGGTTTCCAATGGGGTAAGAGTTCCATCACAAAAGTGCATGGCAAGCATGAAATACTGGAAGATAATTTGTCATTAATTGTGCATTTTTTGCATGATTTTAATATCCTGGTTTTTTTTCCCCTGTTGGTTTCGAATTATGGCTTTTGCAAACAGTAGAAATTACATTAAATTATTGTATACTTTCTATTGAGGAAACTATTTAAGAGCACTGGATCACACAAGAGCTAAGGTGTTGGTTGGTATAGTTTTTGCCAGGGGTGCCACTTTTCCGGGATATCCCGGATTTCCGGATTCGAGAATCATATTTTTTTCCCTTTCCGGATTCGCAAGATTTGAGTTTGAAAATTTCCGGGTTTGCAGTTTAAAAAAAAAATTTAGATCGTTTTAAGCTTGAAAATTTTGGCATTGTAAAAATCGTTTTTATCGTCAACACTCCCGCTAATGACCTTTTCCGAAAAAAATGAATAGTAAATGACGTCAGCAACAATCTCACGCGTGCGCCAAGGACCAAATACAAATGGGCTGTATCAGATGGGTGAGGCTGTAGACGGAACTTTTTGATGTCATTCGTGGTGTGGTTGTCTGGCTATTTATGACCATATGGGTTGGGGGTAAAACTCGCATTATTTACGTGATGTCATCACTTTTTTACCACCTCTTACCCGCTTCTTCAAGGTCGCGCTGACCGTAAGACCTACGTCACGAGACCACGCAAGCACAGTCTGAGTCGTGTCTCTCGGTCGAGGCAGTTCTACGAATACAAGCGCTGTTTAATTTTAACGTGGTTATTTTTTTAATAAGGGACTTCTTCTAGATTCAAGAAAAAAAACTAGAACTGCATCGTTTTATATCATTAAACAAAATATGTAGGCCTGCTATAATTTAGTTACACAATCTAGCAGGGTCTACATCTAATTTTTTTTTTTTTTACTTTGGTAAAACGTCATTGAAATGTTTAAAAAACCTTGAAGTACCGCGTCTGAGAAAATAGCCGCTATCACTGCCCCCTCACAACCGCTTGTAAAAAAAAATCAGCTTTTCACTTAGTCGGGCGGCTACATCTCTGACGTATTACTAGCGTAGTTACTTCTAAAATCATTTTTAAAATTAACTTAATTCTGTTATTCCGCGACATGAACTTAAAACTTCCACGATATTTCTTCACGTCATCATGTATATCAAAGGTGGGGGCATTGGGGTCGTTCATAAATGACGTCACACTCGTAGGGGGAAGGGGGTCCGTAATTTTGTCATGAGGGGGAGGGGTTCAGATGGTGTGACATCACACTTTTGCATTAACCAAAAGCTATGTTAGAAAACGAATTTTAGCCGTTATTTCGCGTTTTAGAATATTGTTTCAATAAAGTGTAATAGGAATTGAGAATTGATTAAAATACTCTTATGTTGACAGAGGTCAAGCAAGATTTTTGGAAAAATATCGTATTTTAAGAAACATTCGACTGCAATTTTTAGGGGAGGGGGGTGTAGGCTGAGGTGTGACGTCATTTTAGAGGGCGGGGTCTGGCTTTTTGTGACGATATGTGACCGAGGGGAGGTGGGAGGTAAAAATCGTCAATAAAGCGTGACATCATTTATGGATGACCCCATTGGTGGTTGATTGGCAAAACAGGGTTTAAGGTTTTTGTTGTGGCTGCTAATAATTAAAGCCTTGAATAGCTACAGTAAGTCAACCCTGTATTTTAATACAGTGACAATCTTATTAAGGGTCTGCATATAGTGGGCTTATCATTCAATAACAAGACATAGAGGTTAGCAAAACATTTGTTACTTAACAGTTGGCTGACTACACACTTTAACTCAAGCTAGGAAGTTCTAAAAAATTAAATAGTTATGTTATAAAAGCTGGCTGGGGGGGGGGGGGGGGGGGGGGAGAGGGAAGAGAGGGAAGTTCAATAGCACATTATGGGGTAGGCCTAGAGATGGGACTAACATTGTAAACTAATTTTATTGTAAGCACAATCCTTTAAAGATAAAATTTTATTTGAAGCTTGTTACAAAGAAAATAAATCCATTTTAAAGGAATGTAAATTGAACATAATATGAATCAAATGTCTCAGAAAATAATGAAATAATAGTCCATTTTATTTTGAAATTCCGCGCGGAATTAAGTTTCAGGGTTTCAAAAATTTCAAATTTTAGTTTCAGGATTGGTAAAATTTTGGGATTCATTTTCAGGATTCACTTAAAAAATGAGTGGCACCCCTGGTTTTTGCTGTTATAATGTTGATAACGTATATTCATGTATAGACCACAGAGCTTGAAAATGTAATTTAAAAATTGCTAAGCATATTTCTCTTTTTTTTTTTAAATTCATTTAACCAAGAAAAACATAAAAATTTAACTTCTCTGATTTTATACCATTTAACACATTTGCTAAATAATACTGTTTGTGATACCTAATTAAAACTTTAACGGATACTTAATTTTAAACTTAAACAAATCTTCCATTAAGTTCTGCTAACTCATATAGTGGGTCTATTTGGAACATAGATTGGTATTTAACATATTAAGCATTTTTCTGCTAACAGTTTAAAACTTTGATGTGTCAGAGAAGTAAAATAAAATAATACGCAATCTTAGAAAACAATTTGAATGTTTGCAGCTTTTTATTTTCTGATTATTTTCATATGGTGTATTTTGTCCAGTTAATTATGTTGTCATTAGATGATTTAATAATTTTTTTAATATACTGTCTAAATGTTACATGTCAATGTTGTCTTCTATTAAAGATTTATATCTTATTAGCTGCTTAAACTTAGCTACCCTCCAAGCAGATGAAATAATGTTTCTCTGATTCTGTGACAATGTAATAGCCAATTGCATTATCTCTTAAAAATATGATATAATATACATGAATTATTATGCCTTATTAACTATAAAATCTTTTAAGAGCACTTTTTTTTTTTACTTTTTTTAAAAGCTAACACTAAAAAAGAACATTTTATTTAGTAAATATTATGTATTAACTTTCACAAAACAAAGAGTAACTAGTCATTTAAAAAAAAAACTAGTTTTCTGTTCACCTAAGGGTTAAATCAAAAGTTTTTGTTTTGATGTCATCATCCTAACCTTAATCATGAGAGTGATACTGGCTTAAAATAAAATAAAATCATCACTGTTATTCCATACTGCCCTCTAAAGAACATAGTAGTTCTGAATAATCATTCAGCTTATCTAAATTCTCCAGGCGGAACAATAAGAAATTGGACAGCCTCCTGCCATCCCCCGACCACCTTCTGCAGGATGTCATCAGGCAAGAGAAGAGGGTCAAGGCCTCCATTTGCTCAAAATTGTTTTTTGCTGCAGCCACCAAGACTCTAGCTTTAGTCAGTTTTTATTATGTGTTTTCCATAGGCCTTACATTCTACAACCAGCACATGTTTAAGGTTGGTTACATTTTTTTTCTTTTTATAGAAAATATATATGTAGGTTTGAAAGAAAAACAAGAGGAGAAAAATCTTGCAAGTTTTGATTTGTTTATGGTTGGTTACCTTGTTTTTACAATCTTGAAAAAAAAAGGAAATTAAATTTTTTCCTTTTTATTTTGATGGTTTTTAAATTTTGATACTTAAAATTCGGCATTAAAAAAAAACAACAGAATTTACATCTCATGGGTGTGCCATTTCTAGATGTATCCTTTCTGACCTAAGCGTTTATTTACATTGCAGATGTATTTAAGTCCATTTGTTTGTTTCTGTAGTCATATATGATGTGATATTGCCTGGCTGAAAATATATAATTTAATTGATTTATTCCAAAATGAAAGTTAAAAATATTTTATCCCTATTCTATCTTGTCAACATTTAAACTCTCTAGTAATATCTCTTTTTGATTGTGTGTGGTGTAGGATTTTTCAATTTCATTTTCATGTTGTTGTTTTTTTTTTGTTTTCATCCACAGCATGGCCACTTGGCACTGTCAATTACCATGTGTCATTTGTTATTTAAGTTCTGGTTGGCCACTATCATTCGCCAGTTTCTAGAATGTAAAACCAAAGAACCCCGGATAGTCTTGCCATGGCCAGTCTACCTGAAGCGAGTGGCGTTGGCTGGTTTGTTTGCTTGTTTACTCCTTGTGTTTAGTTGGTCATTATGATTATAGTCATTTCATTATAACTAAGGGGCTATGCTAATGATATAAACGACAGGCTTGGTTATCTAAGATACATTCAAAATTCAGACAGTTTACAAGTATTTTGTGTTTAATTATATTAAATAGTATGGTATAAATAATTTAACTTTATAAAAAGTTTTTTTTTAGATGTAATTGAATCTTAAGATAAAATTGAAACTTTTTTTTACATTTATTATATTACAAAGGTGTGGATTGATTTTTTATCATCTGTATTTTTTTTCCCATTTTGTTTCCCCAATTATAATGGCATATTTTTCTTTGAAATCTGCACTGGAAGTCTGCCACTGCCTATACATATTGCTAATAATTTACTGTACTTTAAGATGTTGTAGTGATATTATTTGCTTAGCTATAAATTAAGGTTTTTACAGTACTCTTCAATACAGCAAGAATTTTTTTCCTAACTCTATTAAAGGTAAAATTTAACTTAGTTCATTTGCTTAAACCACAGGTGCTGTTGGAGCACTTGATATTGGTTTGTCAAACTGGAGTTTTGAGATGATCTCAGTTTCTCTGTAGGTAAATTTTCTTCTGCTTAAAAAAAAAAAGATTTTTTTTTTCATACCATGCACTGTTTTTTTTTTTAAATTATTTTAGAACCCATTGAAATTGACGATGTCTTTGAATATAACAAGGCTTATGTTTTTTCTTTCTTCAGATACACCATGTCAAAGTCAACTGCAGTGGTCTTCATTTTATTTTTTTCTCTTGTCTTTAGGCTTGAGAAGTTTGTAAGTACAATAAAATATTAAAAAACCAATAGTCTAATTTATTGTGTTATCTTAGTTTAGTTTTTTTTTGGCATAAAAGTAATTTAAAAATTTTAAATTATAAAACTAATGTATGGTATATTTATATTAACATGCATTTTTCATGTTAACATTTTTTTTAACAAATAGTTGAAAATAAGCAACTTTGGTTTTTTTTTATATTCACAAGCTACTTCCCATTAAAAATATGTAACATAATAATTGGATAATTTTTTTTATAACCAATGTTCTTTATAAAAATAGTTGAACATAACAATGCAAACATACAAGATGTTATTAACAACTCTATTTCAAATTCCCCAGAGGTTCAGTTTGGTGGTTGTTGTCCTGCTCATCTTCACCGGGCTCTTCCTCTTTACCTATCACTCTACGCAGTTTAACCTGCAAGGTTTTATACTGGTCATGACAGCCTCTGTGTTATCTGGGCTCAGGTGGACTTTAGCCCAGGTGTTACTTCAGAAACATGAAATGGGTGAGGTCAAGGGTGGATGTGGCATTTTTCTTTACTTTGTATTTTTAAAAATACCTTTAATTATCAGGGCTATACATGCTAAGGAATTGTGTCGCTGGACAATTTTTTTTTTTTCAATTTTTGTTGGGTACTCTTTAAAGCTGGTTAGGCTCTTAGCCATCCTAATAATCCATGTCAGAATTCTGGCATGAATGAAAATATATTTAACTGCAGTACCTGATGTTGGAATTGTTAAAATGATTTTATTTAAAGCAGTCAGCAAATCACCTTAATTTTTCCTTATTATATTGTAATATCTATATATATAATTCTCTTCTGGGAGACGCTAGAAAACAAGGTGTAAGCGCGCTCCCTACCACCCCACCCCTACATGGTCTGGTGAGCTCTGTTTACATTACAATCGTAGAGCCAGGTTTAGTGACAGCTATTAGGGGCAGATAATTTAGTTTGAAATGATTTTAAACTTAGGGGAGGTAACTAAGAGGAGGGTGCTTTCACGGTGGGGTGTAGGGTAGGGGTTGGGGGAAAGTAGGGTGGGGGTAGTATTGTTCTTAACGGCCTACTGATAGTGATTTAAAGCAAATATTTTCAGTGGCAGCATTGGTGCTGTCGAATTCACAAATTATGAATTACTGAAAAGTAGAAAATAAAACAACTAAATAGTGGCGTATGATATGCCGCGGGTCGGCTCGTATATGTTAATTTCCAACTTAATTTATCCTTCTTACATTGTAATATGTATGTTAACTAGCACTTTTTTAAAAGAATGATATTTCTGTGATGTTCTACATATAGAGTTAATGTTTTTTTTGTGTTTTAATATTGTGTAGGACTTCACAATCCTATTGACATGATGTATCATATACAGCCTTGGATGATGCTAACCTTGTTACCACTCTCTGCTGGGATTGAATGTAAGGGACAAAACCCCAATTTTTAATTTAAAAAAATAGTAGTAATATTTCTTTGTAGAAATAAAAACATAGTTTTATGTTGTTATTTTTTAAATTTTAAGCAGGTTAGGGGTCGTCCATAAATGACGTCACACTCGTAGGGGGGAGGGGGGGTCCGGAATTTTGTGATGGTGTGTGATGGGGGGGGGGGGGGTTCAGATGGTGCGACGTCACACTTTTGCATTATCAAAAAGCAATGTAAGAAAACAAATTTTAGACGTTATTTTGCGCTTTAGAAAACTGTTTTAATAAATTGTAATAGGAATTAATTAAAATACTCTATTTTGACAGAGTTCAGACAAGATTTTGGAAAAATATCGATGTTTAAAAAAAATTTCAACTGCAATTTTGAGGGGGGTTGTAGGCTGAGGTGTGACGTCATTTTAGGGGGGGGGTCTGGCTTTTTGTAACGGAGGGGGGGAGGTAAAAATTGTCAAAAAAAGCTTGACGTCATTTATGGATGACCCCTTATGTCAAAATTCACCCTTACATAAGTAGAGGCCAAGTCCTTAATTAAATGTTATGTCAGTATTAGTCATGTCCATAATTAAAAATATGTAACCCTTACATATCATTTCATTTTTTTTAATTCATATTATCCATGGCCATAATTGACCATCGAAGCTGTATTTCCTCAGTACAGGTGATATCCACTGACCATTGAAACTATATTTCCTCAGTACAGGTGATATCCACTGACCATTGAAACTATATTTCCTCAGTACAGGTGATATCCACTGACCATTGAAACTATATTTCCTCAGTACAGGTGATATCCACTGACCATTGAAACTATATTTCCTCAGTACAGGTGATATCCACGAGTGAGCACTACTTCAGGTTCACACAGTGGACAGTGTTGCTGTCTACAGTTGGTTATGTGTTGGTGGGGGCCACATTGGGCTTCATGCTGGAGTTCAGTGAGTTCCTGTTGCTGGCCCACACCTCAAGCCTCACGTTATCAATTTCTGGAATTTTTAAGGTAGGGACGTTATCAATTTCTGGAATTTTTAAGGTAAGGACAGGACAATTCCATGCACATTTCAAGGCTAGTGTTTTTAAACTTTTACTACAAATTCAGTGATAGTGTTTTATTTGACAAACTCTTAAAAAAGAAAAAAGAAATTTTTTAAATTTAATGTTACAGAAAAGTTTAAATGTGGAAGACCAAAAATAATATTTATCATTAACAGTTCACATTCCATGTTTGTTTATAAGGTACTCAATAATTTTCCATCATCTGAAGTAGGTTATATTACTTTAAGCTTAGTTATGCTACATATAAAACAATTCCAACTCAAAAGTTGGTGAATGTTTTTATTATACTTGCAATTGTTATTACAGAAAAATGTTTTATATTTTTTTTAGGAAATTTGTATTTTGGGTTTGGCCATACTCATCACGCATGATAAGATAACTCTGTTGAATGGTGTTGGTCTTGTTGTTTGTGTAGCAGGGATTACAGTCCATGTCATCAGCAAGGCTGTTGTTTGTGAGTAATATATTCCTTCAATACTTACCTGTTAAAATCTTCCGTTATACCTTTGAAGTTTTTGGATTTAGTTATGCATTTCAATATAGTATGTTGTTAGTGTTAAAGCTGTTCAGAAATATTCTACTGAGAGACTAAATACATAAATAAACATCAACTTATGTACACTTTCTGTCTATAATTATATGTTTTACATAATCTGCAGCTAAAGAAGAAAAAGAAAAAACTGTTACTGTTGAGTCTATGAAAATGTTGTCCAAAGGAGGGGAGGCAGTTGATGTATCTGACAGCGATGAAATGGAACTCTTTCGAAGAGGAAGATAGAAATAAATGTATGGTTGTGGGCCTTGTGATATTTAGTTAATGTTCTATGCACATTTTTCCTTCTTGCGCTGTCTTTTAGTTTTTAAAACTGTTCTGTTGAAAATAACCAGAAAATTCTTTGAATGTGTTAAGACTTTCTCCCGCCACAATAACTATACCTTTTAAAAAGTATTTTGTATTTATACTTACAACAAAATAGGAATTATATTTTTTGTAGGACTTTTAATTACATGATTAACATGTGAAGAAAAATGAATTTTTGATGTGTTCCACTGATCATTGCTTGCTCAGTTAAAATGTACAGATGTTTGAAATTTATAAGAAATTCTTAAAATTATGTGTTTTTTTTATATAACAAATACATTCCTGTAATTATACAAGTATGATACAGTTTATTGATGCTTATAAATATATTGTTTCTTTCATAAATAAATGCTCAGCGTTTATAACAGTAGAGTCTGTGCTGTATGATGGAAGGGTAAAAGTCAATGTGGTGTGATAGCGTTGTTACATAAATTATTGTTAACCTGAGTGTCTTAGGTTCGATTCCCTGATTGAATATGAAGGACATAACTGTGTCTATTCCACCCTGTAAGGTGTCTGATTTCTAAGTAAGGGGAAGTAAGACAAAGTACAAGCCTCTCAACCTTAAGGTGTCTACTACAACCAGGGGAAGTAAGACTAAGTATTGTACTAGCCACTCAACCCTTAAGGGGAACTATTGGCAACACAATATACCCTTGCATTCCTCGTTTGCTCATCTCTTCAGTGTGATAAGCAACAGCACAAATTAAATAGAAGTTGAGAAACTTGCTTAAAGTAATAATTCTCTAACCAAAACCCATATTTCATTGTAATGTTACCAAACGACCACTGTTCTCTGGATGGTGCGCCAAATACAAGCGATCATTTAGTTTTAATACAAAATTGGCTAGCAAAATGTCCAAGCTTGCATTGAAATGAGAGTGTGTTTTCAAATGAATGCTTTGTGTTTATTCCTAGCATTTAATTTCCCTAACGTTCAAAATGGACAGTATTATCTCTCTCCTCAAAGGAATATTTTTTTGAGTTTTTTTTTTTAATTTGTGAAAAAAGCACGTCTATTTTTCTTTTTAAGAAAAAGTCAGCCTACTCATGATACTATCTGTATACTAATTGATGAATTATAGCTATCTTTACTGTACCAGAAAATATGCTGAGTATGTGGTGTACATGTATGAAAAACAAGACTAAAGAATTTTTAAAAATAAAAAAAAACATGTTTCCTCCTTTGCAAAATGGTCATAATTATTAGCTGAGCTGATAAATTTATTATTAACAGATTATGTTCTAATTTGACTGTACATTATTGTAATATATTTTATCACCACATGATGTGTGTTGTGATATGCCAAAATGTTTTTTTTTTACTTACATTTAAAGCCTTAAAATTGTGATGGTAAACTCCACTCCTCTTCCAACTACTGTCATGCATTAGTTTGAATTTTTTTTGCTAAAATTTGTTGTAATTGTAAATAACATTATTGTCCTATATGGATTTGTTTTTGTAAAAGAATGGTATACAGTTTTGTATGGCATATATTTTCTTTCGTTTTTTTTTTACACATTGCTTTGGTGGAAGTGACAAAAATCCTCTCATTTCAGTTTGGATGTCATACAACTTAATTCTTCTACCATCCTTGGATTTTAAATTAATGTTTATTTCTACCACCCATATTTTATCTTTTAAATATTCATCACAGTTTTTACTTTACCCTGGTACATCTTTCAGTTGATATCTTGACACACCTCCAGCCTGTGTAGCTGGTGGTTCTCACAACTGGATCTATCATGACACTTGTTCTACATCACTTCTTTTTATTTTATTTAACAATGTCAGAAATGCCAGCAACTGTGCTTAAAAAGTAATTCTTAAAAACGAACAGAAAGTATCCAACATATTTTATTGTAACCAATTAATTCACTTATAACCAAGTCACAAAATTTAATCTTTGTACATTGTAAAAATTTGTTTCATTTTAATACGACTAGGACACTTTTTTTAATAACACATAAAATCTCAAACTGACAAATATTAGTTGTTTTTTTTTTTTACATTACATACGTTGAGTGTACATTTTAGTTTTCTTTGTGTGATCTTTTTTTTAGATTAATTGTGATCATTTTAACAATATCCAAAGCATAATTCTGTGTCACTCATATAGAAATGATTCAGGCTTTGACTTTTTAAAAAAAGCCAATGCCATGGTTTGGTTGAAGATGTTTGATATCAAACCATATATAGTGATGATATATCCACAAGAATTTTATTAAAGATACCTGGATAAAGTAATTATTTTTTAAAAATAATTTCAAATAGTGTTTGTTTAATGTACTGTTATTATTTATCAAATATCTAATCAATTGTTGATCAACTACAGCTTCAAAGATGTAGAAAAGATGACTGAGCCAATACAAACTTTTTTTTTTTCTGTTCAGATTAAAGGATCACACATTTGACATGACAAAAAAGATTTTGTTAGGAATATTTATAAAACAGGATAAGTATAAAACATAGTTAAAAAAAATATAGAGATAGACCAAAGCTGCCAAAAAAAAATCAACATTAATAGGTTTTTTTTTTCATCGCACACGCTGACATGACAAGAACTTGTCAAAAAAAAAAAAAAGAAAATATATGACTACCAGATTTACAATGCTATTTCTTATTCTAATCTATTAATTAAAATAGAATTTTAACCAACAGAAAAGATCCACATGTCACATAGATGGTAACAATTTTGTTAGATGATGAATAACATGTCAACCTACAAAACACAGTGCCATGTAGCATCTACCAATATGTAATGGTAGGGCAGGAAAAAGTTTCTTTAAATTAACTGCATTTATGGTGTAACTACTCAATACCATACACGTTTTTTTTTAAAAAGCTACAAAATAGCTTCATATTATCTGGATAATTTACATTTTTTGAAAATACTTTGTTAATTTATACATATTAAACCCCTGTGATACAACTATTTACAACAGTTTCACTGTCAGAGATGTAAAAAGTCTTCCAAAAGAAGAACAAGAATTTTAGTATATCATAGTGCATTAATAAAAATCTTACCTATTTACTTACTTGCATAAAAATAAACTGCTAATTTAGTGTACCATTCAATTTAACTCTTACGACTATATCCTAATTCCTTTAAAAAAAATTGTAAAATTTAAATTTTCATGCTTTTATGTGGTAGTTTCAGTTTAATTTTTACCAGTAAAACAATGTATTTGAATGAAGTAATAAGTTCAAGGGCGTTAACATAGAGTGTCAATGAAAATGAATATTTTGATTTTAAAAATTAATGCACATCTGCATTTTCCTGCTTCATTTAGCATACATTTATTTATCTAAGTTGTAAACTTGCTTTTATTTTAAAATTGGATGTTTCATATTTTGGCTTTTTTTCTTCAAAAATTGTCTTTAAAAAAACTGAGTCACATCTCTGCACTGTAAGAATTGAAATCAGAAACTGTTAATAACATAGTTTGTCAGACGATTCAAGTCCGTCTCATCCTTGTGGTTAGCCAAAATAGTCTCAATCTGAGGCCTCTGGAATGGTTCAGGGAAAAGCTCAACAAGTTTCCTGTATAGGATCTCTGTGTCTAGGTGACTCCGGACTGGATGGTCTTGGCTCTGCCATCTCATTTTGTTGCCTACATTATGCCTTGCATTTCTTTTATATCTGTCAAATTTTTTATCACGATTAGGAGGATGGGTAGGATATCTGTGAATTAAAATGTTTGCAAAACAAAATAAATAATAAAATGGCTAATGTTTGCCTAAATAATTTTTATCTAATGTATTTGTATAACAATTTAATTTTAAAAAGTATTTCAGAGAGATAGCGATGAGGCTAATACTCACTGCATTGTAAAGTATGGTACAGTTTCATGGGAAATTCTTAAAAACTGGTCTAAATTTGGACCATGTTTGCCGAGTGGGTCATCTGGGGGCATGAAGTGGTCACCCACGAACATAAAGGGCAGCAACCTACAAAAAACATGGTTTCAACATTAGGACAGTGTACGGTCAACTTATGTTAATACAGATGTAATTAATCCATAATCTCACTAAATCATTGAACTATGTACAACAAAAATTTTTTTTTTCAAACTTCAATATAAACTATATGACAAAGGTTGAAAATAAGAATTTATATAGCAATCTTCTTTACAATTTCTAAATTTAATGTTATATGAAAAATTGTCTTCGTAAAGAGAAAAAATGGTCAACCTGTTGGCTATTATATTATAATAACTCTCCCGCTCCTGGCACAAATCCCTGAATTGATCATTGGATACAACAATACCATCCTCTTTTTCAGCAAGATTCAAAATATATCTAAGAATGAGAATAACAAAAAGATATGAAATGTTATCTGCATGCAGAAATAAATGTAAACCAGTATTAGGGTGTTGCAGGCGAGTTTAAATTTCATTAATGTTTTAACAATAAAAAACTACATTTGTGTACCCGTAGGTAAAAAGTTGAATTATCAAAAACATTGGCTCTTTTGAAAAAAAAAGGTGTTTACTAATTAAATGTCTACCATGCTAGAACTAACTTTTTAATACTGTGTATGCTTTTTCTAATGTTGTGATCTAGTTTAATGTCCCATTTAAAATAAATATGACGGATAACTCAATTCCTTTTAACTCTCTCAGCAGACAGGGCATAAAGTACAAAAAACTAACTGACCTGTCGTCATAACTGTTGATAACTTGTCCATTAAAACGACGACTTGGAGTAAACTTTACATAACCTTCTCTGTTTAATTTTTCTAAAAGTTGTTTCCCAATTATCTCTGTCTGGTTTTGAGTATAGCGGCGTGACTCTGGCACAAATGCTGTAATTCTGGTGTGACCTCTCTTTCTAAAATAGTTTATGCAAATCTCAAGGCCTGGCACGGAATATCTTTTATTGTCGCCATGACTGAAACAAGAATTGTTAACATCTTGTCACTATGGCAGAAACATGCACAGTAAGCATTATTTTTGTTATCATGACTACAACAGGTATATCAATCATCACAATGGCCTTTAGTGAAATGAAAGATACCTGCTCATTTAAACCATCTAGTGTTCCAGTGCCAAAACTTGGTATGGACCACATTGCAAAAATGAACAGCGGTCACAAAAAAGTCGGTTTTAATATTATGTTTACTCTTATTTCATCTTCTTTTTCGTTCTTAATTCTAGTGTTTGGAAGGGATTCCCTTCAACACAATAGCATTGAGTTTGATTTCAGCCTGCTTTTCTTTTTGGATTTGCTTCCATAGCCTTTGTCCAACCAAGAACAAACTACAAGGCAGCAGTTGTTTTTTTACGCTATGATAAGGTGTTGTTTGACCCTGTCAGACAGTTGTTTCCCTGTTAGTCAAATATAAAAGATGTAGCATTGCCTGCATTGTATGACATAAACCACATTACGGGAGTCACAGTTAAATTGGTTGTAAATTTTGAAGGTTCCCTTAGGCAGCTGGAGTGATTTCACCTGCAGGGTGAAGTCAGATACACTGCATTTATGTGAACATGGTCTAGTACCCACCCCTAGGTGACATTTGGTGGCAGGCGGCTCTGGGCATATTTATGGACATATTTAACTGTTTTTTTTTTACATCAAATTGTGCGTCAACAAAAAAAAAATCTCTTAAGGAACAGTGAATGGTAAAATGCGACCCTGGCCTTTCAAATGGGGGTAGAGCTTTTTTTGCCAATGTGAATAACTATATATAAATGAGGGGTGGGCTCAAAAATTGATTATTCACCCCGACCAGCCGGAATGGCTCCTATGTATAGGATAGTAAAGAGTTGAAGGCTTTGCAGACAGGTATTAAAGGAAAATGATTCCTAAACAAAAACCATATTCATTCACATCACAAGACTCCCCTTCTTAAAAAAAATGACAACTTCAACCACACCATAAACAAGTGCAACTCACGCCATGGCCACATTGCTACCATCAATGACGATGTATCTCAGGTCATCATGTTGTGCTCCTGCATTCTCCGATCTGTCCTGTGGCAGTAACCCTGCATTCCATGTCCCAATCTCCATTGGAGCATCCACCGGACCAACTCTGGGGACCAACGTCTTGGATGAACTGCTGCCCTGGTCTCCTGCGCTCAACTGAATTGGGTTTCCGACATTTTTTGCAAAGACTGTAAAAAAATAATTTTCAACATTGGACCATAATAAAAACTCTGTACACTAACATTGTTTTATGCCTGTGTTAAATTACTAAGTAAGCATAAACAGCTGTAGATCACAGAACTAAATTAAAATTTCTATGAAAGTTAAAAAAGAAAGGAAGTGAATGATGAATAAAGCAATGTTTATAGGATGACTTCAGAAAGATCCTCCACAGGGGAACAGGCAGTCCTTGATAGACTTACAGTTAAGACACAGAACAGGTCTAGAAACTGCAACAGTGGAAAGTACTGCAACAGTGGAAAGTCCTGCAACAGTGGAAAGTACTGCAACAGTGGAAAGTACTGCAACATTGGAAAGTACTGCAACAGTGGAAAGTACTACTACAACAGTGGATGGTATAAAACAACAGTCGATGGTATAAAACAACAGTCGATGGTATTAAACCAGTGGAAAGTAATACACCAGTGAAAAGTAATACACCAGTGAAAAGTAATACACCAGTGAAAAGTAATACACCAGTGAAAAGTAATACACCAGTGAAAAGTAATACACCAGTGAAAAGTAATACACCAGTGAAAAGTAATACACCAGTGAAAAGTAATACACCAGTGGAAAGTACTACATTAGTGGAAAGTACTACACCAGTGAAAAGTACTTCACCAGTGGAAAGTACTACACCAGTGAAAAGTACTACGCCAGTGGAAAGTACTACACCAGTGGAAAGAACTACACCAGTGGAAAGTACTACACCAGTAGAAAGTACTACGCCCGTGGAAAGTACTACACCAGTGGAAAGTACTACACCAGTAGAAAGTACTACACTAGTGGAAAGAACTATACCAGTGGAAAGTACTACGCCAGTGGAAAGTACTATACCAGTGGAAAGTACTACGCCAGTGGAAAGTACTACACCAGTGGAAAGTACTACACCAGTGGAAAGTACTACACCAGTGGAAAGTACTACACTAGTGGAAAGTACTACATCAGTGGAGAGTACTACACTAGTGGAAAGTACTACATCAGTGGAGAGTACTACACTAGTGGAAAGTACTACATCAGTGGAGAGTACTAATGGTACACAAAACTTGAAGTACCTTTAGGAGCTTCAATCTCCTCAGGCTCATCATCAGAAATAATAATTGTACTGACATCAGCGTCAATTGGGATTGGTTGATTTCCCTGCCCGGGTAAGGCAGGGTCACTAGAAACAGCGGGCTGCGTCAGTGTGTATCCTCCACCATGTCTGCTAGCTTTTATGTCCCTCACAGTTTTTAAAAAGTCAGCAGGTCGAATAACATCGTCCATGTTGTATTTGGCCAAGGCCATTTCAATGTCTTGAGGTGAGTAATGTATCGTGGTCGCCAGGTTGATCAAATATTCCCTCTGTTTACAACTCGGCTGTGAGTCTGATGTGTCCATCCACAGCTCCCCAGTCACCTGCTGGTCAGTGTGCGTCCAATCTCCTTTATCGTTTAAAATCTGAGGGTTAGCGGCGTAAGTTTTACTTGAGGTTCCATACCCAGATGGATGCAGTGATGAGCCTGAGGCATACACACATCGTGCAAGGTCTTCACAACCATGTTGTCCTGAAATACAAATACTTCTTGGTTTCAAGATTGTTATTTTGGTTTTTTTTTATCTAGGCATACTAGATAAGCTACTCAATTAATTAAGGTTAATTATTAGATTACCAATGAATGATATTCAGCAGGAATAAAATTTCAAAAGTTAATTTTTTTTTAAATGCACATTTGATATCTAGTAGATTTTGCTTTTAAATTAGCAAATGGTTAAGACAAGTAAGCTCATAGGGCAGATGAAGTACAGGCTATGGGGGCAAATCAAGAAATAAAAACAAGCAAAAGTAAGAGTTAATGGGCCATATGGTTCATAAAATGGGAAATCCCTTCTCAAGAATGAAAAAACAGAATAGCATGTTCAACAACTTGTGTTTTTTCTTTGCATTACTATGAACCATCTGATGTCAATGTGTGCTTGGACCATGACCAAATATACTATTATGTGATATTTCTTTGGTAAGTTATCACAATATGGGTGCTATCTAGAGTAATTCTTCAGCTAGCACATCTACATAAAATAATACTGACAGTAATTTAAATTAATTTACAGCACATTTACATTTAAAGAAAACTAGTAGCATCCCCTTACCTGATGACTTAAAGCAATCAATTTTAGTAGGTGTCCCCGTTGTTATTGCAATGAAGGATGAGTTGTTTTTATCTGTGGGCAAGTTTATGTCATCAGCTGTTTCATCTGGTAGGTAGTCAGCTTCTGGATCTATAACTTGACTAAACATTTCATCAATCTAAAAAATTAAAGAAAATTCAGTGTTAGGCTTTTAAAATTTTAGGAAATAAAGTAAAATGGTTAGGTTTTTTAAATACTTTTTTAACATTACAATTTCTGTCCTCCTCCGTAATATTTTTCTGTTTTGTGTTTAGTTGTCTAGTAGAAATTACTTTCATATTTTATCATCATCTTTACCCCTTTGTGCCAAGGACACATGGGGCAGATGAAGTTAAGTTCATTTCTTTTATACATTACGCATTTATTTAATATGTGGAGGTAGAAATAAAGACAAAAATTCATTAGCAAAAAGCTAATGTTAAATTGTTTGGTCTATTATATAATGGGCAACATTTTATGCTGTAGAGTCAGTGTTGTGTTGTGATTTTTTTTATTTGACTGGAGCAATGTATATATAACCCAACTAATATTTTTGTGAAATAGAAACCTTAAGGTGTATTTAATTAACAGGCTAATTTTCACAAAGTTTTGAAGAAGCAGTTGTCTAATTAAAATTGTATTTTTTATAATAAGTTTATTCAAAGAAAAGATAGTTTTAAATAATTTAGAATAATGGTTGAATATTTTTGTGTACAAAAATATTAACTTTTGAGGGGGTAGGGTACTCTCGCACAGGCTACAGGACATGCAAGAAAAAGTTGATGCATTAGGAGCCATCTCGCAGCGCGTAGGTCTGAAGATCAACAAAGAAAAGACGGAAATGATGAGAATTAACAATAAACAGGAGGCTCCAGTGTCAATAGACGGAAGACAGGTAAATGATGTGCAAGAGTTTGTCTACCTTGGCAGCAAGATCAGCAAAACGGGAGGCACAGAGGAGGACATACGTGCTAGAGTTAATAGAGCCCGCTGCGCTTTCACAGTCCTGCGACCCATATGGAAAAGTTCGGCCATCTCCATTAACACAAAAATTAGGATATTTAACTCTAATGTCAAGGCAGTTCTGCTGTATGGAGCAGAGACATGGAGAGTCTCCAAGGCAAGCACAGCAAAGATACAGACCTTCATGAATAGATACCTTAGACAGATACTGAAACTGAGATGGCAGGACAAAGTGCCGAACTTGGAACTATGGAGGAAAGCTAGGCAGGAGCCTATAGGTGTGCAAATAAGAAGGAGGAAGTGGTGCTGGGTGGGTCACACACTGCGAAAGGCTCACACAAATGTTACACGCCAAGCGCTTGAGTGGAACCCCCAGGGAAAGCGGAAGAGAGGGCGCCCAAGACAGACCTGGAGGCGGAGTCTTCTTGAAGAACTGAAGCCAACAGGGATGTCTTGGGAGATGTCAAAATTAGTAGCCGAGGATAGGAAGAAATGGAAGGAAATGGTGGAGGCCCTATGCTTCATAAGGAGCAAAGAGGAATAAGTCAAGTAAGTCAAGAGGGGGTAGGGGGATAATTCTCTGCACTGTCTAATAAAATAATCCAAAAGCTTACTAAGGACTGGGCTACAGTGACGGCCATATCAGATCCACTGATTGTGAGACTGCCATCCTTATTTTCTTTCAAAACAGCTAATGACACTTTTTCAATTTCATTACTTTTTGTAGCAGTGAACAATGGGTGGCCAATTATGTTTTTTAGATGAATGACTTCCCCTGGTGAGATGAAGTTGAGTGTATACTCCTGAAAATGTAAACCAAAATGGGTTAATGCAATGATAATTTGCTTTCTTCCCTTTCTGGATGCTAAAGGATAAAAAATAACAGGAAAAAAAAGAAAAGTGTTGGCAAGAAATAACAACTAGTTAACTTAATATAGATTACACAGTTCATTTAGGTAAAGCTCATTCCATTATGAAATGTTAACTTTAATTTTTAATGCTAAATTTACATATGTTAATACTTACATTTTAAGACTAAATGCTGATATTCTTTTAATTACTTTGGATTAATATATAGTTATGCAGTGGAATGAGGTTTTAAGCTCAAAATTTGTGTTTATAAACTTACTTTTGCATTGATGATGTCTTCCTCTAAGCCACTGATACAAATCCATCGTTTTGCACCTTTACCATTACTTTCATTGAAGATCTTATTCAATACAATAGTGACGTTAAATTTAACTTCAATTTTCTGCTTATTTTCTCCAAGCAGTGCTGATTTTGCATCATCAATGACAAATTCAACTGTTGTTTGCATTTCTTTTAAGTGACACCACGTTATGTTGTCAACAAAATTTGAATCTTTAGATTATTTTTTATGTCTTAGGTCTTTGTCAAACATGTTCCACACAATCTGTAGCTGAACAGAAAGAAATGTAACAACATTTAATGAATAGTGTATACAATTTTAAGTTTTTATTAGGCCTATTTAGCATTTTACTATATACTATATACAAATTAGCTGAACCTCAGACTACAATGTAAAACTCCATTTTAGTGTAATTTATTTGATGCTTCATGTTCACATCCAGTTGAGCATATTTTATTAAAATATTACCAAAACAAAAACCTTAGGAAAACATTACAGTACATTTAAGTACATTAGGCCTAGTAACTTTTACTAACACTTTTAGTCAAAGTGTCATATTAGTTTAGCAAGTTTAGTAACTTACTAACTACTCAGTAACTTTGAGTAACTAGCCTAGTAACTAGTATCATGGTAGTATTAGAGTATTAGTTGTTACCTACATTGATAACTTATCAATGATAAGGCAAGTAAAGGAAGAGTCTATTAAACTCTATTGACTATTGTCAGACATCAGTAGGCCTACTTATATTTATAATATTTTATAATATACCTAATAGTGGCTAATAGTAATTAATTATTAATACCATACCTAGGCCGTTCGGTTCAACGCTTCCGGGTTTGTCATTTTTGTGGCATCTCACGGCTCATGCGCTTACTCAAAATGGCGACCAGTTTCGCTTTCACTAAACGGTAGAGGGATAAAACTAATAATAACGAGGCCATCGTTAATTTTAGACATCGGAACTATCCGTTTCTATTTCAGTCTGTTATTTAAGAATTCCCAGATGTACTTTTGACCTAATTTCTTTATTTGTATTTAACGAGGCCGTCGAGAGAAAGTCACGCTTACTTAGCTTGCGTTTCAAGTCGAATAAACTAAAGCAGGTGCGTTATCCAATAACTTTTTTATTAGACCCAATTTTTATAACATCTTTACTATCAAATAAAAATAGAATTGTTTAATATAATTAGGCTGACAACAATGTTTTTCATGCTGTAAGTAATAATGCCATTTTATTATATTCTTGTTTGGTGAAAACGAGGCGCGGGAAAATGTGTGCCGCGTAAGAATCCAATCATTTGGCTAGATTTATGACTGTTTTTTATGTCACACCTAAAAATAGAATGTTTACGCTTTCTTCGTTGATGATTGTTTTTATTATTTTTTAAATTGAAAGTATGAATTATTAGTTAGATTGCAGATTTTGTAACTTGGTATACTTACCCTTTATCAATTTTAAAAACATAGCATGCTGATTGTGAACAAATATAGTCATAAAACACAGAAATATAAAGTTATAATTGCGATGTGCCACACCCGGGCCACACCCCCTCAAGAAAGCATGTGTTTATTAAGCTGTTTATCTTACTTTACAACTGTAATTAAAATTAATTTTCAAATTTTTATCACTTATTGGGTAAGATTAAGCACATGTTTACCAAAAATAAAAAAAATAAAAAAGCAAATTCTGTTTTAATGAAGGTCACGGGTGAAGTTTTTTTTTCCTTCTGTCACGTTCAGTGGAGGGTGCCACAGGCTGACCTGACTTTGGAATTTTTTTCAGTAATAATGACTTTGCACAGAAAGTTAAAATATGCTAAATTAGCTTAGTTTACTAGTGTTCTAGCTATTATTGATACATTTTTAATAAAAAAATCATTCTGTAATTCTCATCAAAAAGCCTACCATACCAATTGGCCTATACATTGAATAATTTAATATAATACTCCACTAATTAGTAGAAATTACTAGTAATTATTAATTATTAGTTGTCTCTACACTGAGTCTACAGCAGTTTGACTCACTGAAACTGAAACTAATGTCTTTTTGTTTTTAAAAAAACGATATCTGGAAAGTGAAATCTGAAGGCATAAATTACAGTTGTAAAGCTTGATTCAAGTTTCGATTAATCTAATAATGAATTTCTAAACTTTGCAAATAAAACAAAATAAGCCTACCAGTTATAATAGACCAGTAGGACTCGAGCTAAGCAGTTGTAATCATTTTAAAAATAACCAGGCCTTGTAAGAAAAGTCAAAGTGAGTTGTAAACATGATGATAAAATGGGGATTTCCCTAAAGGTTAGTTCCGGTTAACAATAGCCGTTTCCGGATTCTAGTTGCCTAGTATCCTGAATTATTTTACTATTCTGAAAGGCCTTGATAAACTTTTTATTTTATTAAATTATTCTAAAATGTATCACATTTAAGTACGTTTAATCTATAATAAAATATACAACATAATAGGAAACAAAAATCTTGCCAACTAAATCTTGCAAACTAAAAAATGAATGTATGGCAGCTTCATTTTTCCACGCAGGTCATCATTAATGAAACACAATCAATCAATGACAATGACACCACACAACTTTGAAACTTATCTAAATATCGTTTAGTATCAACTACATAATTCAATTTGCTACTTTCAGATACTTATTTATTTTATGCTCCACTAAACCAGAGCGTTACAAGTTAGTATTCCAATTTATATTATTTGAACTCAGGGGCGTAGCGAGGGGGGGGGCGGGGGGGTGCGGACCGCACCGGGTGACACCATTTAGGGGGGTGACACCAAGGTAAAAAATAGCAAAATATATAGAGAAAAACTCGAGGGGGGGGGTGCAAAATCGAAAGTTTGAGGAGGGGGGGGGGGTGCAAATCGAAAACTCGAGGGGGGGGGGTGCAAATCGAAAGTTTGAGGGGGGGGGGTGCAAATCGAAAACTTGAGGGGGGGGGGGTGCAAATCGAAAGTTTGAGGGGGGGGGGGGGTGCAAATCGAAAATTTGAAAGTTTGTCCCTGGGAAGGGTCTCTATGCCTCTGGGGGGGGGGGGTGACACCATTAAGTGCCGCACCGGGTGACACCCGACCTCGCTACGCCACTGTTTGAACTAGATCTAGTAATTTTTAGAAGTAGAAGGGGCTTAAAGAAAAATAACTAGAATCTAGGCCAGGGGTCGGCAACCTGCGGCTCGCGAGCCGCATGCGGCTCTTTTGATATCAAGATGCGGCTCTCCAGCTCCTTGCACAAATACTAATAATCTTAATAAAAAAAAAATATTTTAAATAAAAAAAAAAATTAGTGGCTCTTTAAAACCAGGGAAATTTTGAAAATTGTAACTTTTGGCTCTTCCGCTTCAAAAGGTTGCCGACCCCTGATCTAGGCCTATTCACTTTTAAACACCCCCTCCACCCAACCCTTTTCCTCGAAAGTTAGAATGTCGGTATGCCTGCCACTCCCAACTTCATAAACTTTTGGTGCAGGCCTTACAGTGGCTAAAAATAAATTTAGAAATCAAACAAAATCTTAAGAAAACAAAACCAAAGAGATGTAACAGAAACTATAATTATAGGGCATATTAGTAATGAACTGGAAAATGGATTAGTTGGGTGTTGAGAAGGGTGGACACCTCAATAAAATTTAAAAAAAAAAAAACTGCACCGCCTCACATCATTTATGGATGGTCATTTAAAAAAAAAATTATTACAAGTTTATAAATTTACGTAACTGAGTAAAATTGTTCCCTTGTATAAAGAGCTCTCACATAGAAACGCCCCACACACTACTTTGAAAGCTGTAGGCTTATTAATACTTGTAATATAAATTCGAAACATTTTGATTAAATAAAATATAGCCTACTCGTTTTAGCATTGTAAAACTAAATCAAGTTGTACCTCGTATGTCACAGAAGGTTGACTAATGTCTCCACTCATTCATAGTTTCTTTTAGGCATTAGATCTAGTCTAGATCTAGAATCTAGTAGTAGTTGATCTTAGCTGATGGCTAGCATACAGTTACTCTTCATGAGTAAGGAAACTCCTGTTGTAAAATAAGCAACTAATTTGTAGTACGATTTCACCGATTCAACTAATGGATACCTATGAGCTTTGGTAACACCAGTCCCATTTAAACGCCAAAAGACCACGGCAGGAGCTTTGGATTTAGGTCACAAAACTGACCCAAGGACAAACTCAGCGCAAGGATACGTCAAAATGTGACGTCGTGTTGAACAATCAAACAACGCATCACAAACACACACTGACCAGTGTGTCAGTGTAGGCTAGTAGGTGGGGCTAGAGTCTGTCAAGTGAGCGAGGGGGGAAAGGGGGGGGGGGATTAAGCCTAGAAACGCGGGGTGTGTTTGTATAGCGAAACTGCAACCAACCCAGGGTAGGATTAGTCAATTTTAGTGATTAGGCGATTTACGGTAATATACCTAGCGATAATGTTCACTCCCAGCGGTGTGACTTAAGTTAACCATACATCGACACACGACAAGAGAGAAAACGACACTGGCACAGAGTTTTTTCCAGGCCCCCGAAAAAATTCTACCGCCCCCCCCCCCCCCCCCGAACGATATGAAATTTATATAATTTATATAGAAAATATATACTTTTAACAGTGTCCACCCCCCCCCCCCCCGAAGAAAGTCCATAACGACGAACAGTGGCGTAGGCAGGGGGGGGTGGGGTTAGGGGGGGTCATAACCCCCCCCCCCCCATAGACCCCTCGGTATATAGAAAAAGTATGAGGGGGGTGTGCACATCGAAAGTTTGAGGGGGGGGGTGCAAATCGAAAGTTTGAGGGGGGGGGGGGTGCAAATCGAAAGTTTGTCCCCGGGTAAAAATTGGACCCCCCCCCCCCTTGAGACGATCCTGGCTACGCCACTGACGACGAAATTGGAAATGTAACTTGGCATCGGGTGGTAGGCCCTATCCTACATTTTGTAGACCTACTTTAACGTAGGGGATGTATAAAAAAATAATTGGTGATTTACAAACTGCTCCAGTATTGTAAACTTAAAATAATTTTAAATTTTGCAGTGATGATTTCTTAAAACATTAGCTAGAGAGAAAACAGAACTGTACGAGTTAGGAAAACATTACCATCGTTCTTCACGTCTTTTTTATTCTGCTTTTTTTTTAAAAATCTAATACGACAGTGTATAATGCCTGACTCTTAACGATGTTAGTGAATTGTCGCGTAAAATAATTAACTGCTTTTGTTGACAGTCGGACAAACGCGGTAGGCCTATTATGATACAACTTGCTACAACGTATGTGGCATCGTTGATAAACACAGCATTCATACTAAGTGTCATAGGCAGTGTCATAAACAGGGGGATGTTTTGCCCCTACCCCCCCCCCCCACACACACACCACAATGGACCCTCACAATGACAGCTGTCTCACATTAAATTATATATAGCCTTTGGAGACGGCGCGCGAGGGGTGTGGTACAACAGCCGATCCTACACTATTATATCAACGACGGCACAAAGCGAGTGTAAAATTAGTCATCGTCTAAAGATAATCAATTTTGCTTGGAAAAAAAATACAATTATATAATTATAAGATTAGCATTTCTATAACGTTTTTATTATTTACGTAGTCTATTATAGTCGACGAGTCTAGTATAAATGTTTTTATTGTATGTTATTGAAATATTTGTGTATAGCCTTAACTAAAAATAACGCTAGAAAATATCTAGGTTAACTAAAATTCATCTCCCTTAGATATTCATAACACATCTCATCTGACAAACGGTAGACTAGTAAACAAGCTCGGGTGAACTTCTAGTTTCTACCTCTAGTGCCCCAACTACACACTACTACACACCAGCTGGACACTTGGACAACAGACCGACCAGTCCAAGGCCGCAGTGACTGAAGGTAGTGGACTACTTGTGCCCACCCATAGGCAGGTCTATAATTATATGTACACAAGAAAAATGGTAGACCTACTGATAAAGTGATAAGCCATCACCGCACCCCTAGGTTCACCGCGGCTCACCCTGCATATATAAAGTAGCCTATTTAAAAAAGTAAAATAGCATTAAAATTATTAATTATATAAACATGTGCAAAATTTGTTATAATTATCCAACATATTTTAATAGTATTAACCTCAAACACGTAGGTATTGTGTATTGTTTACTTCTAAGCCGGAACAAGAAAGGTAAGGGAGGGGTGGTGGGGGGTATATCAAACTGAGTTGCCTGACACGGGCGGTACAAACATTGCCAGTGTCTACCAACCCGCTGTGGCACATGCTTTAACGTAAATACACGAATTACTCGTTTTAGAACAAAAACACACAATAAGAAAGCATTAGGTTTACATTTGTTTATTCGAAATTTAAATAAATATAAAAATGTAAAACATTTTAAAAACACCTTAATGTTGTAAAGGGAAGTAATTACAGTTAGAATTTAGCAGCTAAAGGAAGCAACTCATGGCAGTAGCTTACATGTAATAAAATATTAAAAGTTATTTTAGCTTTTCAAAATTAATGTACTTTTCTTTTCTAAAACTAATTTTAAAATAATACACTTTTTAGAATAATGAAACAATGACTACTTTGCTATTGTCTTCTAATTTAACTTTAAAATATGCATAAAATATCACGCATTAATCTTTTAAAAAGAACTTTTTGAAGTGAAGGATATCGTGCTGAGCTGAGGCATACTTACCTGGCACAGGAGGCACCTTGATCAGCAAGGAGGTCCTCCCAGGGCGAGGCCTGCACATTGCACTTCGTGTGGGTTGACCCCTGCGATCACCCCAAATGTGGGTGACTCGGGTGCGTAATTTTTTCGTAGGGGGGACTGCGTTCGCGCTATCCCCTGATTCTTAAAATAAAAGATTGGGGAAACGGAGTTAACATTATGCTCCTTCATTTATCAGTAAGGTACTCAGTATTCCCCACTGCACTACGGACCCTTTCTATTTCTAAGCAAGCCATCGTCTGGACGGCAAAAGCAGTCCACGCATACCAGGATACTACATGGTTCTGGGACGTGTAGGGCAACAAATATAACAGAAACGGAGACAAAGCGTTGTTTTCTTTGCCGTAGCATAAATTTAGTATTTTTAAGATCCAACGATTATTTTTAAAACATTAATTTTCGTTAGAATTACGGTTATTTAAAGGAAAATATGGGAGCTTTGTGACGCCGTACAATTAATTTATGAAGGACACTGGCCCCTGCCAAAATCCACCAGGGTGCCCTTATCTGTGAGATAAATACTCTCAATACATATCACGTAGAAGACTAGTCGAAAAATACTCAAACTCAACCGATAAGAAATAAAGAATTAACTTCTATCGTAAAACTGTCATCGGCTTCGGTTATCTCATGATTTAGTTACAAGATGAAAGAAGCACGTGTGTGTGTGTGTGGGGGGGGGGGGGGGGGGCTTCCTACCCTGACTGTTATCGATCAAGCCAAGGTGGTTAAAGCATGTATGTGTGGGTCGATTCGTGACCTTTGGCGGATTTAAGGCGAGTCAATACAAATAATAAAAGACTTATTATAAAGGGAAGTAATGAATTCGGTCCTTGTTACCTTTACCGTCGAATAAAGAAAGAAAAGGGCACGTGACTGTCACTTATAGCGCAAGGAGAAATCAATGGATGTTCCTAGCTCAACACTTTTAGCCTAGCCTAATAGTAATACCCACATATGCTACTCTGCATCAGAAAAGCACGGGATCAAGACAAAAACCGATACCATAAAACAAGCAAAGGTGTATGGTCAAGGCCAAGGCAGTCTGAGACAAAAATTAATAGTACATAAACTGTAAACGTTGTCATATGGCGCGTTTCTAAATAATGGAGCCTTGGAGATTTCTATAGGCATAATAATTATTATTAAAACTAAAGTCGTCACTACAAATTTGATATAAGGGTTATCCATAATTGACGTCACGCTTTTAAAACGATTTTTTACCTCGCCCCCCCCCCCCCCTCCGTCACACATCATCACAAAAAGCCAGACCCCCCCCCCCCCCCTCTAAAATGACGTCAACCTCAGCCTACAACCTCCCTCAAAATTGCAGTTACATTTTTTTAAAACATCGATATTTTTCCAAAATCTTGTCTGAATTCTGTCAAAATAGAGTATTTTAATCAATTCCTATTACAATTTATTAAAACAGTTTTCTAAAACGCGAAATAACGTCTAAAATTCGTTTTCTAACATTGCTTTTTTATAGTGCCAAAGTGTGACGTCGCACCATCTGACCCCCCCCCCCCCCTTCATCACACACCTTCACGAAATTACGAACCCACCTCCCCCCTGCGAGTGTGACGTCATTTATGGACGACCCCTTACCCTTGTCCACAACAAAAGGGAGCTAACTAGGTAGCTACATTGGATAAAAGAATAAAGTTAATAATTTAGGGCAGATGACACTCAAGTAGAATGATTTTTGTACTGGAATTTTAGCAAATTTAAATTAATAGGGTATAAAACAAAATATTTGATGTCAACTTAAGAAGAATGTGCTTGGAAAGAAACTACAGCATCAACACGCCCTTCTAAAAGTAGAAAATACAAGCATTTTTTATTAAGTTATAAGAACTAGTTTCACTAGTTAATTTCACTAAAAAAGCGAATAAATACTAATTTTCTATTAGCTATTAAAGTTAAACAAAATTGAAGCTTTTTACAAAATATTTTATCCTGAATATTTTGACACCGAGGACGTTTCTACCTTAATATACTACGGCTTTGCAATTATTTTAAACAACGATGTAACAATTTTATAAATAATGCTGTGATTTGCTCTAGGATAACTGTATACATCTAAATGTTTTGTAGTACAAAACTGTGTGGAGTTCCAGAAATAATGAGGGATGGCATCAATGTTGTAATTATATCTCTTGTTACAGATTTGGTCATCTTGTAAGCTGAGTGCAACAGCCACATCTCTTTAGTGAACCTGGTTTTGAGCAATACCAAATTTGATCAAACCAGTATACTTTTTCAACTAAATTTTTTTTTCTAGTTTTTGTAATCAGGAGATTTCACTTAACCAATATATTTTTTTTTAAACAAATATTTATTTCTGGTTTTCCTAAAAGAAGTAATTAATACTTTTTGATATGAAATATAAACCAACCAGCAGCTGCTGTGTTTTGTTTACATTTCATCTGACTCACAACCTTCGTACAATAAAAACAAGTCATTTTTCAAAGGGAAAAAAAAAAACTTGCAATGTTTAATGTCAACACATGTTACATACTAATTTTACTATGTACAATCTTTTAAAACATTCAAATCATCTAACAATCATCAGAATTGTTTAACAAACTCATACAAACTGAAAGTATGACTGTGAGTGTTACTCAAACAGATTTGCTCAACACGCAGAGGTAATTTAAATCCAAATCCCATCCTCACACAACACATGGCCCTGCCTCAGGGTGCCGCTCATAAATTTTGTAGAGAAAACAGGTCACCGGCTGAGGGTAGGGGTGCCAGGCCTCCGGTCACATCAGGCAGCAGGGTCAAGTCTGGAAGGTTTTGAATGTGGGACATAAGCTCTTGCCGGACATTGGTCACTTTGTCCAGTTTCTCTTTAAAGTCCTGCAAGTTCAGACCATGGATTACATCAGAAGGTGGTGTTTTCTGTCACTGTAGTTTCTATGTGGTGGTGGGGAGGGTATGTGAAGATATTTAAGACTAGGTAAGAAGGGTGTTGTAGTTAGTTAATTACTTTACTTTTCTACAATAGTAGTGTAATTATGAGAAATGAATATATTTGTTGTTAGTCATTAGTAATGTATGATGCCTTGAAGAGGGTAGTGAAAAGATGTATTAGATATAGAAAGTGAGATTGGAAACAGGAAATCACATGATTTTAACTCTTTACAGTCAGATTTCAAAATAATATACCATCCATTTTTGCCTAGCAATACTAGCATTAATCAAGACAATTTAAAAAAAAAAATGATGCTTACTATTTGAAACATTTATAAAAAAACTAATGAACTATTTTAAAAATATTAAAGGAGAACCTTAATAATGGCTAGTAATGGATTAATTATATAAAAATAAAATTAAAACATCACAAATGCTGGTATATATCGCATTTGCCACAAAAATTACCTGAAGATTTTTCTCTGTTTCTTTCACCTGTTGTTGTTGAGACAAGATAAAAGACCGCAACATGCGAGCTACTTTTTTTCTTTCTTCCAGCTCTGCTACAAGTCTCCGGTTATATTCATTAAGAAGCAAAGCTGCCTCATCCACCTTTTCAGATAGTCTGTCAGCAGATTCACGATCTGTAACAGAATGTTTTATAAATACTTTTATTTGATATATAATTAAATATAAATATAATTTGTATTGCACATATCGAGGGTATAGAGGACAAACGCAGCATGTCCACTTTTTTTGTGAAATTAATGTACATTTATACTTATATCGTAAATAATACAAGCTACCAGAACACTCATGTACAATGCCAGAAAAGTAGAATGCTAATATTTTATGAATGTTAAAACATAATATTTTGCACTATTTTAGTATTGAAATGAGATTTATAAACTCATTTTAATCGAGATTGTTTATTTGGACATACTGCATTTGTCCTCTATATCCTCGATATTATTTTATTGTAAAAACAGCATAGAAAATATAACTAAATCTTTACCAGAATAGCATCATGTAATTTACAATTAGAACTAAAATAATGCCCACTGTTTATAATACTTCAAGTTTTAAAATATTTTTTATTTTTAATAAAATAGACCTATCCTGCAGGATCCCATACTAGACGATGCTTTTGTCTGGAGTGAGTTTTAAAAAGTAAAAGCAATATTTGAAAGAATTCTAGTACCTTGCACTTTTTCTAAATGGCTGATATCTGAAACTTCAGGTGGTAGAGCAGCAATTCTTTCTCTAACAGAGGCATCACAGGAGGCGGAGTTTTCCAGGTCTGACAATCTCTGAACAAGATCTTCTGCCTGTTGGAAAAAGGAGATAAATAGAATATTTTGTTAAACAACTTTGATCCAGTGTCAATTTATTTCAGCTGACTTATAAAGAAAGCTTGATACATGAACATGAGGAGATGACTTACATCAACATTTTCTGGGAGTTTGACACCCATAGCCTCGACTTCTTGTCTCAAAGAAAACTCTGGCTCATTTTTTTTCACCTTCTTTGGCTCTGAAAAAAAAAAAAAAGAAAACAATCTCCAACAAGTCCAAAGTAGTAAATCTTGGAAGAAACAAACCCAGTAAAGTTCACTTTTAAAAGTTACAATGGAATTCAACTTAAACCAACATAGAGTTGATTTAAAAACATGTTTTACAAGTGTAGAGTTACTTCCACACATACAGGAAGGGATCTGGTTGAGTGATACACAAATGGTTTTGTTGGAATCTGTGCAATGATGAAAGATCGACACATACAAAAAAAACAACCTCTAGATTTTCTATTTGTTTTTACTAAATTCCAATGTTTCAGTAGCTTCATTTACCTTGCCTCGCTGGAGTTTCTTGTTTTACAGGCTTTGGATGGTGCCTTGAACTTGGCTGTGAGGGTACATTAGAAGTTGATGTTCCTGTTGAAAATGTATGAAAATGAATATTGATCAGCTGAAGAACAATGTTAAAAATTGCAAGATCTTCCATTTTTTTATGTAGGCAATAATATATGTCCAGAATTGGAGTTATATTTTAAAGTTATTTACATGTCCATACACAATTTGACAAGCATATTTTGTAAACATAGGGAATGAGTTAATTAATTATGTAACTCAAATATAAGAAAACCTTTTACCAGATGCTGTACACTGCTTTAACTTTTTGATAAATGATTTATCATAGACTCCTCTTTCTTTCCAAATATTTATAACTCTGACAAGCGAAGCTTTCATTTTATCATCTGCCTCTCTTAAAAAAGAAAGCAACACAATTTTGCTCTGATAAATCATAAATGGCAAAGTTTAAACAAACATTAATATTTGCTTAAATACCTAAAATTAGCTTCAAATATTGAGAATTAAATGTCATCTAATTATTATGGAAAAGTAAAGCAATTAAATTGTTAGAGAAACTAGTTTGACGTATCAGTTATGAACTGCTTTAAAAACCTATTAAAATCAAAACTTACTTGGCAGCTTGGGTGAAAGCATCAGGTAGTATGTGAGCGAAGTCTTTAGTAAATTCTGGACCTTTTCTTTTACTATTCTGTATGACATCATTAGCAAGGTAGACAAAGGTCAAACGCTTGCTGGGTTTTGCTGTAGAAACAATTTTTTTTTTAAATCTTCAGAGATAGGCCAATTAACACAAATTAATACATCGATTCAAGTAGGCCTATTTAATTAAATTATGGTAATGTCATCTTTAGCACAGATCTGTTTTAAATTTTTCTTGATGTTCTCATAGAATAGTACAGGCATTAACCATGAAATTTTTTTCAAACATGACAAGAATGACTGACTGAAAGATGTTTAAAATGGATTTACTGATAACTAGATCTACATGTAACCAAACCAAATCCTTTTCATACTATTTATCTAGGCACTAATGACTAAATGAGTAAATCATCAGATAATTAATAATTATAATATAATAAATAGTTTATTTCTGCAAAAATTAACTGCACTAGTACTAGTACTAGTAGTAGATTCTAGGTTGTAAGTGCTGAACTGAAACAAATATTATTTCAAGTAGGCCTAGAATCTAGATTTTTACTTTTTACTACGACCAAAATAAAAATATGCTGATAACTCATAATAACTGATAACTTCTTTCGATTGTGTTGACTTAGTGTCTTAGGTCTTACTCTTAGACCTTGCCTTAGAGTACTTACTAAAGTCTTACTTAACTTAGTACTTTTTAACTTAGACTGACTTAGAGTCTTAGAGTGAATAGTGTTCTAGATCTTAAATAAATTCTATTTCTAGATCTAGCTACTAGAATCTAGATTCTAAATCTACTATCAGATTCTACTAGACTCTAGCTAGATTCTACTAACTGTAACTAAACTAGCGCTAGGACTCTTATAACTCTACACAACAGTGTCACAGTGAGTAACACACTACCACTACACACGAGCAAGAATTAAATTTGACTCAGTCTCAGGCCTACCTTTTTCAAGCTCTCTGTACCATATTTGAACTATAGTTTTCGAATGTTTTTTATGGTGAATAAGCCACAAAGAAAGTGTTTGGATGCTTTGCTGCGTATTATTTAATTCACTGAATTTTTTTGCTAAATTTGAATCAGAAAACGAAGACATCTCTGTCACATACAGCACTGATCTTTTCAGGGATCGAGTTTCCCTTAATCATTAAATCGAGAAAAGCGAGTACGCCATACTAATAATAATTTTGAATGTGTTCATTTAAAAAATTCTCTTTAATTAACAGTTCTAATTTTAATTTAAAAAAAACACATTTAATAGCATTATTTTCACAATAGAAATGTTTCTAATTTTAAAAATTTCATCTATCAACCACGTTACTTTGTTAGGCCTTATAATTTATAGACATTATTTTCGAAATGTGTATCTTTTTGCGCAGTAATTGCACGCTCTTATCCCTCAAAGAAATTCGGTTTTCTTCAAGCGGTGTTTTTTTTTAGGAGCTAACAGAATAATAATTATTTTTAAGCTGTAGATCTAGATCTAGATTGTTTACAATTAAAACAATTATTATGAAAAATCATCATACATATAAAATACAAAATTTGAAAAAAATTGAAGTACAATAAAATGGAAAAAAATATTTTAAAATGTAAAATAATTATGGCTCTTTTAAAATCGACACACCTTTGGTTTATGAACAAGAGAGTGATGGTTCTTACTTAAATCTGATGCTTGTTGACTTCTAGATTCCTAGGCCTAGATCAAGTTGTTTACGTTTTATTTTTGAAAATCTTGTAGATCTAGATTAGATCTAAAAAAAAAACAACTTCAGTATGCCTTATGCTAACCAGCCAACTGTTTCACTTTCTCTACTTACGGACGAAAACATTAAATTTATAATTGAGGACACTGATTTGAGGTAAAAGTCGGTAAAACTTACTTCAGCTAGAGTTAGAGTGAAGTTCCACAGCCGATCACACATAGCGAACTCCCGACTTTCATCGGGCGCTATTTTGTAACCGTTTAACACAGAAACAAACCCAAAGTACTATAATATTATTCCTCTGCCATTCTACTCTTAATATGTATCAATCATTTTATATTCCTACGCATAGAATTTGAGATATTAATGGTTTAGTGACGTTCTACTTGCAATATTTTTTTCCCCTTTTTTTTCCCTGCGGACACCTGAACCGGCTAGCATAACGATCGTATTTTATACGTTTTAATCCAATTGTAATAACTAAAATAAATATTTTACACTTTTAAACGCGTTGTTGATTGTATTATTAATTAATAGATTGCAAAACCAAATAAAAACATATTAATTAAATTTATTAACGACACATTAAAAATTGACCCAGTGATGACTCAAGGGACGCAACTATAATAATCATAACAAAGGGACGTAACAATCACTAACAAGACATAATGTAACATTTGCTTAGATATGTTTGTATGTAGAGACACAAACTAGATTCAGAAGAAGTAGATGATCGACATAATTTAAAACAACAGAAAAAAATAGAAATTATACAGATTCTAGGCTTAGCTTGAAATATAGAGCATCTAGAACTAGGCAAGTCTAGCTCAAGTCCTTGGTTACGCAGCGATGTGAAACCACCCTAATCGGCCACCCCTATTCACCTCACAGGTTGCTTATTAGCCTTATCTATCGTATGTACAGTGTCCCGCACATATTGTAGAAACTATTTATAGTTAACCTAGTTATAAAAAGCTTTGATTGGTTGGTTTTATCCATCTCATCCGGGACCTAGTGTTTTTCATAGGGGGAACTAGAATCGCCTACTACGTCATACCTCGAAACTTTAAGAATTAAAAACTTTGACTTCCAGAAGGAGAAAACAAAAGAATTTGACTTGGATAAATTTAGAAATGGACATGTTTACAGCAGATATTGGTAGTTTCGTATAAAACATCCAAACAAATATTATACGAAGCGATAAACAGGCGATGGCCACACCAGTGTTTTAACAGCGCATGGAACTTTACTCTAGATTATAAGTTAAAACCTAAACTTTAAACTTATAAAATTCTTTCTTTTACTTTTTTCTGAGATTTCATTCCGTTCAGTACGGGTGGTGAGTTGTTGTTGCGATTTAAAATTGTCCTAGAATTTCTGTTTTTCTGCTGAAAAACTCCTGGAATTATAGATTCACTCTGTTGTAGGAACCCTCTTTAAAATATCTGAATAACAACTTCTCATAATGATAATGTTGTTTGTTAGCAACCATCCCGCTTTCAGTTTGGTCAGCGAGCAATACTACAGTATCTAGTATCTAGAGTTAGGCCTATAGTGATTTATTGTGATAAAATTGTTTACATAAATATCAATTAGTATTAGGCCTTAATGTTTTGATTTGGTATTGGTAGTTTTGATGTTTCAGTTTCATGTCTCTTAATTAGTTCTTGCTAACCGTGATTGCATAATATTTAAACTTAGCATAATTTTCATTCATTGTAGGCCTAATAACTTTTGCTGGCTTTTAATTTTTTTCCTGTTTTATTTCCAGCGTAGCTAATGCTGTAAGAAGAGTTTGCATATCTGAAGTTCCAACCATAGGTATTGTATTGTTACAAAAATACCTTTTTTCATTATGTAGGCCAGGCATAAGGAAAGGTGTTTTTTTTAAATCTAATTATTCTAATCACAATTCTTACATTTTTAATTTATTGTGTAGTTTATTATTAATATGTTATTCAAATTATATAATGGACCTACTTTTATTTCCTTTACAGCAATTGATTGGGTTCAAATTGAGGCTAACTCAACAGTACTTTTTGATGAGTTTATTTCCCATAGATTAGGTCTTATTCCTCTTACCAGTGAAGAGGTTGTGGAAAAGTTGAATTATTCAAGAGTAAGTTATTTTCTAAACATTTCATAACTGTACAAACTCAAAAAAAAAAAAACACATGAAAATAATTATTACTCATATATCTCAATATCTTATTAACATCATATTTTTTATAACCCAAATTGAAATGGTAAACTTAACTTACATTTGTAAAGATAATAATCACAACATTGTAAATGTAAACATGCTGTCTAACTTTTTGGCTGTATAAACAAAACAATGACATACATTAAAGTCCCTTATTGCAAAATATTCCTAATGATTTTCAAATCCAGTTACAGCTTATAATCATCTCTCAAGCATAGGGGGTTTTTTTTGTATTAAATATGTATAGATATATTATCCATTCTCATCCAATAGGACTGCACCTGTGAAGAGTTTTGCTCAGACTGTGCAGTAGAGTTTTCATTGGATGTCAAATGTACAGATGACCAGACGCGTCATGTTACTAGTGCTGATCTTCTCCCTAGTAACCCCAAGGTCATCCCAGTAAGTAAATCACATTGGTGAATCAGATGTAACAGAACAAAATGTGCTGTGGGTGAAAGCTTAAATCATTTTTAAAAAAATGTGTTTTCATTATTTCAGTAATATAAATAGTTTAGTCAAGTTTGCATAAATAATTAAAATTGTTTTTAGGTTCATTAGGTGCCTTGGCTATTTGGGCTATGCAAACACAGTTTTTCCTTTGCAAGTTTATAAACAGTTTTTGCTGAAGGTCTTAAGTTAGGATTAGGATTTAAGCAGTCTTGTATTATGGTTGATAGTAACTTCCTTTCACATCCCTCATTCTCTGACCCACGTGGATAGAGTCTGTTTGATAGAATTGGTAACATTTCTTGTAAGAGAGTTCCTGAAATATAAGATATAACATCTACATTAAATGATTACAGATAGCATATCTGTCACAGATTTCAATATCTGGTACTTGTAAAAAACACTACAGGGAAAAATAGACGAAAATAGAAATGATGCTGCATTGTCCTACTGGCACTGTGATAAAATGTATTATATTCTCTTATTTAAGAAAAAGATGCTGTATCTATAAATTATCACATTCACTCAAGTCAACTTTATAATCCAATGATTGTGTTTTGATTGCTTTCTGGGGGTCGGCATGGTCGAGTCGGTAAAGCTCATGGTTGCTAAAGCGAAAAGTCTCGAGTTCAAACCCTTGGGCAGATGAGGCTCGTTAGCTGGGGACAGCCACTCTTCTAGGAGAGACAACTCCAAAACCAAACAACTGCTGGCTTGTAGTTTGTTCTTGGTTGGTTGGACAAAGGCTATGGAAGCAAATCCAAAAAGAAAAGCAGGCTGAAATTGGAGTCAATGGCGCATAACCAGTTGACACGTATCCTTAATTGTGATGGCGGCGTGGTCGAGTCGGCAAAAGCTCATGGTTGATAAATTCGAAAAAGTCTCGAGTTCAACCCCTCTGGCAGATAAGGCTCGACCCCTTCCAACACTTAAAATTAAGAACGAAGAAGAAGAAGAAGATTGCTTTTCAACTAAAAGTGTTCCTTATTTAACAAGCAACGTCTGAAAACTAGCTCCAATAGCCTTGCTCACCTAGTTGCCAGATATGTAGTTTTTCTGGTATTATCTGCTGTGAGCTGCTCAACTCTGGAGGAGCTGAGCATCCAATAGGGCTGCTCCCTGCATGTTGAATATCCATGTAAATTTTGGATATTTCTGTGGATACTTTAATCGTGTTCATTTTGAGGTGCCAGTTGGTCTCTTGAACATTTGTCAAAATATGGTGGGTGACTGTGCTAATAATCTAATAGAAAAAAGCAATGTTTTTTTTAGATAAATTTTAAAATTGCATGAAGAAATTTAACTTAAAGTTATGTGAAGAACTGAGCTTTACTTTCATAAAATGTTTTGAATCAACTTATTCTAGACTTTTAGATGTTTTATACTTAGTGATCCTTTAGGCCTATGAAGAAGAGTCCAAATGTTTCTTGACCTCGGCATATGAAAGGATAATATGGTCAGCACTACTTAACCTAAAGTGAGTAAGGTAACCATCAGAGCCTTTTGGACTCAGGGACATTCCACAGACTTGAACCCGGATTCGAACTTGAGACTTTTGATTTAGCAGTCTAGCGCTCTACCTCTAGGCCACGGTTTTAGACTGTGGATCCCAAATGACTTAATGATCAACCTGCCATTCTTACCTGCCAAGCAAACATAGGGCTGATTTGTACACCATTTAACTTTTTTATTTCATTCAACATCTTATCAAGTGATATAACAGGGTCCAATACATAACACATGAATCCATGGTCTTGGAAACTTGTTAACAAATTCACAGGAGTTTCTGTTAATGTTTCTGAAGTAAAAATGTTACGGACAAGCAAGTTTGTATTTTTAAAAAATTACAAATGAGTTAATAAGATTAAACACAATTTACTAGCTTCTTTAAAATAACATAGTATTAATTTTTTTAGATTGTTTAGTTAGCTTCAAGGCTATGAACTTACATTTTATATTAAACTTTTCTACCATGGTAAAAATCTAGTCCTTACCTGTCTTTATAAGCAATAAAACTTCAGATCTTGAAAATACAGCACAAGCTTTGTAGCAATCATTCTTCATGTCATCCTTATCAACTTTCAGGGGATTTATGATAAAATCATCTATCTTTAAAGAACAAGTATTCTTTGCCAAAAGTGGGGGAAGGTTGATCATTGTGCTTGCCTGTGAATGAGATTTATAAAATGTATGAAAGTTTTATAAAAGCTTGCATACTATTTTACATGAAGTTTAATCCAGTGGTTTTTATCTGTTACTGTTTACCCAATTCTATGATAAACTACTTTGTTCTTACAATGTCAAAAGGAATACATAATGTTATGACCTTCTTATTCCAACTACCTACACCCACTAATCTGGGAAGTTCTTGTTGATGATTTAATTTAGATTCAGTATTTTACTAATTTCTTCTCTAAATCAGGTCTCAGATAATAGTTGTGTAAAGAATAAAATAATTTTTTGCTACTTCTAGCTACAACACTTGAAAGAGTAGCTTTGTCTAGAAAGTGCATAATAAGTAATAATAAGTACTGGTAATATTCAGTTTTAAAATATTACTTGTTTAAAAAGTGGGATGTCACACTTACTTACTAACCTCACTTATGTTCCCCCCCCCCCCTCGCCCCAGACTTAGGTAGTGTGTGAATAATTTTTTTTCTGTGACATGGTTATGCCAACAGTTTACCTGGTGAATCTGAGACATTGGGATATGTTGTAAGATGGTTTTTCTACAGAGTTCCATCAGTGAGGGGCATACATGGCTGAAGCTGAAAACTTCTTGTTTACTGATAGGGTCAAATCTTCTAAAACAGCCTGGCTTTCTTCTTTGTATGCGATTGATCAGTGATGCAGAGTCATTACGCTGCTGATTATTATATTTCAGTTTAAAATTCATTTAAAATTGATGTTTCAATTAATACTTACTAACCTTTTGTAAATATTTGATTTATGTATTTTTAATCACTTAAGTTAAGTATTCACATCATTAAAATGTTTGTTTCTAAATAGTTTTTTAAATGTGAAGATCGTGAATGAGTTAAACGATTAGTATTTTAAAAACTAAATGTTATGTTTGTAGTATTTTACGAGCTTAGAATCAACAGAATTAAAACATTAAAATTGTAATGTTGGATCTTTCTGATGTTAAACATTTTTTTATGTCATTTCTTCTAGGTGACTTCAAGATCTCGCCAAGAAGCCAATGAATATGAAGAAACAGATGGTAAGTATTGGAATATTATTAAATGAGTTTACATATGTTAAAATGTTTTAAAAACATTACCAAAGCGTTTGTATTCTACATGTTGTAGAAAAAAACTGCCTAGTAAGTATTTTAATTTTTCTGTTCCTGTTACTAATGTATATTAAAATTATGAGCAACTATTTGATTTCATGTTTGCTATTTTTTTAGATATTCTTATTGCCAAACTGCGGAAGGGTCAGGAGCTAAAAATAAAAGCATATGCCAGAAAGGGGTTTGCTAAGGAACATGCTAAGTGGAACCCAACTGCAGGTGTCTCATTTGAATATGACCCAGACAATGCACTCAGGCACACCACATATCCTAAGCCAGAAGAATGGTCAGTTGTATTACAAGTAAACTTGTATGTTCTAAACTGCTGTTGTAACTTTTGCAAGCATTGCTGATAATGTCATAGCAATATTACATTTTTAGAGCTTTTTATAACTCACTAATATTTTCTCATTAATTTTTTATTCCTTTTCCACAGGCCAAAAAGTGAATTTACAGAACTATCAGAAGATCAGAGTAAATAATTTTTTAAATTCTAAATCTTAAATAATTATTACTTATTAACATTAATTTTTTGTAAATAAACGCTTCATAAACATCAGTGTTTTTTTTTTATCATTCAACATGCCAGAACAGTATTTACACCTACTTTGGACCATTAAAATTTTGTTGATTAAAAAAAATTGCATTATATTTGGTTTTAAATAACAATTTAATAAAATTACGACTTTTAATATCAATTATAAAAATCATGTTTAGAGTAAAGCTGTTTGTCTAACCCAGCAGTGTCCCATTTGTTTCAGCTGAAGCACCTTTTGACCTGAACGGCAAACCAAACAAGTTTTTCTTTAACATTGAGTCCATTGGAACTCTGAAACCAGAGACCATCCTGTTCTCCAGCCTAAGCATCTTAAAGAAGAAACTCAGTGACTTACAAACGCATCTCAGTCATGAAATCAGCTCTGATGCTTTGGCTATCCCATAGTTACACATCTTCACCTCATTAAGCCAGCTTGTTTTTTATGTTTTATGGTCATTAAATGTATATTCATCCAACAAAGGTGTTGTTTTTTTGTACATAAGTGTTTTCAAAGTTAAACTTTATTTTAAAAAATCATTTTTGAAAGACCTAAGCAAATGCAAAACAATTAAAACTAAAACACAACATTCCTTATTTATGAATTTGACAAGTTTTACATAATTGTACTACCCTGGATTCTAATTATATTTTTTTAAAGCCTTCATAAGCTCTTTCAAAGTGATGTTCATCAGCAATCTTCATTGAAACCAAAGTTATTGTTTACTTAAAGAGAAATTTGGTCACGTGTATTTGTGTGCCATTTTGAGAAATCTGGCCAAATCAGTTATCCAAAATGATGGGTATTCCTTGTTACTTAGTAAATACTAGATTAAAATTTTCCAAATGATTTGCTAGTTAATTTTGAATTGCTTGACACAAGATTTAGACTAGAATCTAGATGGTTCTGGTCAATTAAATCTTTTGATATACATTTTTGAAAAAGTATCAATGTGTTGTTGCATTTCATGTGTATAATCTTTTTTATAAGTTATAACTATAGTACTACATAGTACATAACTGACTTGTATTAACTTATAACTAGCAGTGCAGTGAAGGAGGGTGTAAGAACTGTTAGGCTTATTTCTGCTTAGTCGAATACATGCCTAAAAAAAAATTCTAAGCAAGCAGTTTCCAAATTTTCTGTCGTTGTATCTCCCTTAAACAAAACCCCAAATTAACTCTTGTTTTTGAAATTTAGAACCCCAAAAACTGAAATAGAAAAAAAAACTTAGGGTCATCCATAAATGACGTCACGCTTTTTTTTGACGACTGTTACCTCCCCCCATCCCCTCCGAACACACATCGTCACTAATAGCCAGACAACCCCCCCCCCCTAAAATGACGTAACACCTCAGTCTACGACTCCCTTCGAAATTGCAGTTGAATTTTTCTCAAAACATCGATGTTTTTCCAAAATCTTGTCTGAACTCTGTCATCATAGAGATCGAGTATTTTATTGAGACCTGTGTTGTAAATGCAATCATAAATTAAAATGTAGAGAAAAAAAAGCAATTTAAAAAAAAATAGAAAAAGGTAAAGCATTACCTCATTTTCTATATTCATGACGTCTAGATCTAAGTCTAAAAGTGGTTCCACAATACAATAATTAATGTTTTCTTTTTAATATGTTTCACTCATATTAGTTTTAAAACTACGATTTTAAAAATATTTTGACAGCACACAAAAAAATTAAATTCTGTTAAGTTTAGAGAGTAGCTACCTTAGTTGATTACGTCATACAGCTTTTGAAAAAATAATTACATTTTATTTTAATAAATATTCTTTTGAATGGTTTAAAGCCTGTATAATTTAAAACTGAACTCCTGACGATCGTTAAAAAGAAAACAAAAGCCCAGGCTGTAGGAAGAAAAGAATGAACGGGTTTAACACTAGATGAGGCATTGAAGATGGCGTTGGGCAGAAAGTATGGTGGCTGTTGGTCAAAAAGACCACTCGTGATTTAAAATAAATAAATCTTTAATGACTTGCTAAGAATCCCGGTCTAACCCGTTTGTGACACAACAAGAACTCAAGAAACACGCATTGACCCCAAATGACAACCGAAATTCGATCCACTGACATTTTTTTAAAATACAGGGCGACTCAGGAGCGTAAAAATGGGGTTGGGCAGTCCTTGTGCTTTAATGGGTTGTAATTATTCTTTTGCAGACCATTTCTTGATCTGTTTTTAGTTTCTGAGACTCTGCTAAACTTTAAGACATCGCACTACTACCTAAAAGATTATCAGTTCAAGAGGTCAATACATCTAGACTTATAAATTAAGAGTGCCTGCTTTCAATCTTTTTTATCATCTTTTTACCGAATCGTTATAATGAGGTACCTAGCGCACATTTTCCGGGCAATGTAACACGAAAGTAAACTGTTGAATTCGATAAATAGCATGATCAAAGAAAAACTAGAAATCTAGCAAACTATTTTCCGGGAAAAACAAAAATGGCATTGGCTCCGCTCAGTTCTCCTTTCGTTTTCGAATCACACACACTAAGCAAAGCTTCAGAGAAACAAAAAGATGTTTCGAAAATTCGAAAACATTATTTTAATCACGCTGTAAGTGTTGATTATGTTATGATCACTAAAATCTGTTAAAAATGTACTAAGAACTGGCTATAAAGTTAGTGTCATCCAACCCCCTCCAACAATTAAGCATTTTTTGTTTGGTGTCACCCCAATTTAGATTAATTATTGTTATATATATATATAGTATATTTTCAATATTATTTTGTTATCTTTATTTTTAATAATACTAGGATAAAACATTGTTTTGACAGTAGAGTCAGTAGAGTATATTTTGCAATTTTTTATCATGGTGTCACCCCTAAATGATGTCACCAGGTATAGACAGCACCCCAGCCTTGTGATGCCACCGTATAATGTATATAATCAATATATATAGTAAATATAAATATGTATATTTCTCTTTCCAGATAACATTAATATTGCCAGGGATAGATATGGTGCCGAATTATATTTCACACTGTTTTTTGAATCAGATGTCTTACAGCTTACATCAGCTTCCTTTGTACAGACTAATTGAGATGCCATTTCTTCAAACTTTTGTTAAAAAAGGTAACATTTTATGTTGATCTGCAATTTTGAAATCAGGGTTATTTTATGACTGATAAGATAGCTAATTTTAGACCTTTTTAAAAATATAACTTCCAGGTGCAATGTATGTGCTATCCATCAACACTCAACTTGACACTGATAACTGTGTATCTATAACACCAACAGGCAAGTATTTATTTCATTTGTAGTTATAATTATGCTAGAATTTGTTTCTGTTTTAAATTATTTTGAAAGATGCCAGTCTTCAAAGAGCCCTTTTAGAACTGATTGTGTTTCTAATATCAACATATCAAGGTATTGTGTAATCTAGCAGCTTTGACTGCTTTACTTATGTGTAGATTCATTTATTGTTAATATAGCAATGTGATTGGGTGTAACACTAACTTTATTCTACAACAGGGCAGATGCTGCTAAGTTTGACCAAAGACACTTATGAGGAGCTGGGGCTTCAAGCTGAGACACAGTCCCACCAACAGAAAAAAACAAACAAATTTGGTAATCGTTTTTCTCAGCATCATAGAGGCATTCCATTTTTGTTTTATTTATTTTCAAGATTACAATTGGCTTTAGCCATGTTTTGCAATTTAATGTTGTCAAAGTTGATGGAATAGCTATTTGGGCTAAACCATGGGGTAAAAAAAGTTAAAATGTTGTAGTTAGCTAATGCTCCGTTATCTCTTTTTCCTTACAGTTGTTGCCATCAACCTTTTAGAAGAATCGTTTCGCCCAGGCAAAAAAGGATATGAGAAAACAATGTGGTGCTTAAAAGATCGATTAGATTTAATATTTGATTTTCACATATCATGGGAACCTCATGGTGGGTAATTTAACATTTTAACAAAAAATAAATTTCAAAAAAATTTTAATTTGAAAAACAAATGTAATCAAATTTGATGTTACTTTACCGTTGCTAAGCTTTTACATATAAAATACTTTTAAAAATATTTAAAACTAATTTAATTTCTCAAAGAAATTCCCTCTTAATTTCTCTTCTGCCTGATCAGACTTTAACAGAAACATTTTAAAAAGTTCTTTTTTAATAGTTTGTTAAACTACTCTGCCAACAGACGACAATATCTGCTCCAGCTCAGTTGGTGTCTATTTTGTCGGTAAATGCAAAGAGGTCAAAAGGCTGGACCCCCACAGGACTTCCCGCATTGAAACAAGTGTGCTGTGTCCTAGGCTTGATGCCCAGCATCCCACAGGCTCTGATAGTGGGTGTCACTACAGGGATGTGTTTGAGTGGATGGGAGCTTTAGCTTGTAACGTACCATTGTAAGTCAGGAGTGGCTCATTATGTTAACCGTATAATGCCTACATTATGACTGAGATATACTACTGAAAAAAATATATACACAAAAAACTACAAGACAGTCTCATTCAGATGGAAAAATCCATTTTTTAAAATTTACCCACTAGAAAAAAAGTTGTAACAAAAATGTTTTTGGGTTAAATAACAATTTTTTATGTGGGACAATGTTATAATAGTTATATGTAGTATAGTTTTATATTAATATTAAAATCCAGTGCTGTAGTTATGGTTGATAAGAGGGGTGGTTCACTCTAGTAGAATTTTTTTCTTTTTAAATATCTTTGGGTCGGGGAAATGGAGGTGGTGTCAGGCACAGAAATAATTAATTATAAGTAACTAGCCGTCCCGGCCAGGCCCTGCTCTGGCTTCTGTGAAAAACCTTTCTGTTAAAGACCATTACCTGTGTGTTTAGTAATCATCATAAACCCGGCATTGCTCACCCAAACCACGACCAACCAAAACCAAAACAACAAAACGCAAACATAACGCTAACACAATTACAAATACAAACGGAAACAAAAACCTAGCAACAAACCCAACCACAACCACAAACACCAATACAAACACAAAGAAAAAACAAACAAAAAAGCAAACGAAAACAAAAACCTAACAACAAACCCAACCACAAACACCAATACCAAAAAAAAAAAAAACAACGAAAAAGCAAACGAAAACAAACCAAATCCAAACGCAAAACCAACCAAAAACACAAATACAAACCCAAACAAAAAAAAACACAAACAAAAACGAAAAAAGAAAGAACAAAAACGAACCAAATCAAAACGCAACCACTAACGCAAACCCACCTAAACACAGAGAAAACACTAACGCGAACATAAACGCCCGGGGCAGAATCGCCTGTTTTAGCTTAATAAACGACTATAGTACCCCAACTTATTCATAGTTTTTGCACTCACTTAAACGAACGCGCCTGTTTCAATTTAATGAACAATTATAATACTCCAAGCTTATCCGTAAAATACCTACAACATTTGCACTTGATCAATCCCCGCTAATTATGTAATTATTTTTTTCCCAACACCAAAACAAAGTAATTAAAAAGTAAATGCTTTTCAACTAATGCAATGGTTTTATAAAGGGAAGTAATTGTGTTTTGCCTAATTTATCAAAGGGAAGTAAGCGCTATAGGACTAAATAAAGACATAATTAGAATTTTTGTAAAAGATGATATTTTTTTTAAAACTTGTGTTTAATGAACATGCCGACAATTATTACTGTAATTTGAAAAATGAAAATTATTTCCCAACACTTTTAATAGTAATTTTTTAACTCATAAATTTAGACAAATGCGCACGATAATTTTCTAACACTTAAATCCATCGATAACCAGCGACAAACAAACATATGCGTTACAGAACTGAGCTTTATATATTAGATTATGTCACTGAGAAAAAATAAATAGGTAGCAATGTTTCAGTTAATTGGTGACAATATGAATAAGAATGTATTTGATTCTGATTTTAACATTTTTAAAACTTGATCTGATGTGTTCTAAATGCTTTTTTCCTTCAGACCAACAGAAGTTGACAACTATGTTTCCAGCTTGTTAGCACCAGAACCCAACGCAAATTGTCCTCGCTGTTGTGTGTTCCAAGCTTCAGGTTTTATTACACCAAAAACTATTCTCAATGTCTGGAACATCATAAGGTTTGCTCTTTTTTTTCCAGAATTAAAAAACTTATTGCTTTAATCATTCACACACTTCAATATTTCCCCATCTGTTTTGGTGAATTTTTATAAAACATTTTTTATCTTTGACACACAAGGATTTGTAAACATATGTCCTATACAAATTTGAAATATTTCCCATTTACTTATTCCCATATCACTAATTTTTACAGTTTTTTAATTAAAAAAAACATTCTATTTGTTCAATAGTTTTTAAATTTCTCATTTTTTAAATAAGTGTTTTGAAAATATTTTCGTTTGAGATGCACAAGTCATGAATATGTGTTTTCCAGATCCCATTCAGACCAGTTTGAGAACTACCCTGTCTGTCTGATGGTCCATGGCTACAGTGACTCTCCTGTGAATAAAAACCAGTTTTACTCCTCCAGGGACAACTTCTATTCTCTAGCTCTGTTTGATGAAGATCAGTGCTGGTCTTTTGCACCTTGTAATTCTTAATAAATAATTTTTTTTTAATATTGTAAATTTTCTTTTCTACTCTAAAACTTAAGTTTGTAAATTATTTGAAACTTAGGTCTGAGAAAAATAGTCATAAAAACATCTTTATTTACATTATGTCAATGAGAATTGAACAAACATGAATCAACATAGTTTTAAGGTTAACTTCTAGAGAGTTAATCTAGCTCTTTTTGCTGCCAGCTCACGTTCCTAAAAGAGAATGAAAACAAAATTTGTAAGCATATCTAGCATGAAATTAATATTTATGCAAATTTAAAAAAAAAGATGCCTTCTAAAGAAAATTTTCAACTCAATGTGATCCAAATGTTTAAAAACCTAGCTATATATATACCCAATTTTTATACATCAAAATTCCTCTATGAAAATAAAGTTTAAAAAATATATTTTAAAAATTAGTTCCCATGTAAAATACCTTGAGGATCATCTTGCAAACATGCAAAAATCAAAACATATAGTGATATACACAACAACAGAAACATAATGACAATACAAAAATCAACATGCAGCTAAAAGTTTGTAAAAAATACATCTGTGCGAACTTACTGTGCCGAACTGATAAAAGTGTGGGGCCAACTCTGTCAGCCATTCTGGTTGAATGACTGTGATGTCACGCATGAAGTTTTTCTTGCTTTGAATCACTTCGTTGAATAAAACCCTAAAAAATATATTTATTTATGCATAAATATGGGATAGTCCTTTTACAAGATGAAATCAAATGGCAAACAGCACTTTTGTTTCAAACTATAAACCATAGAGAAATGTGAATGTAATGGTTTATGATATATGACATACTGGCTACAGTCAATTAAATGGTGGCTCCTTGTTCTTGTTGTTATATAAACAAACCCAACTCACCATCATGGTGGCTCCTGAGATCTAAACAAACCCAACTCACCATTGAGGTGGCTCTAAACAAACCCAACTCACCATTGAGGTGGCTCTAAACAAACCCAACTCACCATTGAGGTGGCTCTTAACAAACCCAACTCACCATTGTGGTGGCTCTAAACAAACCCAACTCACCATTGTGGCTCTAAACAAACCCAACTCACCATTGTGGTGGCTCTAAACAAACCCAACTCACCATTGTGGTGGCTCTAAACACACCCAACTCACCATTGTGGTGGCTCTAAACAAACCCAACTCACCATTGTGGTGGCTCCTGATATCTAAACAAACCCAACTCACCATTGTGGTGGCTCTAAACAAACCCAACTCACCATTGTGGTGGCTCTAAACAAACCCAACTCACCATTGTGGTGGCTCCTGATATCTAAACAAACCCAACTCACCATTGTGGTGGCTCTAAACAAACCCAACTCACCATCCTGGTGGCTTTAAACAAACCCAACTCACCATTGTGGTGGCTCTAAACAAACCCAACTCACCATTGTGGCTCTAAACAAACCCAACTCACCATTGTGGTGGCTCTAAACAAACCCAACTCACCATCCTGGTGGCTCTAAACAAACCCAACTCACCATTGTGGTGGCTCTAAACAAACCCAACTCACCATTGTGGTGGCTCCTGATATCTAAACAAACCCAACTCACCATTGTGGTGGCTCTAAACAAACCCAACTCACCATTGTGGTGGCTCTAAACAAACCCAACTCACCATTGTGGTGGCTCTAAACAAACCCAACTCACCATTGTCGTGGCTCTAAACAAACCCAACTCACCATTGTGGTGGCTCTAAACAAACCCAACTCACCATTGTGGTGGCTCTAAACAAACCCAACTCACCATTGTGGTGGCTCTAAACAAACCCAACTCACCATTGTGGTGGCTCTAAACAAACCCAACTCACCATCCTGGTGGCTCTAAACAAACCCAACTCACCATTGTCGTGGCTCTAAACAAACCCAACTCACCATTGTGGTGGCTCTAAACAAACCCAACTCACCATTGTGGTGGCTCTAAACAAACCCAACTCACCATTGTGGTGGCTCTAAACAAACCCAACTCACCATTGTCGTGGCTCTAAACAAACCCAACTCACCATTGTGGTGGCTCTAAACAAACCCAACTCACCATTGTGGTGGCTCTAAACAAACCCAACTCACCATTGTGGTGGCTCTAAACAAACCCAACTCACCATTGTGGTGGCTATAAACAAACCCAACTCACCATTGTGGTGGCTATAAACAAACCCAACTCACCATTGTGGTGGCTCTAAACAAACCCAACTCACCATTGTGGTGGCTCTAAACAAACCCAACTCACCATTGTGGTGGCTCTAAACAAACCCAACTCACCATTGTGGTGGCTATAAACAAACCCAACTCACCATTGTGGTGGCTTTAAACAAACCCAACTCACCATTGTGGTGGCTCTAAACAAACCCAACTCACCAGTCTGGTGGCTCTAAACAAACCCAACTCACCAGTGTGGTGGCTCTAAACAAACCCAACTCACCATTGAGGTGGCTATAAACAAACCCAACTCACCACTGTGGCTCTAAACAAACCCAACTCACCATCCTGGTGGCTTTAAACAAACCCAACTCACCATTGTCGTGGCTCTAAACAAACCCAACTCACCAGTGTGGTGGCTCTAAACAAACCCAACTCACCATTGTGGCTCTAAACAAACCCAACTCACCATTGTGGTGGCTCTAAACAAACCCAACTCACCATTGTGGCTCTAAACAAACCCAACTCACCATTGTGGTGGCTCTAAACAAACCCAACTCACCATTGAGGTGGCTCTAAACAAACCCAACTCACCATTGTGGCTCTAAACAAACCCAACTCACCATTGTGGTGGCTCTAAACAAACCCAACTCACCATTGTGGCTCTAAACAAACCCAACTCACCATTGTGGTGGCTCTAAACAAACCCAACTCACCATTGTGGTGGCTCTAAACAAACCCAACTCACCATTGTGGTGGCTCCTGATATCTAAACAAACCCAACTCACCATTGTGGTGGCTCTAAACAAACCCAACTCACCATTGTGGTGGCTCTAAACAAACCCAACTCACCATTGTGGTGGCTCTAAACAAACCCAACTCACCATTGTGGTGGCTCTAAACAAACCCAACTCACCATTGTCGTGGCTCTAAACAAACCCAACTCACCAGTCTGGTGGCTCTAAACAAACCCAACTCACCATTGTCGTGGCTCTAAACAAACCCAACTCACCATTGTGGTGGCTCTAAACAAACCCAACTCACCATTGTGGTGGCTCTAAACAAACCCAACTCACCATTGTGGTGGCTCTAAACAAACCCAACTCACCATTGTGGTGGCTCTAAACAAACCCAACTCACCATTGTGGCTCTAAACAAACCCAACTCACCATTGTGGTGGCTCTAAACAAACCCAACTCACCATTGTGGTGGCTCTAAACAAACCCAACTCACCATTGTGGTGGCTCCTGATATCTAAACAAACCCAACTCACCATTGTGGTGGCTCTAAACAAACCCAACTCACCATTGTGGTGGCTCTAAACAAACCCAACTCACCATTGTGGTGGCTCTAAACAAACCCAACTCACCATTGTGGTGGCTCTAAACAAACCCAACTCACCATTGTGGTGGCTCTAAACAAACCCAACTCACCATCCTGGTGGCTCTAAACAAACCCAACTCACCATTGTCGTGGCTCTAAACAAACCCAACTCACCATTGTGGTGGCTCTAAACAAACCCAACTCACCATTGTCGTGGCTCTAAACAAACCCAACTCACCATTGTGGTGGCTATAAACAAACCCAACTCACCATTGTGGTGGCTTTAAACAAACCCAACTCACCATTGTGGTGGCTCTAAACAAACCCAACTCACCAGTCTGGTGGCTCTAAACAAACCCAACTCACCAGTGTGGTGGCTCTAAACAAACCCAACTCACCATTGAGGTGGCTATAAACAAACCCAACTCACCACTGTGGCTCTAAACAAACCCAACTCACCATCCTGGTGGCTTTAAACAAACCCAACTCACCATTGTCGTGGCTCTAAACAAACCCAACTCACCATTGTGGTGGCTCTAAACAAACCCAACTCACCATTGTGGCTCTAAACAAACCCAACTCACCATTGTGGTGGCTCTAAACAAACCCAACTCACCATTGTGGCTCTAAACAAACCCAACTCACCATTGTGGTGGCTCTAAACAAACCCAACTCACCATTGAGGTGGCTCTAAACAAACCCAACTCACCATTGTGGCTCTAAACAAACCCAACTCACCATTGTGGTGGCTCTAAACAAACCCAACTCACCATTGTGGTGGCTCTAAACAAACCCAACTCACCATTGTGGTGGCTCTAAACAAACCCAACTCACCATTGTGGTGGCTCTAAACAAACCCAACTCACCATTGTGGTGGCTCTAAACAAACCCAACTCACCATTGAGGTGGCTCCTGGGATCTAAACAAAACCAACTCACCATTGAGGTGGCTCCTGAGATGCCAGTACAGATGTTGGGTGTATGTGTAAGCTGACGTCATCCCTGACAGTCCTGTACTCACCAGAGTAGTGGAGGTGGGCCACATTGGCAAAGAACCCAGACAGTATACACTTACACAAGGCCTCTGTGTTATCTGCAAGACAAGATGCTATGGCACTGAGCTATCTATTGGGATGTATGTATATAAATATATGACTGTTGTGTTATCTGAAAGACAAGATGCTATGGCACTGAGCTATCTATAGGGATTTATGTGTTTATATATATGGCTTCTGTTTTATCTGTAAGAAAAGATATTATTGCACTGAGCTATCGAATGGGATGTATGTATATACATATATGACTTTTGTGTTATCTGAATGACAAGATACTATGACAATCAACTTTCTGTAGAGAAGTATTTATATTACACAAAGCCTTTGCATTGTATTCATAGTTTTTAAGAAAGCATACATTTACATATAAGGCATCTGCATTTTCTGTATATAGGATGAAAAAAAAAATTACTTCGTTACTTAATTTTTTTTCCTCTTATGTGACTATGACTTTTTACCACTAATTTTTACTTTTGTTAAAATCATTTCACCAGTAACTCTAGTAAAGAGGACAAGACCAGTAACTCTCGCAAAGTCTAATATTTCGAGTGGTGTCCCCTGTATTGGAAGTTTAGGGTAGCAGCTCATGTAAGAACTGACAATACAAAGAGCCGGACCCACCTAGGCAAAAGGGGCACAGTGACAACAATAATTTTAGCTGTTGTTCTTCAAACTAATTTAAAGAAATAGGTGAAAGCATTAATGGTCTAGATTTTATAGGGTACCAATTACTTTAAATAAAATTGGTATCAAATCAAAGATAAATAAATGTAGTTTTTAATTGTTTAGGTCAACTTGAACAATAATGAAGTTTAAAATCTTAGGCGCCACCCTTTTTATAACCGGAGTAGGACACAACAGAACGCGACGGATACAACAGGTCGATTAAAAATAATAAAAAAAAATTAAGCGAAAGATACCACCGTGGCCTACAACAGTAAAACTAAAACCTGACATTTAAGTCTTAAGTTCGTGTACATTTATTTTATAAGGGACGCATCCCAAGACCGCATAGGCTACGTAATACAAAAAATCTTCAACGTAGCGTTATACAATACTGCTTTATTATACCACTCTATATAGTCAGTAGAAACGTCACTGAGTCCACCCAACTCTAATGGGTACCTAACTTCGTTAGGGAAAGTAAAGGCGGCTGGGCATAGTGGTGACCACACTATATCTTCATATGCCGAGGTCACAGAAACAAGTGAATTCTACTTCACTTGCCCCATAGACCGTCAGGTTTGAAAGGGAAACTACATTTTTTTATACCAACCTATATAACACAATATGACAGTGATATCTCACGCCTTCCCAATTCACGTTATATAATAGGTGAACGAACCCTATGATAACCAGTTTCTGCAGTTAAATATAACCGCTACAGCTGTGCTTATCACTATGGCTTAGACTCGACATTAACATTAAAATGTGCTTAAAGTAATCAATATGTCAGATTATATAAAAAAATAAACATCTCTTTTCGAAATATCTAGAACCCAAGAAGTCCTCTCCCACCCCCACCACAAACTTGCAAATTTTTTTGTTAATCTGTCACTTATGTAGTCTCTAAATCGCTTTATATCAATCTCTAAATTTAACTTTTTTTTAAAATAAAAAATAAAACGATGGAAGTTTTTCTTGAAATAACAGCGAATCCCTCATTAATAACCGCCTAAAAAATAGATAGATCTAGGTGTAAGTAGCATCATTAGATTCGTCTAATGCCTCAAGACATATTTTAAGATCTGAATTCGTTTATCCAATCTTCTGTCGGTATAGTGAGAAATATCTCTGCGTCACATTTCAACACCCACTGCCCGTCTGGGTGCTTAACGTCACATATCCGACCCTTAAGGCATACCGATACTTTGTTTTTTTACTTAATTTTTTATCGGCCTCTGCTATTGTATTTTTTTACATTTTATTATTTGTTTTTTTTACTAACTTGCAATCATCAAATGATTTTATCAAATGTATTGCACTAATATGGCTCTACTTTTTATCAAATCTATTGCACTAATGGCTCTACATTTTATCAAATGTATTGCACTAATATGGCTCTACATTTTATCAAATGTATTGCACTAATATGGCTCTAAGCACTAAACAATTGTGAGATAATTTTTTTTTATAGGAGTGTGAGACATTTTCAGACCACCCATATACTCTTTAACATGGCTTATACATTTAAACGTATTATACATTTTAAACTCCTTTATCCGTTAGAGACGGCTATTCAATTCATTCATTACAAACTTGGCTGAGTACTTAGCGCTGTTTCTTTCAGGCATCTCTTCGGAAGCACGATTACCGCCCCCTCCTCCGTACTAAATAATATACTTTTACCCGTGCACACCCCCCCCCCTCACCGAAAAAAAATCTGAAATGAAAGAAAACAATGTTAGAAAATCCATCAACTCATATTTCACTGGGCAGTAAAATGGAAGAAATCATAATGTATCATAGGCTCCCATAAAACACTGTTAACAATAGTTCACATATTGGTATTTGGTACAAATGTAGGTAAGCCTACATGTAAGTTGTTTTGTTAAAAAAACAAATCAGTGGGCATGTGGACAGGGGTAAGAGGTAATGTCAGGAAATGATAAGTATCTCCAACTTCTATCCTGCCACGAAATCAAAATAAAATTTAAAAAAAAAAAAAAAAAAAATAAACAAAAGTTGTCACGTGTAAAGGTAGTGTCAAGCTAGTTATAAAAATGTAGACCTTTCCTAACTTAGCTGTGCTTAATCTCAGCCATAACCTAAATTCGAACCTTTAACTATTGATAGTTATTGAATGACCCTACGCGCAAGCGATAACCGTTCAATAACAGAGCCCCCAATTCTCCCCCCCCCCCCTCCACCACCCACTCACACCTTCAAGGAAAAAAAAAGACATTTCAATTTTCATCAGGAAGTGTAAAGAAAATTCTAACTTGTGCAAGCGAGGCAATGTCCGTACAATACAAATGCCTACAGTTATCCAAGGGAAGATATATAAAAAAAGACAATTCAATTTTTATCAGGTAGTGTAAAGAAAATTCTAACGTGCAAGCAGAGCAATGCCCGTACAATACAAATGCCCACAGTTCTCCAAGGGAAGATATTTAAAAAAAAAGACATTTCAATTTTCACCAGGAAGTGTAAAGAAAATTCCAACTTTCTGACGGCAGCGGGAAGATGTCAAACGTTCTACGGCCCAACAATTCTTGAACAGAAGACACCACCCCACGAAAACTAAATCACATTCATTAGTTTTTCATATTTTCAACCTTATTAATTTAGTTAGTCCGCCCCGTCGCTTGGATTAACCCTTTGAACGCTTTGATTAACCCTCTGACGGCTACTGGCTCGACCGAGCGTGTCGCGATGGCCAGCTAACAGCGGTCTGAGGGCCGGTGATCCAAGTGATTGGCTGGTCGGGTCAGCTGATTGAAGTCGGGCAATGTCAACATGTCCAGGACCGTCCACTGACGTGAGGACACTGACCTGATGACGTGTCGATCAGATCTTTTTAAAAGACGACAAATGAAACAAGGCCTCGCATTAAAAAATAGGACGGGGTGGTCGGACTAAAGTAAAGTTCCCATTTCGAATCTGACGGTCCATGGGGCAAGTGAAGTAGAGTTCACCTGTTTCTGTGACCTACGAATATAAAAGGTTAGTGTGAAAACGCACGACTGCTAACCAGAAAGTCTAGAGCTCGGATCCAGGCTTGAGTTCGTAGAACGTCCCTGAGTCCACTCAGCTCTAATGGATACCTCGAGTTAGGGAAAGAATAGGCAGTTGGGCATAGTGTTGATAACACTATCCCTTCATAGTCGTGTTTTAAAGGGTAACTTAACTTTTCACATAAAATGACAAATATAAATATAAACGAGATATCAACAGCACATAAAATGACATAACCCCCCCACCCCATAACGTCAATCAAGTAGCAGAGGCGTAGCGACCCTTCCTGGCGCCCGGGGACAAACTTTCGATTTGCATCCCCCCTCAAACTTTCAATTTGCACCCCCCCCCCCCTCAAACTTTTGATTTCCACCCCCCTTAAATTTTTGATTTGCACCCCATCCCTCAAACTTTCGATTTGCACCCCCCCCCCCCCCATCAAACTTTCGATTACTTTTTCCAACCCATTTTGGCGCTCCCTAAGGTCGGCGTCCGGGGACATATGTTCCCCCCCCCCCCCCATCGCGACGCCTCTGTCAAGTAGCGATACGATATTCAGAGTGGGGTACGGCTAAGCCAACTGTTTAAATAACATACAGTTGTCTGTTGTCTTTACCAAACCACTAATGCTACCGAAACGCCCTGCTGCCGCTAACAAATCCTTTACCCAGACCTTGACTCTAGCCCTAAAGCCCCAGCGGTCAACAAAGCTACAGGCTAATTTGATAAATGACAAGTTTTTATTTATTTTTTTGGCCAGGTCAGTGCCTCGTGTTTTTGTTGCTATGTCAGGACAACTTTGAGAATGACCGGAAATGCTCTGGCAGAAAGGAAACTGGAGTTGCACGTCTTACGCTCATAAAAAAATATTTAATGATGAGAATCAGCCCAACGGCTTACTTGATGGCTGGGAAATTCCATGAGTTCCCCACCTCTATTGAGAATGACCAGATTTAATTCAAAAAATTTAATTCTTGCGTTGAAATAAAAGTGAATCATTCGACCCATCAGATGACATGAGTTAACTTTAATCTGTATGTTAAATATTAACCTTTGTGTCCTCGTTCTAATGGTCGAGAGGTGGAGCGACATGTTCGAGGGGTGGAGCAAATATTTCGAGAGGTGGGGCGACATGTTCGAGAGGTGGAGCAAATATTTCGTGAGGTGGAGCGACATGGTCGTGAGGTGGAGCGACATGGTCGTGAGGTGGAGCGACATGTTCGAGGGGTGGAGCGACATGGTCGAGAGGTGGAGCGACATGGTCGTGAGGTAGGGCGACATGTTCGAGAGGTGGAGTGACATGGTCGAGAGGTGGAGCGACATGGTCGTGAAGTAGGGCGACATGTTCGAGAGGTGTAGT